CCACGTGTACAGGAAATTGAGGAAGACGGGTTAAGATGGAATCGTTCTTTGACTTTTCGTGATAATTTAAACTCGAATTTTCATGCTTTTTTGTTTTACTAGTTGAACTTGTATTATCCATATCGCACTTTGATGTCTGTTTTATATCTGTCAATATGTAGGGGAAAAAATTGAGTTACACAGCTTTAATACTCTTGATAAGCGTGACCATCAAACCCTCTTTGAACTTCCATATCAGCTTCAAGCTTTGGCGCTTTTTGGCGACAGATATTTCATGCATGCGCAGTTGTGTTCCTTTTCGTTTGGAGGGAGCCACTCCTGCTGCTGTGAAGCTTTCCTTCTTAACAATACATATTCTTCGACTGAAGCAAGCCACCATACTTAACTGATTATCCGCGATTCCAGCGCTCTGATACGCCACCTAGTGGCTAAAAGGTGGAAACATTAAAAATCGGTATTTACATTTGACAATACTACGTAGTTTGTGAAACGTGTTGTGATCAAAAAGTAATTAAACGTTTATTTTTTACTGTTGTGGGCATTATGTGTTCAGTCGTTTTTACCACTTGTAGGACAAATCTAAAGAAAATGCTTGTAATATCATGTAATCAAAAGTTAACTACATGTTATGTGTCGGGATTGCTTTCTCAAGTACTGAGGGGTAGGTACTTTTTTTAATGTTTGGTCACGATATTATTCATTGCATGTATTTTCTATAATACATATACAATACTAATATTTCTATTACAAGTGTCTTTTTTTTTAAGTGCTTTGCTTGTTGATATTCTCAAAATTGCATCTGACAATTAGTACTATTATGTATATAATAGATATAAGTACAATAGACGAATATAATAGATCAATATATTTTTAGTATATAATGATTCAATAACATTTTTATGGGGGGGGGGGGGAAAAAGGCACTTTTGACTGCACAGATTTTCTGGAAATCCCAAGTTAAACACATATGAAATCATTTGTTTACAATCAGTGAATGTTAAAATCAGCTACCTGTCGCAATACAATAAAACAGTGACTCAATTTCCTACAACAGCAAGCAGTTCTTCCTTTACATGAACAAGAATTTTTTTTAATGTCCTTTGATTTCATGCGATCAGGACGGTTTAAATAGGAAGCCAAAATTTGTAAACTGGATTTTTCAAGTAAAATTCCGTGCATAACCAAATAATCCGCTTTTTAAAATTCTCTCTGCTTTAGTAAAACACCGAGAATTTACGCCTCCTTGAACAAAATGAAAAGTTTCAGAAAAGCTAAGCAACTCCATTTTTGAGTGTATGAAGTCAGATCACAAATCAAAATACTGGTTTTTATCCTCCACATTAATGTGTGAAAGCGCCATCTATAGGTGAATTGAATCGCAGATCACCTTTATACTGTTGCGAAATAAATACTTCTCCAACTGAAAATTACCTTATTTTGTTGTTGAGAAAATTCTTCTGATAGTAAGTAGCAATTTTTCACTCTTAGATTATGTGCAAGGTAGTGTAGTGAATGCTTGTGTGTTTTTATTTGCTGCAAAATGAGAAAGGCTGAAGTGCAGTACAGTACCACTTTTGCCAAAACCTTGACAAAAATCAAACATTTGTTGCATTTAGTAGAATGTCAGGCTTTTGTACAAATATAGCAAGCTTTTATCATCAAAAACTTTCTGCAAAGGAAATTCATCAAGCCTCCAACAATTATGCCACAAGTCTCGCACAAATTTGAGATGTATTCGTGATGTAAAGCAGTATGTTGTCAAAATAATTCTGTGGCAGCACATGATGTCGCCAGTGGCCAAAAAGTATCAATCAAAGTCTCATTGTTTTTTTAAGCAAATACAGATCACCGGGTATATATGGAGATCAGCAGCACAAAAGGAAGGACTTCTTGGAAAAAGTGTTTTATTTTTGTTGTTTCTTACTTTTAAAATTTTTTTTGATTGGTTGCCCTTGTATGCAGTTCTTAGCATGCCATCATCTTGTAAATGGCTCTTCCCTTTCATGTGTTAGCTTGGTAAAAAGTTAACTGACAACAAGTTCATGATTTTTTGGTGGGGGTGCAGAAGATTAGAAAGTACTGCAAAATCCTGAAGGACTTAATGACATATGGGGATTATAACTGCTACATTGTGAGAACTAGTGCTAACTGGTGAGTTGTGGATTCATAGGTACAGTTTTATAATTAGAAATAGTCACCATCCCTAAGACTAACAAAACATAATTTAAAGCCAGTTAAATCATTTTCTTCAACTTCTAGGCAGTGATGCATCGTAAATACGTAAAACAAGGCCAAAGCATTACAAAAGAGTACTAAATGAATATATTTACTATATTGTGCAATGCAAATTACTGGATCTGTAGGCTGCAAAATCTTTGTAGCTGCACTACGTATTCTTCTCAGATAATTCATGCTTTTTTTGTTAAATATAGTAATTGTATGGTTTTTAGATTCCTAATAAAGCTCCTTTTGATTTCTAGTTGTACATAGACTCAAATTAGACATATACAGTACAAAGTCCGTAATCCAGACTCGTCGGGATTTCAGTGATTACGGATTAGGGGATTTTCCGTATTATAGATCATCAATTTAAATCTGGTAAGAGGGCATGCAGAAATTATACTATTAAAAATATCAAACTGTAATTTATGAACTAAAGAGCAATTATGATCTAAAGTGTATCAAAATTTACCAAAAAAAAAAAAAAAAAAAAAAAAAAAAAAAAAGCTTAATATTTATTTGTTTACTTTAGTAAACATTTCTTTCAATGTAAGTTGTTCAAGTTGCTTCGTTTTTTCTGCTAATACTTTCTCTTTAATTCTGTAAACAAACATAATTTCTTGTTCAGTTACAAAGTCCCACTGTTCAAGTCTTGTAATTGCTGTGTTGAGAATACCGACTAACTTGTCAATTGAAATTTTTTCGTTTTCAATAACATTCTCTGTTACTTTCTTCACGATCGAAGCGCGCATGGGTAAACGCTTTATGTGAATGCGTAGCGAACGCATAAGTTTGTGACTTTGAGGTCCGGATTAACCGGACGTCGGATTGGCCAGACTTTAATAATAAAAAGATTTATACATCATAATAGCCTCACCTGTATTCTGTTCACAAAAATGTCTCCAGGATTTACTCTAAAGAATACACATTTCAAAGGAGTCTGAGGAGTTTTTTCAGATATTCGGATGATTAATAGGTGTAGGTGGGGGGGGGAATCTGCCCCCAGGCACAGCAGCCAAGAGGTGCAAACTGATGTTATGGAATTTTAGAATGAAATGTATTTCCATTCTTGGCACAAAATCTTCAGCTGTCCTTAGGAGCTCAAAACCCTAGCTACGATTCTGTCAATGAACTGTCTTTACCAGCTAAAGATCAGATACTTTTTTTAACTGACATAGTATTCTCTTAATGAACAGATATTTGAAATATACTTATAATACTTCTTAAGAATTTGTTCAGTAAATGGCATTGGGGCTGGTTGCATTGGCATTTTTGTGGTTTTCCCCATTTGTAATATGGATACAAAACAATTTCCTATAGAAAGTCTCAATGAAGATATCCATTTCCTTAGGGACATTTCCATTTATTGTATTATGGTATTTTCATTTATTGTATTGCTTGCATTCAATAAATGCCTTCAAGTAATACTTTTATATTTTAATAAATTTATTCTTTTATCAGATTTTTAATGCAGAATGCCTAAACATAATGAAAATGGATTTTAATTAAAGCTCATTAAAGACTTCTAAATATTTTGTCCTATCTCAGTCTGATTACATAAAATGCAACCATTGAATTAAAGTTGTGTAAACTTTCTTGTCTAATTTTCCAGCATGTTTAAACAAAGTGTTCAAATCAATAGAAAATAATAACCTGTATTTTGAATTTCTTCTTATGCTGCAAATATATGTATAAAGTAATGTTTGCAAAATGTATTCAGAATAAACACACTGGCCAAATTGTTCATAATGGTTAATAATTCGTATATGTCAGCTTAGAATGTGCCATATAAAATAATTTACTGCATATTGATTTAATGACTATTTACAGTATTTTAGTAAGATTTCTTAAAGTGGACATTAAAAACTCGAACATTAAAAAATGAAAAGAACTAGGACGTTTTTTTAAATCTAGTTTGTATTATGTATGCATCACCTTAATAGTAAAGGTATGCATGCATAAGCATTCTGATGAAAAGAATAATACTGAATAATTAAACTTTATGAAAAAAGTAATATTGAATAATTAAACTAAAACTGCATTTTTTTGGAAGGAAGCAAGTAAAAACTTCCGTTCTTTGAATGCACTTCTTTTATTTTAACAAAGTTCATTTAAACTGACAGGAATTTTTCTGTTTGTGTAAATTGACTTTTTTTTAAAGCCAGTTTTAAAAGCAAAATTGCATTTTCAACTTTAGATACTCGCATTCTTTCTTCAAACTGATTGTTCAGATTAATACTTATGATGAAGTGTAATCGTGGATGGATAATATAGTGCTTGCAGTATTTCTAGTTTTGATACATTTTTTTACCCAAATTTAGATCTCTGGATTAGTTTTTAAAAATTTAAACAGCTCTCTTATGTTATTATAAATCTAGAATATATTTAGTTTAAAATATTCAAATGAGTTTTTTTGCCCATTTTAAATTTTGTTTTGAATAAAATTTTAATAATACTAAAATCCTGTAATATCTTGTATTCATTAATTACCTTTCCCCCCATCTGTATTTTAATATACTGTAAGAGAGAACATAAAGTAAAAGATACACTTCTTTTAATTAGATTTCTTAAAAAATTTGGAGAATTTAATTAATAAAAGACTGTTATCACTGGAATATCTTTAAATGAGAATGATATAGTATATTACAGAGAAGATTTACTACTAGGAATATACAATAAAAATTTAGATTAATTAAATGCTGTAATTGATCTGTTTCTAAAATGGTAATGATTTCAGTTTTTCACATGGATTAATGCATAAATAAGACTGTTACTCATAATTCTTTTTAAATGAACAAATATTTAGTAGCTGCAGTTTTTAATGTCATTAGTAAATGTTTAAAATAAACACTAGATTCAATGAATAACAATGATAATGTTGACACTAAAATATTTTCCATCAACAACATACAGTTAGATACAAGGAAAGCAACTTCAAATTTAACCACAATCAAATTCTTACAGACAAAAAAGAATTTTCCATTCAACAAATACCCTGAACAACAATGATGACATTGCCTTTTAAACAATTTTTTCATGAACAGTTTTAAAAAAAAATGACTTGGCGAGAATTTTGCAACACCAAAGAATGTTTTAGATAAACAACAAAAGATAAAAAACAAAATTAATTAACAGAACCAAAATATATTAAAATACACGATGCATTTTATTTTTTGGTAAGTTTCAAATGAATTAAATTATAGAAACACTTTTAGGGGAGAAAATACGCACCCTAAACTACATGCTGCTTTATTTACTTATTTAAATTCCCCCCCCCCTAAATTTACTTTTAATTTTTCACTTCTCTGACCTCACTACAAATTCTGATGAAATTACACGTACAGAAAATCACTGATAATTTACAATTTGGTAACAATTATTGATATTATTTTTTGTACAACTAACATACATAAAAAAACTCTGATAATGTACAGTTCAAATTGTTCCCCTCCCCAACTATATTTTCAAACATCTCAATTTCCAAAACACACAAATTGCTGCACGACAGTAGCCATAAAAGCTCTTAAATGTACAAAATTCACTCTCACACAAAATTAGAAAACGGAAGTACAGAATTATTAATATGAATGAATTTTCAACAACTGATTGAACCTTCAAAGAAATTCTTTCCTTATCCAATACTGTTGAATCATTAATGCTTCTAAGTAAATATATTTTTTATTAATTTTTGTCCAAAATACTATTTTAAAAATTGTCTTGCTAATTCTCTTAGAAATACAAAAATACAGCATATTTACTTTTAAAATACTGTTAATGTACTTTTAATCTTTTTATTTTAGAAATTTAAATATACATTTTATCTACAAAGTAATGTGATTTTCAGATACAGCTGCCATCATGAAAAGTAAGATGTTTAAATGTGTTAACATTTATTTATAAAGCAGCATCCCAAAACAGTTGACTAAAAATAAAATTAGTACATGTTCATATCATAATAAGCCTTATTAACTGAATACTTAATAAATTCCCTGTGCAACACTGGTTAAAAATTGTGCCTTACGAAGCATTTATATTCAATCAACTTTTACAAAAGCCTGTAAATAGCTTTGAAAAATGTCCAAATATTATTTCACAAATGCAGAATGAACTTATTCAGCATATTAATTCAAACCATTTGAGATGTCTGCTGAGAACCAGTCATCATGACTTTGGTTACAAAATTGACAATTGCACTTGCTGGCTGTTCAGGTTCCAGTTCGGCAAAAAGGTGGCATTGGTTGTCAGTCAAACTAGTAGGTTTACGAGCAACAAATCCAAACATACGGCTGAAGATGAGGAGGAAAGAAGTTATTAATTTTTTATCTCAGATGCTAAAATGGTTAATTCAGAAATTTAGTTTTAGTTTCTTACCAAGTATTTATTGGGACACCATCTTCATTTGTTTGAGTCCATTTTCTGTCTTCTAAATCTAATCCACAATGACTGATAGTATTCACTGGGTAATGGCGTCTGAAGAATAACCTATGAATACATAATATAATAATAGTAAATGTCTGTATAAATTTTAGCTTTCATATACAGTTTAAGTATTTATGAAGTTCTGATTTCTGTATATCCACTTTTAGAAGTTTTAATAGCTGATAGGTACTTCATGAACTTAAAAATGATCCTGAATTTTCTACGCAATAACAAAATTAGCAAAATACCCATACTGACCACTAAATTTAGAGTTTAATTTGTTTCAATTAATGTTTGTTTGTATACTTACTTTCTTGTATTATCTGTTAATGTAATTCCTTGCTCAGAAACTTTAAAATGTACAGGAACTGCTGTAGGTAAAGGCTTCACAGCTAAGGTTTCAGTCAAAGCTTTCTTTACTGCCTGTGGCCCTGTGAGAGATTCCATCTCAACACTGTTTAAGTAAAGGACACTGCAAGCTGTTCAAAAAGATGAAACAATTATTAATAATGATAAATAAGTAATTTTACAAGTGATAATTTTTTTACTAATGCAAAACCCAATAAACACTAAGAGATATAAAAACAATTAATTATTAACAATGATAAGTAATTTTACATATCAATTTTTACTAATGCAAAAATCCAATAAACACTAAGAGTTAATGCAGCACAATGACACTTTTAGGAACAAATAAGTATTCAGTTTAAATACTATGCTATGTGAGAATATAGAGACCTGTGTCCTAAGTTTCATAATGTTGAAACACAGATGCTATTAAAGTAAAATCTTTCTATAAAAATATACTTCTACCAGTGCTGATAATATTTATGCTTCTACCAGATTACTGTTGGACCTCATTCTTTGAAACAGATTTCAGTTCAACTGGCGTTTTCTTTTTTGGCTCTTCCACTTGTTCTTGTAACTGGAATGTTGACTCTCAAGTTAACCTAGGAGCTCAGAAAACAGAAACTTTTCATTTTAAGTCAGAAGAATACAATAAATGTGGAAAAGTAAAGAATTTCTGATTTGGTAACGAATTTTTAAACCACATATTCCCCTATAGTACATTATTCAGTTCCAGGTATTGCACTTTAGTCAAAGTAGATACTGAAGACAAACAATGTCCCTGATGTCAAAAATATCTCAATGCTTTAATTTCTGAATCTTCTTATTTGGGAATTTGTAGATTATTCGATAATTACTGGAACACAAAAGATACTTGACAATCTCCAAAAATGAGACAAATTCCAGATAGTAAATCTGCTTCAATATTCTGTAGGTTTCTATTAGACATATGTCCATCTTCAAGAAGGACTTACTTTGCATAAAATGCCATTTCTTACACATCACTCAATCATTAAACATTCAATTTGGAATAGCCATGCATTTGAAGAATCACATGACATAATGAAACTACAACTCGGAGAAGCCGTATCAGGCTAAAATTTAGTCGCATTTAAGATCCCCAAAGACCCAGCAATTTCAGTTTTGTTGTGCATTGCATTAAAAATGATGCTTTTGTGATTTAATAATTTTTTCAGGCAGTATTTAATAAAAATGGGAACTTCCTGGGCCTTTCTTTTTTGAAGGATAAACTATATAACTGGAGAGTGTCCTTTCTTCAGATGTTGCTGAACTAGTTAGTGTCACTGCTGCTGAATCAGAGAACTCTGTCCTTCAGTTAGATGAGTTTCCTGCATTTTCACTGTTATATTAGGGCATATCTGAAAGCACAGCTACCCACTCATTAGACTGGTCATGATGGAGAAGTTATACTAAAATGATCTTTTAAGTCTCCAGATATCATCCCTTATAATTTTTATGGGGTTATGTATAGGATCTTGTACTATAGTATGTCCCATCTCTTCCACATGATGCTTTGGTTAATTCAAAAGAATTATAGAAATAACACTCTTAGAAAACATGCTGGGTCATGTTATCCAATAAACTATATTTATTGCATTGACATTTGTCAAATCACACATGCTTCCCACACAAAGTGTTTGAAAAGAGAGTGCTACTGAAAAAACTCACAACTTCACTCTTTAGAATGATGTACTTTGTCATTTTGTACTCATTTGGTTAGAATACATTTTTAAAAAATGTCCCAAACTTTTGTTACATGCACTGCTGGACTATATTTAGAATTTTTTTATAAGATGACAGATCCAACCACATACTGCAAATCAGTAAACTAAAAGGCATTTAAGAAAACTTTTATCATTTCAAAAGCTATTTTGGAACTACTCTTATATGCGCCCTCAAGTCGCCAAATGCAGCGACTCCACGGTGCCATATTACTATTTAAATTTTTTGTCTATATTTCTAACTTTAAGTCTAAAATGTCTCCATGTTTTGAATGCACAATTTAAGCTAAAAATCCAAAACAAAAAATTTAGATAGCAAAAACGTAAAGTTTCTAACCAAAAATATTTGACAAGAATCAATGTACACAGCAATATGTTTTAACTTTAAGAAACATCTACGAATTGCACAATCTAGACTACGAACTACGCATACCTTGCTTTAATAAATTAACAAGAATACATTTCAAAGAATACCATGTACACAGTATCCTGTTTAAAGTTAAAAAAAAAAATCTAGGCATTGCGCACAAATCAACAAAATAAACTAAAATTACAAACAATTCAAAAACAAAAATAAGAACAGAAATTCATAGTAAAAAAAAAAAAAAAAAATGAACAATGAATGCATTTTACAAAATAAAATACACTTACCATAATTATTATTGCATAATAATACATTCGTTAATAAAATTTCTCCCGTCACACAACATCTGTGAACAAAGGTGTCACCATTTTGCTATATCACGTCTTTCCGTGATTCAAAATTTTGAAAGTAATGATAAATACTTCCTCCAAAGTTAACTTACTACACGAAAACCACGATCCAAATCTTAAACTCCACTGACAGCCACATACTTTACCAGCAAGCATTTGACTGCAAATCCACACAAGAACTATCAGAAATGCCCTTCTTCGTCCAAGTTTTCAAAGCAGCTCCGCATTTCGCACTCCGTTTTAAAAGTACCACAGAAATTCCAAAAATACACTTTGATCCTCATAAACACACCCATGAACAAAAGACTCATTCACAACTCCAACATCGTACCTTTTAATACTACGAGTAAATTTACTTTCCACACAATCTAAAATACGTGACTGAAACCTCACCACGTCTATCATTGCAACATAGGCCATTTCAAAACATGCACGACACTGCAGCAAAAGAGTTAAGTTCCAACGTCAAAAGGGTTGCCATATAAATAGCATCGTTCACCAAACCATCCAACAGCACGGAATCGCGCCAAAAACCAATATCGCCACATTTGGTGATCTTAGGGCGCATATAAGAGTAGAGCCGCTATTTTTAATAATCACAAAGCATTAAATATTATGCAGTCTTACCAGCTCCTTGTGCTAGAAGTGTATCATTGTTGGTGTTCTGTGGTTCAGGCCCAGCAACTAGATCTGGAAGAAATGACAGATCTAAATGAATAACTTTCTTAAATATATAATTTAATTAATAAAACCTACATTTTTAGCATGTTCACTGCCGATCGCTTGCTAGTGCCCTGATGTAGTAGTATCATCTAATGGCCACATGTATCATGCCGTATTGTTATATTGTACAGTCAAAAGTCGTTATTCGGACACCCATAATCCGGACCTCAAAGCTAAAATCTTTCTGCGCATGCGCCGCGTTGAAGCACGCGCAAAATACGTTTTCGCGTGCGCGTTTAATGTATAACGGACGGTATAAGCTAAAATTATCTAATTATCTATTTCAGTTAATGTTGATGATTGCGTTGTTCCTTAATCTTCGAATTGGATCCGGCTTATTATTTTTTGCAGACTGTAAGAGCAATTTTATAAAAGTAAGCTTGAACTTTCGATTATGTCAAATAGAATTTCCGATGCTGGAGCTCCCAAAGGATCTACAAAACGAAAGTATGTTTCGATGTCCATCAAACAAAAAGTGGAATTGCTACAAAAAATGGATAAAGACATATCCTTTGTTTATCTCACCGTTCCGAAATCTGTTTATCAATTTCACGCTGTTTGCTGCGGGGGGGGGGGGGGGGGACGTCGCGGCACGCAATGAACTGGAAGTTGATCTGTCAACACTATCGTTATCTTCAGGGCAGATGTTTTTATTTTATTCGGCTTATAATTCCTTACTAAATGTAGTATTTTATCTCGATGTACTCCGTCTTTGATATTATTTAAATCAAATTCCTCGTCATTATAAATATCACGAATACAAATCAAATAGTTTTCTGGTTGCAATTTTCTAATTTCGGCTATGCGTAATGTATGCGCTTTACGCATGCGCGTGTTGAAAGAAATGTTTAATAAAGTAAACAAATAAATATTAAGCTTTTTTTTTTTTTTTTTTTTGTTAATTTTGATACCCTTTAGATCATAATTACTCATTATTTTATAAATTACGGTTTCATATTTTTAATTTTATAATTTCTGCATGCCACCTTACCAGATTTAAACTGATGATCTAAATCCGGAAAAATCAATAATCCGGAATCGCCGAAGTCCCGACGAGTCCGGATTAAAGACTTTTGACTGTACCATGCCAAGGCATGGTACGATAAGCTTCAGATACCTACTCTGGCAGTGAATATGTTAAATTAGCATGCACACTCATTACATATTAATTTGTCACTCTAGATATGATTTTCTGCTTGCAATTTCACATTAATATTTTTATAGTTCATGTTTAGTTTTATTCCAAACAATTTTCAGCACAACACGATTCACAAATCAGCGCAATATTATACATATTATATTTTCTCACAGATTTTTTAGTAAATGTTTATGATCACCTGGATAATGAGTGATGGCCACACAAAAGATTTAGAATCAAGACTTTATTATTCATCTTAATAAAATACATGATGTAAGAAGTAATACTAATATGACAGTAAAATTAATCAAGATCTGCCGCAGACAAGTAAATTACAAGCTCTAATTCTACATTATCTTATGAAACTTTTAATTATTATTATTATCTGACTTGGGAAAAATAAGTGTGCATCATCAAAATCATCTAAATTAACTTAAAATTAATCAATCATCTAAATTAAAGTGTGAATATGTCATTCATTACTATATATCTTAGTGGTTAAACGGAAATGAAATTTTTAATGTATATCCCAAAATATTCAATCCTGCATGTTCCTACATGTGTCAAGACAATGGGTAAAAATTTCTTTTCTATATGATATCTGGAACAGGATTTAAAGCTTCAACAGGAAAACATTTCAGAACAGAATTCAGTTGCAGTACCAGTTCACAAGTAATTTTATTTGTTACTTTGCTTCTTTTACAGCTGCATTAAATTTATTTTAAGAACTGATGTTTTAGATGGCATAATCTGGACGCCTATTCTACGATCACGGGATATCTATCACTTCTATAGACGCGCGCGCTTACCCGGGACAATTCCAAGAAACGAGATTCTAGTAGCACGGCTTTAAGCGGCAGGCTTCCAAGAAATGTTTCGTCTAGCTAGGAGGAACCTGTTCCGGCTACGAGCAACATTTGAAAACTTTCCCAAAATGTTCCGGCTGGAGACGTGTTCCTCGAACGTTCAACCAATCAGACAAAAGGTCAGCTTCTGAAGGATCACGGGTAACTTTCAATATGGCGATGGCTCTCACTGTGAAGTGATGGACGGTGGAAATAGAGGCCGATTTAATTATTGCTGTTTTGTTGTAATACAACTGCCTGAGTCATTTTTTAAATAATTATATATTCGTGGAAATTTCAGAGTTGACAGTATTTTACGACGTTCTTGCAGTTCGGATTTGTTTACAAATTGTTCGTCGCCAAATTTGTCGTATTTCGTGCTGATCGTGTATTATCACTGTTATATAATAGAATTTTATTTCTTAAATTTAAGTTGAATAATTTTTTAAAATCCGTTTGTATATGCGCGGCTTTTCTCCTAATTACTTATCTTTGAAATTGTTAATTGCATAATCAGTGATACATTTTAAACAGCATAAAAGATGTATAAAAAAAGAAAAGCATAGCTTATGTAATAATAAGAATACTCATTAAATTTGTCTATTATTTTCATGTTATTAATGAAATACTTTTTGGATTATAAATACATTAGAAACTATACTTTTATTGTAAATGCTACATATTGAAACATTGGAAATTTATGGATTTATTATTATGCATGATGAAAAACATTTGTATATACATTCATTAATATAAATCTTATTCATTACATTAATACTAATAAATATATATTAACAACTTCTAAACCATCGCATCTTTCTATCTGTATGTAAATATATGACTTATTAGATGTGTATATATATATATATATGTATGTATGAATACAAAAATGAACATTGCCAAGAAGTTTATTTGAAGTTGCTTTTAATTCAGATAACGATCATGTAATTGGCAGCAACTGTAGTCATCAGTCCTTTGCAAATTATTATTTATATGTAATAATCAGTTGAAAAATAATTGATGCACATTGCATTGAGGTAATTAATGAGTGTACACAATTTTGTTATTTGGGTTAATTCATAATTATATCATATGTATAATCTACGTAATACAAATATAACTAATAAATAATAAGAAATGTAACAGCTGTGCATTTATAAAATTTGATTACTTAAAGCAGTGCACAAATGATTATCACCTTCATGAGTCTGTTTACATAATTGAATTGTACTTTCCAATTTGGCCAAGTGCACGGGCCTACTAGTGGCCGAAGCGTCATGGTGAACACTGGTAGTTCTGTCTCAGGTTAGAATGCCGCGAACGGGCTGGCTACATGACGTTTCCTTGGTTTGCCCCATTTGTAACTGGTATACGAGCCAGGTTTAAAAAATCTTCTACAAAGAGATCTCTCGATGCTTTGCGGTAATCACATAAAACAAACTGAGCCCACCAGCGGCCGAGCGGTAAAGTCGCTGAACACTGGTAGTTCGGTCCGAGGTTCGAATCACGCGAACGGGCTGGCTGCATGGCGCTTTCGTGGTTTTCTCCATGTGTAACGTGTATACGAGCCAGTTTCCCTTAGAAAGTCCTCCACGAAGGCATCCCTTCCCTTAGGCAGATAGCTCTAGTGTGCTTCGCTGTAATCTCAATAAATCAAACCATAAAACAAACTCATGATGTGAACACCTAATTTCTAGAGTTTGTATAATTAATGTGTTTTAGGTATATTACCGAGTGTTCTATGGGACAGTAAACAACTCGCACATGTTTGATTACTCATGTATTCATATGCTTTATTTGATCTTCATTTTGCTGAATAGTATCTGCTGGCTTTGAGGAGGTAAATATCAGCCATATAGATTTTTGTCATAGAAGGTCTTTTTTTTTTTTTTTTTTTTTTTTTTTGTCTGTTTGTTTGAATGGACAGAACAGTAATTATGAGCCATAAAGTTAGTCAGAAAATACTTTCACCAGGTCACAAATTTTCCAGTGAGCCATCAAATTTTCATTGAAATGCAGACAACAGAAAATACACATAAGCGATGTGTGATAGACTTATCCAGCACATATTTTTAAACTATTCTTAGTGTATACAGAATTTGGCTATTACTGATGTAATTGATTGCTATAACCAGAAGTGTGTTTATCTGTTACATGAAGTGCCAGAATGGAAATCAAAGTGATTAACTTGATAGCAATCACCTTTCTATTATCTTCCATTACTAACAATAAAGTTTAAAACGAAAAGCATGTGAGCGGTACAAAACAACACGAAGAAGCGAATGTCACTTGAAAGGAAACGTCACTTTCGCCAATATGAGCGATAACTGATTCTTGTTTGGCTTTCAGCCTGTTTACCAATTGAAGATGGTAACCCTATTTCGCCAAAGGCCATTTCTCAGAACTGTTGCTGCAAACATTTTGTTCTGGCAAAAAACAGCTAATGTGATAACGCTTTAACTCACACACTGCATTTGTAGTTCGAAAAAATTGCACAAAACAATATTATGACCAACATGCAGCAGAATATGCTGCTGTGTTATGTGAAGGAAAATTCCGTTTTTTAAGGGGAAACATAACGCAGGAATTTAGAGCTAAGAAATAAAGAGTGATATGGGATACCACGAAAGCAACGTTAAATAGATAAAAGTAAATGAATTAAGCTTACTTCAAACCCTTTTAGAAATAAACAATTTTAATCATTAAGTTCCCCCCCCATGCTTACATTAAAACTGTTTTCCCGCAATTTATTTTATAGTTACTATTGGAAAAATATTTCTTTAAATAAGAAATTAGAAAGAAATTATTTCTTTCTTAATATTTCTTCCCCCCTTTTTTTTAAATTTTCTTTTTCTATGAAAATTATTTCTTTCAGGAAAAGAAATAAAATTCATTCGCTATTACAGTATGGCCGATTGCTGCTGCGTTCAACTATCACACATGCATCAAAATGCTTTATTTTAAATAATTTATTCTATAATTAACATGAAAGAAAATATTTTTTCATATAAAATATATAACCAAAATTAACTAATCTATCCTGTATGTGTGATTAATTCGTTTTGTAATTTTTGTCACACAATTACTAATACCTTTTTTTTTAATATAACATTGCTGTTATTTTAATTTTGTATGGATATAAGAACTGCTCAAGTTTAAATATTCTTCCTTCTCAAAATATTTTGTTCTAGTGAAAATAATTAAAAGATAGCAATATTTTCACAGTGGAAGTAACTAAAGTAAAAATAATCAGTATAGGTCTCCTGCAGTTGGAAGTCCTTGTCAAATCAGCATTTCGACACATTTTAAATAGAATACTACTAATAATCAATATCTCTTTTACAATATAAAAATGAGAATGCTATGAACAATATATTTTTTTTTAATTTGCAAAGAAACAATTATTTTTTAATACTATAATAGGTTACAAAAGTACTATTCCATGAACAAACCCTCAGTCTTATAACATTGTTACTTTATAGCATAATACAATAATAATGCAGTATAATTCTGCTAACAAGCCCACCAGCCGCCTAGCAGTAGAGTGGCTGAACGCAGGTAGTTTGGTCCGAGGTTTGAATCCTGGGAACGAGCCGGCCGGTGTTTTCGTATCTTTCCACATGTGTAACTTGTATACGAGCCAGTTCCTCTTAGAAAGTCTCACTTAGAAACCAGTTTTAAAACGCAATAAAATTACACACACACACACACCAAAAAATAAATAAATAAATATGAAAGCCTTCAGATTTTATATTCAGACTTCCAAAGGGCCATTTTTTTAACATTTTGCGTGTTATCTTTATTTATTAAATATTAATTTTTTTCGCACTTAAACCATTAAAATTCAATTCAACAGCAATATCACAAAATAATTTTTAAAAAGCATATCTTTTAGAATTTCCGATACACAATCTCCCGCGCTAGAGATGAAATGTTTTTTTTTCGTACAGTGTTGCCATTGCTCGCTTTGAAATCATTGAGTTTCTTAATCAAAAACTTCTAAATGTTTTATAAAAAAATAAGAAATAGATAATGAAACAAATTCCTAAATTCCAAATTTGGGCCTCCAGATGCCTATATTCTGGATGGAGGATGTACATTATTCAGAATTTAATGGCTCTAGGTACCATTGTTTTATCACAGTGCGAGAAATAGACAGAGGCTGTTCATACATTCTTTTAGATTCCTCATTATTTAATTTCTTTAAATATAATCATTGCCACCAAGTGTGGAAAAGTGAAACGCCACAAAATGGAAAAACGAAATTAATAGCCCCTCTGGGCTAAAATTTATTTTTAAAAGTATCACACTAGTAGTAGTACAGCTACTGAAAAAGATATTATAAAGCTATTTTATAGTTTTATAATTTTTTTTTTTTAATTTTATTTTACAGTAGTGTAAATTTCGCATAATAATGAACGACATTCCTTTTTGTGCTCACAGTATTATTCGTAAGGTATTCAACTGTTAGATTTTAAAGTAAACGTAATTCTTGCTGTACATAAATCGAGTAGAAGCTTATCTGATGTCTATATTTGTATTAAATGAAGAAAGTTTATGTGCTTGATAAACTTATTATCTTCTATATTTTTAAAGCATACAATTACAATTTATATCTATAATTTCAGGAATAGTATAACCTTTCTTTCAGTAGAAATTGCGTTCTTGTTTTCTGAATGTGGCTCCAAATACTCTCTCATTTCATCGCAAATTAAAATAACTATAAATTTTCGCCACCGATTCAGAGATCTACACCGTATTCTTCGTTTAAATATGAAAAAATCAGCAGCGAAAACACATACAAAGCCATTGTCTACTTAGTACGTCAACTGCACAACCCTGATTGACGACGCGGCAACACTTTTTCACGCGCTTTCGACAACTTCTGTACTCAGAGAATATAGGCTGTCAGGCAGACCTGTTTTTTACTAGTAGCGACATCTAGTGGCCCACAACTTGCTGTTGACTCTCGTAGCGTAGAATAACCGTCCTGATAAGACAATCATTTTTCTCTATCAGTTACTTAGATTATTTAATTACATAATGCATGCACACCCTTTCATCGTATCATCAACCCTCTTTCCATCTGAATTTAAAAAAAGGACCAAAATTAAATTTTAATGTTAGAAATTCATACCAATATATATTATAACATATATTCATAACAGTAAATATCATGTTCAGTATGTCTTTCAGAATTTTGACAGCAATGAACATAGGTGGGGGGGACAGTAGATATGTTTGTGTATAAACCCATATGAAAAACCTTAGAACTTCAAAGATTTGAAAGCTCTATTTTAAATCTTATATGTGAAGCAAGATTTTCTGTTTCAGCCCTTTGCAAAAAGATGCAAACAAAATAGGGAGAAAATTTTCTTTAAAGATACACAACTCGTTTCATTGGTACTTTCAAAGCGGAAGAATCGTTAGGCCAAAAAGTATGGTCAGCAAACATCTTTTGTGTTCATGGCATTCCTAAAGAAAAGAAAGAAAGATCCAAGGTCATTTGCCACTTCCCCTCCCCCCTCTGCATATAATCCTATGGAAGTGAATATGCACAAAAAATGAGTTCGCAAGAGTTGAGACTATGTTATTTTGCAAGTAACTTCGCTTTCAGTTTGGTTACTATAATATGCATTACAAATGACTTGAAATTGCCAAAAAATGCCTTAAAAACTATAAAAGAGGAAAACAGTATTAAAAAAAACCAAAATTCAAATAAAAAATCTGGGCTTTGCTCATAACCTATGAACTCACCAAACTTTGACCGCAGAGTAAAGTCTAATCAATTCCAGAAAATTTTGTGTCTTCTCATCTGAATATTTGCATTCAAAGATAAATAATAAAATAACGGCGAACTACAGTTCATATGAAGAAAAGACAGAATATAAATTCAATTCACAAATTGGAGGGAAAATCAGCATTAATTTAATGGGATACTTTTCAGGGCCAGCGAGATACTTTATAAAAATGAGCAATTCGTAAACTGAAGGTTCGTAAAATTGTGATTCAACCGTTATAAGTTACTGCATTCAATACACTGTAGATGAGTTTTACCTGTCAAATTGATATACAGCACTTATAATTTTATTTCATTATATAAAATATACAGACTGATGTTTGAGGAAAGAAATACAAAGCATGAGTCAATTTCTATGTGTAATACGAAGATTTTAGATGAATTATATCTATTCTTTTAGTAATTTAAGTATAAAATTACTACTGCATACTGTCATCTTTAGGCCTAAATTCCCCCACCAAATTTTCAGCAGAGTTTCTTAAAGAAAAATCTTTCTAAAACATTATTGATATGATCACTTTAATATATAAATTTTCAGGTGAGTTTTCTGTCTAAAACTATAATTTGGAACTTTAAATGCTTGAGTATAACCATTTTAACTGCTTACTGTTCATGGAATGCATGAAATCTTACCTTCCTCAGGAAGCACCAACTTGCAAGGCAAAGCTAATGGTGTGATTGAATGCTGGTAAACTAAAGCAGACAGGCTTCCTGAAAAGCGAGTACACATTAAAATATATTATTTACAATTTAAATTTAACAAACATTCTCTATTCGTAAAAAGCAAACTTAAAGTTAATTAAATGTTAAATAAAATTGAATTACAAATACATGATTAATTATTGCTGCGAACTAATCTACAGTATCATTTAAATTCTGAAAGCATATGCAAATCAAGTGCAAGTATCAAAATCTATGAAAAAATATATAATTCCAAAAACATTTTTAATCCTAAAAATTATAAAAATGCATAAGTGAATAATTGTTGAGCAGGCAGGAGACAGACTTATCAAAGGAAGGTTGCCTCCAAACCTAACTTTTCAATTATTCATGTTTCATCATCCATGTAGGCAAGGGCAAAAGCAAAATTCAAAATCAAAAGTAAAACCAAATGCTGTGAATTACTAAAAAGAAATTTAAACAAGTGGAATTTTGAGAAATTAGCAAGTAAAGACAAGAATAAAATTTAAAAAATGTCAATTAAGAATAAAAAAAACCCACTGTAATTTAGAGACTCTTGCCTACAGAAAACTTCACTGACATGAATTATGAAAATAAATCAAAAAGAAACTTAATAATATTTATAAATAATACAATATTCAGAATTCGTACACATTTCTGCACATGGAAATTAAGTACTTTTAAGGACCATTAATGAAAAAATTAAGGACCTATGAGTAAATAGCAAATTTATAAATTCAATTAAAAATATTATCTATGCCTGAACTTCACTTTTGTCATACCATCCAAAAAATAAAATATATCCGTAAGTATGCTACATTATTATTAAACATAACTTAGTTAACATTAATTACTAATAAGTTTGAGAATAACTTTATGAAATTTATCAAATATCATTACATATTTTACACTTATAATAGTTCGGCATATTTGAAGGAAGATAAGTGACATTTTATTTACGTTTTACTAATAGTTTCATACTGATTTTTTTAATGTCTCATTTGTCACATACTTGCTCAGTCTGGAGGTTTGGTAAATAAGCAGGTAGATTTTATGTCAAAGCGGGATAGCATAAGTTAAAATGAGAAGTAAAATCATAATCAGAATCATTTATAACAAAAGACTGGCTGTTGTGACCACTGCTCCTTGTCTACTATAGAGAGACCTGCTGATCAGAACAAAAACCTGAAAGACCTGATGTAGGGCACGGTTGGCATGTTTTGAAAGTTAGTTGGGCTCTGTCTGATGCAGTTAGTGTCATAGCTTCGTGTAGAGTTCCAGGGGTTGTAACCCAGTTAATATACTTTAAGGTTTCAATAAGCCACTAAAGCACCAGAGGTGAATACTAAGTTGCTTTGTATTATTTCAGGTCTTACTAGATATGAAGAATAAGTTTTATAATGAATTTTTACATTTTGTGTGTTTTATCTTGTACTATGATAAGGTTTAATGAAAGGCAATAACTCGCTTTTAATATATGCAGAGATATTTTTTTTTAAGGGTAAGCAGTTAGTTATAAATAATTAAATTAGGTAGTTAGATAACCTTAATCATTATGGATTTACATGACCACTATTAAATTTTACTTATTTAAGAATATTTCTTAAAAAGCCCTATTAAAATCACAATCCAATAAAATTTCACAGTTTAAAATACTTGCAATTTATGCCATTGATATAAGAATAATTATACATTAAAAGCTACAAAAGATTTATGTTTTATAGCAACAACCCTCAACAAAACATTTATACGTCTTTTTAATTTGAAGCCTGCCCAGACATTTTGGCTAATTTACATAGATTTCCTTCTCTTTAAGCATCTTTTCTAAGAATTAGAAATTTCTCTCAATATGCAAACTATTGTTCTCACTAGTTTCTGCGTGCTTTATCTCCTAACTTGTCAACCTCTCCACAATGTACCTATGAGGGTTTATTTGATCTGGTAAAAGTTAGATAGTCCAAAACCCCCCGATAGATGTGAAGCAAATTATTACTATGTCTGAAAGTAACTACAGACATAGTAATAATTTTATTTCAGACAAAGGTTTAAATATAGCCTCTTATTTAAAAAGAACTTAAAACATAAAGGCATGGTCTGATGCTAACAAAATCAATTACAGCTTGTGGTGACATAAGTAAACTAAGAACGGTCAAATTCAAACTAAAAATATGGAAACCAGTGGTCAAAGACTTATACAATTTAATTTTAATTTAAGCTGGCTCAGTAACTCTATTGTCATAACAAATTCAAATGTCAGCAGTAATAATGCAGAAAAAAATTACAAATTATCAGAGCTGGCAGGAACTAATGCAGTGACCAAGCGGAGATTAAAAATACATTTTCTGCCTCGCGCACCAAAATCCTCAGTCTAAAAACTGTCTAAGTGATTTGCATTCTGGGGAGGAAATAGAAATGGGAAATTATAGTAAAGGCTGAAATTATAAACAAGTGAGTAATTTACATAATAATATCTGTATATATATTTGAAGAATAATTTTCTTTCTCTGTATGTATTTGTTTTTTTTATTCAACACGCATCCTTTTCATTTTAGAATTTTTGAATTTCTGTTATTCCAAAAAAACTAGATGCATTTAGAATGTATAGAAAAAGCTGCTAATTTTATTTCTTTAGTAATACGAGCATTCAGAAGAAATATGAAATATATATGGTAAAGGCCGGTTACAGAGCTGGTGTGGCAGAATTTTAGAATTTAGTGACACACCGAGCAAAAAATCTAGACATGGCAAAACTTTTAGAATTTAGAGCAGGCACTGGAAGCAGAATTTTGAAAGGCACTAGTCAGCAAAATTTTGGATCTACAGAGATAAGTTTAATGTTCCACATGACTCCACCAGGTGAGGCAATGCCTAGCGTCAAACCTATGTATGATGCATTAAGACATACTAGATTAATCTTTTAAAACTGCCAGCTTCAAATTTCTTTATTAATCAAAAAATTCCTTTCTATAATGCCTCTCCATGTGATACTATTAGAAGCATTTTCAATATTTTCCATGCTTGTATCTAGTGAAAAGTAGAGAAAATAAAGGGAAAGACGAACACGCTAAGAAAAAGATTCTAGTACCAGAAGTAAAACATTCAAATAATATGTTTTCATTGTTCTTCCAGATGATGTTCTCCAAAAAGTAAGGAACTTCATTGCAAACTTTCTGTAAAATACATCCATTACATTTTAATACCATAGAGGCATCTTTCATTTGGTCACATTTTTCTAGAATCTTCTAGAATCATGGGTCTATAAATTTTGCTTTCAAATTCTTCTAAACTTTGCACCTTGCATCCTTCTTCAAGTTATAATGTCTAATGTCCCGAAGCAAAATTACCCTTACCAATTTTGTAACAGCAAATAGCCAGAAATATTTTGAAAAAAAAAAAAAAAAAAAAAAAAAAAAGGAAAAATGTGTAAAATTAATTTTATAGAGAAAATTGATGCATATTCTGAGAATTCTGAATATTCTGAGACAATAACATGAGAAAACTCTTATCATGGGAAAATTAAAAAGAAGATAACTTTAATTAATTACACAGCTATTTTAATTTTGCTAAGAAATGTTTCATAAATTGTGCTTTATAGTATTATAACTTGTTTATTTTTCAGATTCAAAATATAATAAGTGATCAGATATAATAAGTGATATAATATAAATGATAAGTTTTCAGATATAATAAGTGGTCAAAATAGAACTTTATAATATGACAACAAAAAATAAAAATGTTACATTTTAATGTTAATTTTTAAACATAATTTGGTACTATTCGGGCTGTAAAAAATCGCCAAACTATTGTTGATGCCAATGCTGCCAAAAATAATTGCGGCAAGAAAGGAAGTATAATAGTAAATAACTATTTAAGATTAATGTTTTAATTTAGATGAAAGGTTAATTTTATATGAAAAAGGCTAAACATGACTGAATGGAAGTATAATAGTAAATAACTATTTCAGATCATTATTATAATTTACATAAAAATTGCTAAACATAACTGAATGGATGCCTTCATCGCTATTTCGCTACCGACTCATCGCTAAAGCATAATTTCATCTCGTTGGTTGTTCTAACGTAATTTTCTATACTGAATGATGCCTTTTCTTTGAAAATATTCTCGGTAAAGTGCAGAATCGCTCACTTATTTGTATGCCGCTTTTTAGAAGGGTAAAAACAATTGGATTTTTGTTAATTTTCTTTTACTTTTTAAGTGAAAATAGGTCGATGTGTACATAGATAAAGTCAAGGGTGGGCGCAGTGCCATTTTTGTGCAATTCTAGAATTTTTTTCAAGTGAAAATAGGTCGATGTGCACATGAATACCGAGTACGTGCAATTCTTAAAAACGCGTCAAGCAGTGAGTGATTCTGCACTTTACCAAAATTCTATTGCCGACTTTTCGTCAGGGCAATTCCCAAATTGTTAAATCCATAGAATATCAAAAAAGGATTTAAAAAAAAAAAAAAAAAAAAAAAAAAAAGATTTAAAAATTAAACTAGTATTTCAATGGCGTCTTAAGAAATATAGAACTATATAAACTTACGCAATCTGAAATCAGCGCGTACGCTAGATTTGGCGCGCTGTTAAATGGGCGCGTTTACTAGATTTGGCGCTTTTGCGCATACATTTTCGCTGCAATTTTTTTACGGCCCTCGAAACCGAACAGTACCTATAATTTCAATATATTACCATTATTTTAATGAAATTTATGAATGTTACAATGTTTGAAAAAAAATCATAGAAAATTCCCTGGTCTTGGAATTAAAAATTTACTATAGAAATTGATCTTAAAAATCGCCAAAATGTTGATAAATTGCCAAATTTATAGCCGTTCAATAAAAGAATTCACATCTCCAAAAGAGAAAAGTTGTTTAAGATCTCTTCATTAGAAAAAGTGAAATAATTTCTAAATGCTTATGTTTCATTTCTTGCTCAAAAACTAGAGTATCCCACATTTACATTAGAAATAGGAACAAATTATAACCCATTCAAAAGATAACCATATTTATCAATGAATCGCCAAAAATATACCTCCAAAATGCTAATTCACACTAAAAAAATGGCAGTCGTAAAAACTGACAGAAATTTCACATGATTAAAATTAAGGACCTTCTGCCGATTTTGGCCGAAATTAAGGACTTTTAAGGACCGTACGAACTCTGAATATTGTTCTCTTTTAATGGGGGAAAAAGGATAAACTAAACAACTTACCAAACACAGGCTCATTGGGACATCCCTTCAAACGAACTCCTTTGGATGTTGGTTCAATCAAGAAGTGTCTCACAAGTTCATTAGACATATCTCCTGCGTAAAAATTTTCAGTGTGATTTATATTTGATTACATGTTAAAAACACTACAACTGATGACAAAATTATGCATTTGAGTTTTAAATAGTATATACCAGGGATGGGCAAACCTTTTTCAGTCGCGGGCCAAGATAAATTTTTCTAAAATTTTAAAAACATACAAGTATTGCAATTTAAATATGTTAATGAGATGAATGAAATCACGATTTTATTTTTAAAAGTTCCTTATAATGATGAAATCTCGATTTCATTTTTAAAAGTTCCTTATAATAAGGTTCGAAGTAAGATATACTGATTCTAATGAAGAAGGCTAAATGCTCATCTGTCAGTCTACTTCTGAAATAATTCTTTCCGAGGTTCATAGTTGAAAACACTTGCTCACAAGTATAAGATGAAGCAGATTTTCTGGGTGTGAGATGAGATATTAAATTTGGGAAGTTTACTTTCGATAATGATTTGTAAAACTCTAACTTTGGCATGTTTAGAAGCAACTGCTTGAAATGATTGTTAGAATGTAACTCAGTTAATTCAAGCTGCAAAAGCTGCAAGTATGACCTCACTGCTTCACAATGTACGTTGAAGGGCATGGTAAAAATATCATATTCTGTTTGAATGGCACTGAAATCTTGAAATCTACGTTCGAACTCAAAATGCAGTTTTTTCAAGCTATCTTCATAATTCTTAAGCTTCTCTTCATTTACTATTTGAATTTAACCTCAGGAAATGAGATCAGCCGTTCTTAGCTAGCTGCCCAGCAAACAGATTAAGTTTTAGTTTAAAAGCTTTGAGATGGGGGCAGATATCGTCGATAAATTGATTTTTCCCTTGCATCTCAAGTTGCTCATATGACAAAGATGTGTAAAAAATGCAAAATCCCAAAGCCATTCTGTATCTTCTAGCATTTCGCACTTTGTCTCATACAAGATTGACACAGTTTTGTCTTTCAGCTGCCAAACTCGCTCGAAAATGCATCCTGCACTAAGCCACCTTACTTTCTTGTAATAAAGTACATCAGATTATTCAGATTGCACGGACTGAAGAAAATCTTGAAATTGCCTGTGAGTAAGCTCACGAGAACGAATAGTATTTACAAGCTTCATGACTGCATCAAGCACGGGTTTCATATTCAATGCATATTTACACATAGCATCTTGATGTATAACACAATGTAGAAAAACAACATTGTTCCTGTGACAGTTTTAATTAAAGAGTCCAAGAAATCCAGATTTTTTTTTTTTTTTTTTTGTCATATTTGGTGTTCCATCGGTCTTAATATTACATATATTTGTTATAGGCACTTTCAAAATTAAAAGCTCTTCCTGAAATTAACGAAAAATATCACTTCCCGTTGTAGTTCCCTTTAAAGAACGGATGCACGCCAGTTCCTCGGTAATTTCAAAGTTTTCATCAACACCTCTTAAGTAATACCAATTCCCAGCAGTATCATTGATATCAGTGCTTTCATCCATAGCTGTGGAACAAAATTTAAACTGGCCAATCTTTAATTGTGATATCAAACTTTTACCGATGTCTTCGATTCTAGAAGTCACCATTTTTCGAGATAAGCTTACAATCTCAAAATTACTTTTCTTGTATGGACATAAAACATCACAAACTTGGAGCATACATTGTTTAACAAACTCCGCTGAGAGCTTTATTATTTTCTGCAATATTGTATGCTACAATGTTACTTGCATGTGTAGCTGCTTCTTGGATACTGTTTACTTTCTTGAACAAATTTTGTCGGCCTGATAATTTTTTATAAAGACTTTCTGCATTTTGTTTTCTTTCATATTCGGACTGCTTCGTAATTTGAATTTTTATGCTTAGATGTGAAATGATGGGAAATATTCTTTGAAGACTGCTACAGCTTCATTGCAGATGAGACACAGTGATTTATCTTTTACAACTGTAAAAAAATATTTCAAAGTCCATTGACCAATAAAAGCACGGCACTCTGAATCAACTTTACGTTTTTAGTAGCCATTTTGGGATTGAAATATTTTACCAATAACCAATACAAGCACTGGCTACGCTATACTTTTAATAATTTCACTATTCACAATGATGCTATATGTCCGCAATCTTTCCATTACGCAATCAATAATATTAGAATGCGCGTCAAAAGAAAAAAACGCTGGCTGGAGTCTTAAAATGTGCAGTCTGCCTTATGTGAGGTCTAATTCACATTGGATTTCCATATGTCTGCTCCCGAGAAAGAGAAAGCATTTGCTAGTGCCAAACTACAGCTATAACTAACAAAGGACTTCCTCTTTTAACACTTTACCGATTGAAAGCTGTCTGTGCTTGCTATTCCAGTCGATTTATGTTTTGTAGAACAAAATTAGAGAAAGTAAAAAAATCATCAGTCCTTTGAAAAAAAAGGAAGGAGAAAAATGATATTTAAACAAAGTAGAAAAGGACATGGATATATAATATATAAATATATATTTCTTTTAATTTGCCTCTATCTACGAGCTGTATAGAACTTTCCGTTGGGCCACAGTTGGCTCGTGGGCCGTAGTTTGCCCATCCCTGGTATATCCAGTTATATGCAATTTAATTAGCACCAATATACTATAATTTGATTTATTTAAAATTGTATTTATTTTTATTATTGCATTAATTCCTCTTCTTTCAACATTATTAACCTTTGAGAAGTTTCTTGCCAAGAAATTAACATTTATTAATGATTCCACTATATTTCACACATTTAATCCTTAAAAATGTCTCAATACAGCATACATACGGATAGAATACAAGACAGTTCAGATATTTTTAAAAAATATATTTTACATTAATAGTATTACAAAATGTACAGGCGCAGTAAGATGGCTTCCCCGCAAAGCAGTTTTAGGGTTGCCATAAAATGGCAAGGGAAGGCATGGTTGCCACATTTGGCGACAAAATTGGTGATATACCATGGACAGATGGAGAACCTTCTAGAACGAATTCTTACCGGTTTAACCCAGTATGTTCTCGAACACAAGCCGAAAGCTATATAATCCCTGCTGGCTCGCAGTCAGCTAGTGTGTGTGCCTCGTCGCAAGTGCGATTTAGTATCGAGTTGGTGTCTCTCGTCTAGCGAGTCAATCGAGTTAACAGCCGGGCAGCGAGTGCCCAGTGGGTCGTCGAGTTCACCGAAGGTGTCTCTTAGTGTATCACGGTTAGTGCATCGTCAAGAGAGCGTGTTGAGCTCTGGGAACGACTGAACTGAAAAGTCAGGAGCCGTGCTCTGTGTGTCGTTGAGTGCATCGTGAGTTGTAGCGTGGAGAGTCTCGTGAGTACATGGAGTTCCAAAAAAGACCGAGCAGAGTCGGGAGCTGTACTCTAGTGCTTTGCAGTGAAGCTGTCTCCGCAGTGATAGCCTGATAACCTGAAGGCTGTGTCGCTGATCGTGTCAGTGTGTTTATAGTAGTTCATCGATGACTGTAAAACATGTTTTGGAACTGTCCTAATAATACTGGCAAATAAAAGTGTGTTTCGATACTTCATAAAGTGTCGTCGTTATTCACTCCAAATCTACAAATCCCGTATGAAAGTGAAGGAAGAAAATAACATAACAATAGTTAGGTTTTTACTTTCTTGAATTCTCATCAGTTATTAAAAATTTTCATTAAATTTCAAATTAAAATTCTTAAGGTTTGTTATCCGACTTCAAAATAGTATTTTCACTAATGATAAGACATTACTGGAATATTGTTAAGCTCACACAGGCTATATGCCTCAGTAAAACACTTTCAACAGAAAATAGGCTCATATTCACATTACACATGGTACAAACCATACATAAAGCCAGCCAGTTCACCTGGGTTTGAATTCAGTATGAACTACTGGCATCAACAATCTTATGTGCTTGACCACCGAGGAGGCAATGGTAAGTGATGATACACTTTTTAACACCAAGTTTCAAAGAGAATACAATGCTGTATTGCTTTCCAATAACTTATGACACAGATTTACATCCATAAATAATCCATCAAAAATTGAAAATCTTTACCTCAATGCTGATTGGAAATTTAGCTTTTATAATCCTTCACAAAGCTTCAAAGTTCTAACAATTTTTTTTTTTTTTTTTTTTTTTTTTTTTTTTTTTAATCGAAGAGTTTCACATCATCTATATATTTCACACATTGTTATTTTAAATTCTTTATTACTCTTTGTACATTTACTCTATGTTCATTACATTTACTGTTAGAATAATCTTCTTCTTTATTACTCTTTGTATATTTACTCTATGTTCATTACGTTCTTACAAAATTTGTAATTACAGAATCTCTTAGTTTTTTTTTTTTCCCCCAATGGAATAATAAAGTATCTTAATAAATATGTTACATAAAATTTTTTAGTGATATTCAAGAGATTTTAGCTGCTAATTACCTGATTTATTCTGCACATTGGGTGGAGGAGTAGCTACTTTCAAGGCTAAACCATAAGCACCAGGGAAAGAGTTGCTATCTCTCACAACAAAGGTTCCAGGAGGTTTGTCTTTTAAGATGCTTATAGCTTAAAAAAATTAAAACTTATAACATTTAATTTCAAATAATGAGGAACACAGAACTTTAAATAAAATACTTAATGATAAAAGTATTCAATAAAACAAACTATTATTATTTCTAAACTTTTCATATTCATAAAGGAGTTCACAGATTTTTTAATTCAAAATTGTAGCTCATAAAACATTTTAATACTTTATTTTTAAACTGGTATAATAAGTAAAAATTTATGAGGAGACAAGGCAATCAAAATCTTTGCAATGAACACAAGAAAAATAGACATATTCTTACAGGTTTTATATATTTATAGTAAGTAACCTACCTTCTTCTCTAGATATGTTTGGCTTGTACCAGAATTTCGAAGTATCTTTTACAAACATAGGATGATGGTGTATTACTTCTGAAGGTTCTGAAATTATTAAATGTTACCTTTATTATTTTAAAAAAAGGATGTTGAGAGAATATTTTTATACATATGCTAGTCTTGTGATCATGCATGCAGTATAATAAATTCTTTGCCAAAATAAAACAATTTTTTGGAGAGGGAAAAAATAGAATAGAACTGGTTACAAAAGTTACAGCCCTACGGAAAATAACTGTACATGCTCATATTTTCCCCCACTTTACTGCCATGTATAAGGTTTAGCAGAAAACTAAACATTACTTTTCTACCATTTGATATTTTATAGGGATACATATGAACTCAAAATATGGCGTCCTTAAAACTGAAAATAATACTAACCATACCTTTAATTGATTTTGTAAAGTTCTACTAATTTTCATTTTGAATGTATGGGATTTACTAAACTTCATCAAAATTTACTTTTTGTTACTGAAAAATATATATTTTCAGTCTGCATGCACATAGCAGTTACATATTCAAATACAAGATCATCGTAATTAAACTCAGCAGCTGTAACTAAAATGCGGATTGACTCAAAACTTTGTAGACATACAATTCAAAGGTTGCACTGAAAGATTATGGGGGGGTTAAAAATGTTTCACCAGGGGGCACATTACAGCTAAAATGTTTGAAAAGGCATGCAATAAATAACTGTGGGCTATTTTAACATTGTAAAGCATTATGGGACTTAAAACATTTTCATATTTTCAAGCATTATAACAGTCAAAGAATGATAATTGTGGCCCTTGAAGGTGAAGAAGAAAATCTGATTTGCATGAGCAGATTGATTGGGCATGAGTTCTGAATATAAAAAAAAAGATCAACTAAGTAACATTCTTCACCTCATTCTCTTTTTTTTTAAACTACGCATTTCACCTGTATCCTGTATTTTCTGCATTTGTTTCAGCAGAAGTGTTAAAAAATTTTCCGACTTCACCAGGTACAGGTAAGAGTATTGAGAACACCAGAAACTTCATTAAAGATCAAACAGGTATAGTTCCTAATCACTAAGTTCTTTAGAGGGAAGTTCCGACTTCAACAAGAAAACGGTGAGAAATTTTCAAATGCCCATATCAAATGACCCAAAAGGGCCAATGAATAACTTACAGCAAAAAATACGAATTGGCTCTCACAGTCACACGACTCTACTTCAACAGTTTCAACACATTAGATTACTTGTTTTCCCTTCCTAAAGGTAGTAGTTTTTCTTGTCTCTCAAAATATGTTTTACACACATTCTGAAGTGATAGTGATTCCGTGATAGGCCTGACAGAACTGAAATCCTTTTTGCATGATGGCTTCTAAAACTCCAAAAATACTGCAGACCTAAATAAGCTAGAAAACAAATTAAATAGAAACTTTCTCCTTGAGGAAGCCACACTTGTTATCCAACTCCAACAGGAAAAATGATCAGATAAATCTCTTACGGAATGCTCCTTTAATAACACAAATGCCAGATTCTGATGCTATGCAAAATAAAAACTAAAAAAGCACCACCTGCAAGTGTAAATGTGATGGGGAGAAAAATTCGCCAAATAGCAACACTGACTTCTCTAGCCAAACCAAGTTCCGTATACTTCAGCAAGACCAAACACTTGATGATGAAAACACAGCAGAAATGACAAATGGTACAAGTTTTAGTAGCCTAAAAATATGCAGGGAGGATCCCTCCTTTGGTTACTATGCAACCAACTTTAAATTGAAGGAACTCTGAAAAGAGATAAAAGAAAAACCTTGAGTCAAACAGATGGAAAGCAAGAATAAGGATGAAAACCTGAAAGTCAAAATTTTTAGTGTTTCAAGACGAAAGAGAAAAGATACCATTTTATACACATCTCTTAAATCCTGATAAATACATCAGAGTTGTTATCAAAGGTCTCTAAGAATATCCTGGCAGATGAAATCAAAACTGAAATGGAAATCCCGTGTTATTAAATGCAGACAGCTTGAGCACATGCCCAGTACAGTCCCTGTTAACTTGCCTGAATTTTTGTGGGAAATTCCACGTACTAAACAGGGAAAGAAAAACTACCATACTCAATTTATTTTAGACATGCAAGTGTCTTGTTGCTTACAAAAGTTGACAGATCCTACACAATGTTTCAACTGTCAGCACTATGGCCATATTCAATGCACTTGCCACAGTAAATCAAAATGTGTTCATTGAACATAAATCTTCTGAATGTATCATGAATCGCTGCCAATTGAGTGTCATATAAGCTAGAGCAATTTTGCTCATCACATTTAAAATTCTGTTGTTGTAAATACTACTCTCAGCAATAACTCAGTTATTGGTACACCTATCATTTTATTAAATATCAAAATTCAGAATGCCTTTAACAATCCAAAATTTGGATTGGCATAATTTCATGGGCAGTTTACACCAACCATGGTATGTGTGTGTGTGTGGAAAAGGCCATTAAAAAATATCTGCTAAGTATATCCTTTGTATTGGTCAGCATGTTGGCAGTAGCAAAGACTGCCCAAAATGGTCGGGAAATTTATAAAAATATCGAAGGAGTCAAAATCACCCATGCCATGAAGAAGATTGAAAATTCGACGGGCTCAATCCTTTCACAGCACCAACTAATTTGCATTCATGTAACAACAAATCATTTGCAACCACTGTTAACTGCACCAAAAAGGGGGGGGGAATTCAGGAAAAAAAAACAGAATAAAATATAAATGAATCAGGATATTCTTAGTTAGTTTAAAAATTTAATTCACAAACTAGGAAATTTGTATGAAAAGCATCAAATGCAACAATGATAAAATAGATTTAGCTCTTGCAACAGCAGAATTACCACAGGTCCTGGGTTGGATCCCTGGGCTGAGCAAGGTTGACTCAGCCTTTCATCCCTGGAATGGGTCGATAAAATGAGTACGAAGTTCGCTAGGAGACTAAACACTGGGGGTCCTGCGACAAACTGACCACTTGTCCAGGCAAAGATGCGCAAGCACCCTGGAGCCCACAGTCTAGAAAGCAGACATCAGGGCACTTGCCGGCCATGGCTCTCTTAGGGCTGTTTGTGCTGCTGAGTTTAGTTTAGTTTAGCAGCACAATTGCTGACATCATGTGACTATGTATAATACACCTAATACTAATAATAGAAATAACATGCTGCATATTACATATGCTAAATTTGCCTTTTTTAACTGCAACAGCATCAAAAATCAGGTTCTTCAAATGAAACGATACATCTCCAAAAATAATCTGGACATGTTTATGCTACAAGAAACACATCTCAGACTGACTGACTCATTTGAAATAGCTCACTATGACATCCACATCTACCACTTTTATGTAGGATGGTGGCCCTCCACATTTATGGCAGCATTTTACTAATAACAAGAGTGATTAGCTGTTCATTTTCCACACCTTAGGCAGCCTGTTTCATGATCTTACTGTAAAAGATTTTTGGTTATGGGGTTATTTAAACAACATGGAATTTGGCTGATATGAAGGAATCTTTATTGTTGCATGTGAGAAAGTTCACTGATGATCAGCTGTTGAACAACACTGTTCAATGCACATTTTACATCTTAATGAATGGGCTCACACTGAACAATATGCTTCACAATGCTAAATAATGTGCAAGTAATAAACAATGCTTTCATTGGAATTCGTAGCTTGTTTGCATTTTGATATAATGCACCCCTAGGAGAATTTTTTTTTTTTTTTTTTTTTTTTTTTTTGTTTTGTTTTGTTCTCTCCCCCCAGGAATCTTTTAGTGGATATGTATTTTAGTTACAGGCCAAATTTAATTATGATCACATTGTAGATATTTACAGTTTCTATAACTTTGTTTTACAATAATGCAAGCCAAATAATTATAGTTGTAACAACATCTGAATATCAAAAGGCAAACACAGTTTAAAATTTAAAAATACAACTTGCCAGTAAGTGAAACCATGCTAGAAGGCCTTGACTGTCCATAATATACTGTTGGTGAACTCTGACCATTAGTGCTGCTGGCACGAATTATACCAGGTGTATCATGATGCACATTTTGTACTGCTGCAGGAGATGGACTGCGATCCTTCCTAAATTATTATTAAATCATTTAAATTATTCTAAAAATTAAATGGCACAAATAAACATAAAAATTTTAAAACTACTATATAGGTTAAAAAGTTTCTTCTTTTTTTATTTTACCTTTTTTAAATTTTTTTACCTTTTTTTTATTTTACCTTTTTTAAAACTTCTGCATTATATGAACATTTTCTGTCATTAACTATAACAAACATAATCATTTACAGGTAAAATCAATTTTAGTAAATCAGATTTTTTTTTTTTTTTTTTTTTTTTTTTTTTTGCCAGACTGCAGCAGCATGCAGTCTGACATCTGTTTTGTGGGGTATTATGATAGCCTGTGATAAACTGTAAAACTTAAAAAGTATGTCAGCTGAAGTAGTTAAGAAATGGTGATCTAATGAGTATAAATGACTATCACATTCTCTTACATCTCTCATAACTTAATGTTTAATAAATTAAAGCAGCAGTAATACCAGTAATGCTTAAGTGTGTTTGTGATTTTCCTAACTTTTAAAGATGCAATTACACTGTAAATGTGTGTAAGCAGCACCTATATGTATGCTATAAATGCTCGCAAATGCCTAACTATTATTTTTCATGCAAATTAATTGCCAGTTTGACTTACAACAGGTTTCTGAAGAACACTTTACTTTCCAGAGAGCAAAGGGATCTGTATTATCAACAGCATGTGCTGAAAGGAATGGCTTTCTGCATTGTTATTTTATATTTGCTTCATTCTTTTAATCAATTATAAGATATCTGTATCATGCTTGATAAAACATGAGCCTTCAACCATTATTCAGATCATTATTGAGTATTCAGATTGAAAATCTAGGGTTCCACTGATTTAAACTGAATTCTTTACAGAACTACTCTTTTATTACAGAATTACATTTTTGTACAAAACTAACATCAGAAATGTTACAACAGAACAGAAACTATAAGGGTTGCCCAAGTGAAAAGTGGACAAGTTGAAGAAAAATAATACCTTTATTGTAATTCAAAAGAAATCGCCATGGGCATTGAAACACAGGTCCCAGCGTTGTGGCAGCAGCTTGATGCCGTTGCTGTAGCAAGATTACGGTTGATTCCTGAGAAAGTCCTGCACGGCTTCCTTCACTCCATCATCTGAATGGAAATGTTTACCCTGTAAGGCTCTCTTAAGTGGCCCAAAGATGTGAAAGTCACAGGGTGACATGTCCGGACTGTACCGGAGGGGTGCTCTAAAACCTCCCAACAGAATGTGTTTAAACCTTAAAGGTCCTCTGGGTTTCCTGGGAGACGTATGGGCGGGCATTGTCATGCAGAAGGATGACTCCTTGTGTGAGAAGGCTCGGCCATTTGTTTTTTTTTTTTTTTTTTTTTTTTCCTGTCGCAGTTTTGTCAGAGTACTGCAATATTGTGTGGAATTGATAGTGCTCCCTTGGGGCAGGACAACTGAAGAAAAATGAAAGCATCACTTTCCGTGCATTTATCCACTAGCTTTCGAATTTTCGGGGTGGAGGAGATGAGCTGTGCTTCCATTGCATACTCATTTTCTTGGATTCGGGTGTGTAGTGGTGGCACCAGGTCTCGTTGCCCGCAACGATACGATCCAGAAATGTGGGATTCTCCTCATAATGGATCAAGTGCTGGAGACAGAAGCCCATTCGTTGTTTCTGATGATCAAGGGTCAGGTACCCATGCTGCACACACTTTGCTGTACCCCAGATGTTTGTGGATAATGGTGTTAGCCGTTCCTTTACTCAGGTTGAGTTCGTGACTGATTTCACGGGTCATAACCCTTCGATTAGCTTGGATCATTTCATTAACGGAGGCAATGGAATCATTGGTGATCACTTTGTTTGTTTGGCCCGGTCTCGGCAGATCCGATGTCGTTTCACAGGATGTCGCCCTTCACGGAAACTTTTGCATCATTTGTTTACAGCTGTACAACCTAAATAGTGGTCGCCATACATTGTCACCATTCTTCGATAGATGTCCACATTACGCTCACCTTCCGCAACCAGAAACCATACTACCGTGTGTTGTTCTGATCTGGATGCATCCATGGATAGCACGACTTTACTTTCGCACAATTTAATCTCCTACAAACAGGTTTCACGGGTAAACGCCATCTGAGATGGCGTTTAACCGTGAAATAACAGGTTTAACAGTATAACATAATAACAGGTTTAACGGCGTTTAACCGTTAAACCTGTTTGTAGGTGTGTAGTGGTGCCACCACTACACACCCGAATCCAAGAAAACGAGTATGCAATGGAAGCACAGCTCATCTCCTCCACCATGGAAATCGAAAGCAGTGATAACTGCATGGAAAGTGATGCTTTCATTTTTCTTCAGTTGTCCTGCCCCAAGGGAGCACTATCAATTCCACACAATATTGCAGTACTCTGACGAAACTGCGACAGGCAAAAAAAAAAAAAAAAAAACAATGGCCGAGCCTTCTCACACAAGGAGTCATCCTTCTGCATGACAATGCCCGCCCACACGTCTCCCAGGAAACCCAGAGGACCTTTAAGGTTTAAACACATTCTGTTGGGAGGTTTTAGAGCACCCCTCCGGTACAGTCCGGACATGTCACCCTGTGACTTTCACATCTTTGGGCCACTTAAGAGAGCCTTACAGGGTAAACATTTCCATTCAGATGCTGGAGTGAAGGGCATACATCATACCGCCCTTTATATACATGTGCAGTGGTCCTGCTATCGATGCATTCATTCTGATGTTATCGCACGTGTCCACTTTTCATTTGGGAAACCCTTATATCATCAGAAATATCTCATTTAGCATATCTTGATCAGAATGTTGAGAGCAGGGGAAGAGAGTAACTTATTAATGAAGAGAGACTACTCTGTGAGAACTACTATCAAAAGAGATTAAATTAGTAAAATTTCGTGTGAATAATTTTAAAAAATTCTATCAATGCAGACAATGCAAATCAGAACATTCTAATATCATTTGTTATTAAGTGCACTTAGTATATGTGTAAATATTGCTATCAACGGTAAACATAAAAGTTCTTAAGACCAAGTAACTACAAGTGATATCATTCTTGCCATAAAACAAATTACATTTCAAAAATTAAAAATATCACATTTAACCTCTTCGTGCCGAATGTCACGTCTACGTGCCAGCAACGAACACACTCACCTCCCAGCCGACACGCAGGCATGCCAGAGCATTTTCCCATTCACTACCGACTGTCACGTATTTGTGCCAGTGTCCTGGAACGTTGTAAAAACTATAATTTCTGCCACAAGATGGCACTGTATGTCCATATGGTTTCAGATACATGTACATTAGACCTTCTACTCGAAATGAGAGAAGCATGACTCACATACACGTGTTTTTGATTATATAAACAAAAGGGGAAATAAATGTTTCCGAATGGCGTGCTTTATGATGTCTCTTTAAATCACACTTTATTCGCACGTGGTAGTTGTTATTTAAGTAGAGAAGTTTTATTTGCACTAAAACATTGGGTATTTCGGTTTGCAGTTCAGTTTTTAGAAAATAATTAGATCTTGTTAGACGTGAATTCTTTCTGTTTTTACTGTTGCAATGTCGAAGCGTCAAAAATGTTTAACAGAGCATGAAATAGCAGAAATGATGCAAAATATTTCAGATATTGATTCTGAAATTCAGATATTCTGATACTGATTCTGAAAGATTAACTGAAAGACATTTTCCAAAACTTTGTTCAGAAGAGACTGATAAGAAAATTGGAAGACGATGCTTCGTTTGTTCACATTCCTGGAAAAATCCTCCAAAATGGCAAATGAGTTATTATGAGTGCAAGGAATGTAACGTAGGACTGTGTGTAGATCCCTGTTTTCAAATTTTTCACACGAAAAGAGAATTTTAAGTAATATATTTAGTTTTCAGATGTATAATGTTAAAAGTCATCAAATGGTGAGTAATGAAAATAAAATGTGTAAAATATGCATTTAAACAAGAAATAAGGTAATTAAAGTATATAACATAAAAATAAAGCATAAGCCGTTTAAATACTCTATAGAGCATTATTAAACAATGCGTTGATACTTCGGAAATTTCATGGATTTACGCTTAGTAGCAAAAAAGCCCCCAGCCCTGGACAAGACGCTCGCGTAAGACACTGCCGGCCTCCGCGATAAGCGCACGTTTGCGCTATCCGGCTCGAAGGGGTTAAACTTTGTTTTTAAAAACCCATTTATATTTTAACATGGTAAATCATAAAAGGAGTACATAATTTTCATCATAAAGATGTGCTCATATCAATGAAATAAGAGTACTGTAAAATTTTATTATATAATTATCATAATTTAACAAACTGTGCAGTTTAAATAGTAATCTAAGTCTGCTAAAATGTTAAAAGATTTCAAATATACTGATGTATAGTAGTAAACAATTTAAGAAAATTAAAGACTTCAGCAGAAAATTTAAATTTTCAATTAGTTGATCTCCGAACACACTTCCTAGGTTCACAGTTCTAAAATTATTCACTTGATCAACAAACAGTACTTTCCCGTAGCACATTTCTCATTTGAAAAAAATTATGTCTGCCTTTGTCCGGGAGGGGTAAAGATAAGATAGAAATTTTTCAAAGATACTGACAAGATCTGTTTTAGTTTCAAGAATAGCAAAGAAAATTATTTCTGATGCTTGTCACAAAAACTTGAAAAATGCATTAAAAAATACTGATGAAAAGTTAAAATATTTCAAGCATGCATCATGAAAAAACTTCACTTACTTCCAATCACTTTCATATAAACAAGACCATCTGCGACAATTCAGAAAACTGGAAGAATCTCTCAGAGCTAATCTGTAGCTGGGAGAGAAGCTAGTTTCCAGAAAGTGTTAGTATGTTAGAAAAGTTAGGGGAGTGACAAACAAAGTTAAGCAAAAACAGAAACACAAAGACAATTCAAATCTATGTTAAGCATATGACAATCAAAATTAGGTTTTATTCTTTAGAAATGATAGTTCAGAAGCACTTCAGAAATCTCTATTTTCTGTTGTATTATTAATTCCACAGCTGTATTAATTTTTGTAGTTCTACCAGATAATGCAGTGGACGGAAAAGGGTAAAAATACAGGAAATATTTTGAAAAGTAATTAAAATAATTAAGCATCATAAGGCAATTACCGTGACATTGAAGGACTTTTGGGAGGCAAAGCAGAGCTTGTGCTATCTGGAACAAAAAAAAAAAAAAAAAAAAAATCATATAATAATTATTTTAGCCACTTAATGTTTCAAATTAAATAAAACCTGAAATTAATACAGCAACGCATCTCTTAACACTGCGCTATTATCCTGTCTACACATTTGTCACTTTAGGTGATACACAAGTGCATCTGCTGAAAACTTATGCATGAAAGTTAAAAAAGTAACACTTGTTAAAGCAAGCTGAATATGCAATGAAGATTTAATTAAGATTTATTAATTCATTGACTGAAGTTGATATAATAAGGAAAAAGAACTAAAAGAGAATTTAAGAAAATAAATTAAGTGTTGAAAAGCAGGAGGGGGCACACTGACTGACTACTCTCAGCTCAGTTTCAAATGCAATATGTGCGATTTTATGATAATATACAGTTCTGCTATAAGTATTCATATTTACATAAGGTATTCCACACAGCAAAATAAAAGTCTGCATATAAATAAAATAATTACGTCTTTTGATCGTGTACAACTACATAAGACATAAAACATATTTTTTGCTTTAAGCCTTGCATATCTCATTCAATGTGTTCTCCAATAGCAGTCTTACTAAACACATGATGCAAATAAACTCCACATGATTGCAATAACATTAACTTACTAAAGTGCAGTACGCTATCAATTTACAAGGTGGAATTCTTTGAATATCATGACATCTTTCATTTTCTTACTTTATGCTTATCAAAAGCTTATGGAGCTTTTGAAAAATTCTTCATTTATGTATTAGTTTCTGCAGCTACTTCTAAAAATCTACCAAATCACACTCAGTCTGCATCTCTCTGATAGCCGATTGGCAGTATTCTTTGTCTAAAAATGCCATACTCACACAAAGAAGAAAAATCCACTGTATACCCAAAGAAAGGTCTAAAGATTTCAGCCACTGATTATTCGCTATGAAATCTCTAATGTAAATGGCAATCCTTTGTGTCGGTGGTCTCAAACTCAAATTAGGCCAAGAAGAAGGATGGGTTGTTTTAAAATGAATGAGAGTGATATAATGTGTATGAGCAAGATACATGTATTTTGCACCATATACGTATATCCCTAATGTATGGATACCACACCTTTATAATTCAATTTTAGGATTGATGCACATGAGATTTTACTTTCAAAATTTATAATACTTTACATAACATTTAGTTTTAAAATGTCTCAAACATGGTTTAGTATAAAATTTATTTCAATAATATTCAATTCTATTTTTATAGTGTTTTTCTTTATACTAACTTTTTATTTCTTAAATTACTATTCTCTCTTTCTTTCCCTGGCTAAAATTATGACTCTCATTTTTTTGGTTATTCCCTCTTCCCCCCCCCCGTTTTCTTTACATGTCTAGTTACTTACAGATCTGTGTAAAAACACAGAAAAAGAAATAATAATGCAAAGGAAAAGAAATTCAGATTAATATTTATTTTCAATCTGAAATCTAAAGGTTGGTACCTGCAAGAAATCTCCATTGGCTGCACTTCAAAATTCAAATGTATTGATAACTAAGTGTTAAAATTTTGAAATTAAAGTGTATTTCAAATTACTCTACTATGTTCATTAACCACTAGATAACTTATTTTTAATTTAAATTAAAAATAAAATTTAATTTAAATTAAAAATAAACAAATTACAAAAGATTTCAGCCACTGATTATTCGCTATGAAAAGTTGGAGTTTAAAGTTGGAAAAATCTTGAGTATGGCAACCATCCTTTTTTCTTTTTTTTTTGTTTATTAAATTTTTCTTTGATACACAAAGAAAAAATACACATTTTTGTATGTAATAATTACAAATTTCTTTATTTCTTGCTACAATTAAGCACTGGATGGCATTTCGATTCTGCTAAAGTTTCTAGCCTTCAAAAAAATTTCTTGAAACTGTCTGCTTCACAGATTGTAGATGCTCACTGGTCATTCATGTTTTTTTCTCAGACATTAATTTTCAACTACAAGAAACACTGTTCACATAAATGTACTCCTGAACAAAGTGATAATTTACACTGCAGAAATTCATAACTGAGGGTATTTACATTTTGATCAGTATGAATAAAATTTAACCATATATGTATCTTTGAATATTGTTACAAATTTTGTACTTATGTAAATAATTTTAATGAAATTATAGTTTTTTTTTAGGGAGGGTTTATAATGTAACATGAAAAGTGAAATCTTGTCAGAAAAGTAGCAGGGGCAAACATCGAGTAAATGGCTACCTCGCCAAATTAAGAACATATCGCTAAGCTGGCAATGATTTTGACGACTAATTGTCGCCGAATTTGGTGAGAAACCGCCAAAAGACGCCAAACTTGGTGATATTTTAGTCCAGTCCCTGCATAACTGTAATAGGTATTGTAATTGGTCTTATATGTAGCTCTAACCATATCCAGCCCTCATATGCTTTCCAGTAATTTCGAGAAGTGGAAGGTACTAGCAATTTCTCGGTGGCTGTGGAAAAACTATACTATAAGAACGAGAAGAGCATTAGTTTTTCTGAGTTGTTTAATTCAGCGTGAGTTTGGAGTGTTGAGATACCTTCATGTCAGCTTCGCTCTTTAGATGCACTGCATTTTGTTTTACGTTCTTAGTTATTTGTAGTGTAACTACTGATTGAACACTTATGATACTGACTGTAAAGAGCTGTGTGAGTATTCTTGTGGAAAATTCTAGAACTGTGAAGTATCAAGCTATCATTGGTTCTATGTGCATTCATTCTATTACAAACCTGTATGCACACAACAATATTATTTGAAATGTACTGTAATTAATTAGTTCCATTTTTAGATTTTGTTATGCATTACTCTTTTAATGGTAATGAAATTAATGTAAAATTGGATTCCAAATTATTAAAATCTCTAAATATGTCTTCAAATTCTTGTAGTAATAATGACATTTTTCTTGCATATTCTTGAGATTTTTCATTTCAAATAATAGAGCAGGATTTAAGATGTAAAAAATTCAATAAACATTTTGATTGCTGTTGTGTTCTCCCAAACTGCAATTTAGCTTTAAGAGCTTTAATACATACATATCAGCATTAAGTTTATTCTTTATCAGCTTTAATACAAACATACATGTCAATGTTAGGTTTATTCCTTAGTTTTAGTTCTTTACTGAAAATATTTAAATGGCTGGCTAAGTAAATAAGAAATACTCTATTATTCATGTATCATTATGTAGCTCTTCAATCATTTAAAATTTATAAATTTATTTTTTGTGTGTATCATGAAAATTTCAATTTCATTCATAAGTCAAGGTCCATTTTAATACATTCTAAACTTTACCGCCTCTCCTCATAATATTAATTATTTCTCTATATTCACTTTCAGTTTTTTTGAAATAATGCAACAAATTCTTAATGACTCAGAGCTTATCCACAGATAAAGTTTACTGTTTTATAACATTATATATCTGAAAGTTTTGGCATCAAGTGCTTTGTGAGGAATAATGCAATGTAAGAGCAAAAATTATTTTGAAAATTTTCTTTTATTTTTTAATCTTTCTTCTATTTTGTAATTTTACTGCTTCCCCCCTTTTTTCAATTACTAACCATAGCAGTTGCACTATCAATAGCAAATCATACAATTTTATCCCAATTTTATTTATATTTATCTGTTTATAGTTTTTATTTCAGAAAAAATATTCTGTGTATCAGTTTTTTATTTCAGAATTATTTCCATTCATATTTATTACTTGAAATTCAGCACCACCATCTTGTTCTAAACGGTGAGTTGCACTATAGCTATGCCTGTATGCTCATCAACAGCCATTAGGATTGCTGCAAAATCTATACTTTTTTCATCTAACAGATATAAATTACTTGTGATTTCATTAATACATTCCCCTACTGTATTGGTTGACAAACTAATATTTTTAAATAATTGTTGTTTGTCAGAATAAAGAAACTCAGCAGACATTATCAAATAATCTGAGGAACACAATCAGAAAATGGTATTAATCGTTTTGCAATGATGTGCGCGAGAGCAAAATCTGCATGAATTGCACTAGATTTATTTGCTGTGTCAGAAACTGTAACTTTTCTTCTCTCAGTTTCTTATCCAGGATATCAAGCTTTGATTTATCAGTTTCGTAATGCTGACATAAATTGTATTCTTTTGGCCTGATATTCCCTTATTAGATATAAAACATAACAATTTTAAAGCACACAACATTATAAAAATACTCTTTTTTCTCATTTATTTTGAAAAGATGTCTTCGTCCTCTTTTTACCCTTTATCAAAAACCTTGCCTGCAGTTTAAGCTTTTAACTAAGATCTTTTCAAATTTTAATTCAGTCTGATGACTTTTCATATCAAAACAAAACTCAAGAGTTATGCAAAACTCGTCTAACTTCCTTTATGCATTAAAGGTTCTTTATCTTCTTCACTATCTTTGTTTCCACCATTGGCTTTTGTTAGAGATTGTGACAGTTTGATTGTAACTGAACTTTTACTACGTTCCAACTATTCATTCAATTGCATTATTTTATGTACCTAAACATTGGATTTATATTAATTATAAAAAAAATGCCACCAACATTAAAAACGATGACATTTATGTTTGTTATCTAGTCTTGCTGATAAAGGGAAATGACTATTTGGATTGTTTTCCCTTATCCACCTTTCTAAAAGTTTGATTAATAATTGAGGTTTTCATTAATTTTTTAAACTATTATTATACATTAAATCAAGTATTTGAAGAAAATTTTTTACTACTCTGTTGTTCAGAAACTTTAAATATATTTAAATGCTGCAGAAGATGCATGGTGAAAAAGATGAATGATGATGATGGATGCATTTTTACTCAGATATAATTTCGTTGAATAAAGAACACATCAAAGCAATATTAGTGCAGATATACAATTACAGAAATATAAAGATGCATGCAATATTTCCATGATTACAAGTACACATATTTATGTAATAATTGCCAATAGAGATTGTATATTACAGGTTAGTACAACAAAAGTAGGCATAAGAAAATCTAGCATTACGGTACTGATGTTAGACCAAAACACTGATGAAGTTTCTTTAATTCTCAACAAAAGAGTATAGTATTGCCTTATTATTACAAGTTAATTAAATGCTTCAATTTTATTACAATTAAAGATAAAAGAACTCAGCTTCATTTAGTTGTTATGTAATTATTTGCCTCAGCTACATTATGTAAGAATCATATGATTAAAACTTAAATTGATATTTTTCAGAAGAAATTGTTATAATTATATAAGTTCTCCCTTCTGTTTTAAAATAAGTTCTTATAACTCTATTAATACATAAATATACACATATCTAATGAGAACTGTAGTTATATGTTTTGAGGAAATGTAATATTATTTAATATAAATAGAAGATAAATCATAGTCATTGTATCTGAAATTAGATGAAGAGCCAATTATGAAACTTTTATTGTTTAATGCATTGTTAATAGTTATGAATAGCTCAAATCTTCATGGGAAAATCTTCATGGGAAAATCTTCATCTGAAAGATTTTAAAACACAATGTATCAGAGGAAAAATCAATACAAGAACAAAACAACAGTATTTATGATTATCGAATTATATGCGTAACTTAAAAAGAAACTGACAGGTAGAATACTTAGTTGAGAATGAACTCTTAATGTTATTTTTCAGAATACAAATTCATTTAGGTATAGTATTACAGTACTTTCCTCTGGATCTATAATCTGCACTACTAGATTACAAATGCATACTCAGTAAAATAAATTAACACCTTAATTTACCTTGATTTTGATATGGTGTTCCAGGTGGGACAGGAAAGGCTGGTGTTACTGGCCTGTCCATTCTAGACGGACTGCTAGGAGGGCTGGAACCAATGACTGAAGGCGACCAGGAAGCAACATCACTAACGTAAGTTGTCTGAAAACAGTAATATATTCAGTTTTAATTATAAGTTTATAATTAAAAACAAACAATATTTCAGATAACTAAGAAATACATTTATATATTTTAACCAGTTTCACGCATTCGATTATGAAACTTTTAGTTCTCCAACACATGTTTCTTGTAAATAAATACAATTTGAATATATGTTATTTTCCAGAAAATTTAAAGGAAAAAAAAAAAAAAAAAAACTATGTTACCCTTCTTTTTTTTAAATTTTATTCATGAATTTAAGACATTTTAGATTTTACAATATTTACATAATTCATAAAAATTTAGCAAACTAAATTTTGTAATAATAATAATAAAGGCGATGCACTGTGTCTATGGATCAAACTAAATTTTGTAATAATAATAATAAAGGCGATGCACTGTGTCTATGGATGATCACAACCTCACTTCTCATTGTTTTATTAGTATTTTAATTAAAAATCGAATCTATCTATTTATTAAGGTACTACGTACATTGAGCAATATTATTTATTGGACATCATCAATAATTGATAAATATGTAAGAATGTGACAGATAATACATAAAAGTCAACTACATTATTCGAAAGAAATCTAAAGTAGCTCACTAAATGCAATTAATGTAACATGTTTCATCTCTTATTAAACCAGTTAAGTTATACATACAAAATAATAATGAAAATTCAATTCCAGTGAAATAGCAAAAGAAGAATAAAAACAAACAAAGTAGTGAATAAACCACTGCAACTAATGATAAGCAAACATAACATTATTTTAAAAAATTAAAGGATCATAAAAAAAAGAGATATTTTTTACATTTCTTATGATATCTTCATCAGGTGTTAATGCCTGAGAAATGTAAAAACCTTAGTTAGTCTGTTTCTGAGTTAATTCATGAGCAATTAAAACTTAGTGAGGTCTAATAATTTAAAATTATTTGGATAAAAACTTAAATTGTTCATTAGTCAGCCAGCTCTAATAGGCTATGAGTGTGAAAAATAAAACTTAGCTAAATACTTTCTGAAGTACAGAAAAACAAAAGAAACAGTTAAATTTCTAAAAATATACATAAAGCACTAACCATGCCAAACTTGAAAAATAAAAATCACAGAAAGCAAGTACTAGTAGCTGAAGCTTTTTTGTGATATATGAATGCAGTTTGAAGTATAATTTATTAAAAATAACAAAAGTTTGCAACAACAATCAGAAGGTAAAATCTAAAAATGATGATAAATTGTATAGGTAATAAGCTGAATAATACTATCTCTTAAGCAAATGTTGAAATGTTCTCCATTTGCTAAACCACCAAAATCCTCATTTAAAGGACAAATTTAAAACAAGAATACGTCAGACATACTGTACAAGTTAAAAGAAGTAAAACTTTTAAGCAAATCATGAAATTAGAAATGTTATAAGCTCATTGATTTTGAAAAAACTAAGAAAAATTAGTAGTGTTTTATCACAACAGAATTAAAATGTAACAAGGTTAAGCAAATTAAAGAATTTTTTTAAAAATTATTAAAAGAAGTAACACAAATTTAGAAACAAGCGTTAACTACTATATATAAGTTTTATACACTATTTTTTTCCCATTTTTATTCTTCTGTTGATTTTCAATGGAATGCAAATTTAAGTTTTTACATTTCTACTAAATTACAGAAGCTTTCAGTCATATACAGCTTAGTTGCCAGTTTTTTTAAGACCTTATTACCTATCAGTTACCAATTTCTTTTCTGTTTACACACATATAATGGAATGATGTGGAGAATAGCTGTAATAGATTGGCAATGATTCTTTACATTGTTTTGACTTGCAGAGGCTTTGCTGCACAGTTAGAAGGATGACACAAAATGATGATGATGCCATAATTTTCACACACAATTTTATTACTTAATAACTAATTCTTATGACACATAATATTGTTCCATACATATCGTCATTATGGATGTGCTATGCACTCCGAAATTTTATATGGATTATATTTTTTAGGTCACTAGCTAGCAGAGGCTAAGTGACACGTCTAAGTGGCAGCAAGCAAAGTACAAAAGAAGTGTACAACAGCAAAGCACTAAATATATAGTAATATTTAATCTGACTGGCTACAAGCTATCACACTGCATCTTCATTACATAAGACATATGGATTAATTTTCAGATGATACACTTTAGACTTCATCTTAGTGTTTTTATGACAGGAAGGGCACATAACTAAATTAAAAACAAGAAATAAAAGGATTAATGATAAAATTAGTAGTTTACTTTATATATATGATAAAAACAAACTTCAAAGTAATGATGAGCAGAATTTTTGATGGCGTAGAAGTGTTGATCCATAATGAATAGGAAATTGAAGGCGAAGCCAGATTAAATCTTCATTTTTTATTTTAGCATCATGTTGCGACCACAATTAAGTATGCACAAAGGTTACATTTTTGACAAATTTGCAGTAAAAAAGAAGGAGCAGACAGACTGCAGTTCAGATAGGCCAAAGCGCAAAACAATTGCGTTATGCTCAGGCTGAAATCTTAATTCAGACTGAATTAGTTTTGGTTCTCAATGCATTTTGATTGGATAGTTAATATTGCTATAAAATTACTATTGGCTGCTTGAGTTTTAGTTCCATTTACATTACCAGAATTATGTAAGAGTCATATGACATGGATTAATCTAGATATGACACAGTGCAAACAGAGGTTACTATTTTTAGAACAGAAAAATTTTAGAACAGAAAAGAAAACTAATTTATGCTGCTAATTTAATCTTTTACATATTCTTTATTTTTCTTACATATGTATAGATACATTCCTGCTCAAAAAGTAAGTAACAAAGGCAAAAATGAAATAAAAGATATGTGTGCTACTGATCCAAGATGTTGGTGTGGCATTGCTAGACTACATAATAAACAATAAAGGAAAGGACACACAAAAACATATGTATTAGGCCCATCACATCGTAAAAGACGAAATGGATCAGAAGAATGTGAAAGGGAAACAGGTATGATACCCTCTAGCTGAAATGCATGCTTGATAGTGGCGAGACAAGCTGTCAATAGTGTCATTGATGGCTTGTTCTGGCAGTAGCGCCCATTCCTGTAATAATGCATGTTGGAGCTCATGGAGAGTGCCTATCGGCACACTGCAACCTGCTTTCCATCATCCCAACATGTCCGAAACATGCTCTATTAAATTGAGTTCCGGTGGTTTAACAAGCTATAGCAGATGTGAAATGGTTTCACTCTCACTAGATCACTCCATACCAATTATCCTCTACGCATCTGAGTGTTATCGTCCAAAAATATCCCATCAGTACCCACTGAAACAATAAAAGGACGCACAAATGGTTGTAGAATTTTGTTGCAATATCGGATGGCTGTGATTAGAAAGTCCAGAAATCACTTAGAGGTTGGTGTGGCTGTTTGCTGTTATCCCAGCCCATACTAGTAAGCCCATACTCTGTAATTATCTCTTTGGATGATGTTTGATGCTCAATAGTGTGTCTATGGCTCTCACCATATCACTGCCCTTCAAAAATCGTTCTGGATGCTAAATCGAAGACTCATCCGTAAAGTGTATATGGTCTCACTGGCTCTGGTGGTCCAAATGCGATGTTCGAGGGCCCAATTCAACTGCACTCTGATATACGATGTACACAAAAGAATACAAACCACAGGTAATCAGGCATACAATCCACCTTCATACATGTGGACACGGCATAGTTTTGCGAGATATGGGCCTTCCTACTGTAGGAGAAAAATGCGACAACCAGCTATCACACTGTTAGTGATTTAGAGCATCTTGCATATAGCAACAGGAAGAGATTACTTGCTGTTGTGGTAATCTTTCGGCATCCAGACCCACATCTTCCACAGAAGTTTTGATGCTTTTGATAACAATGCCATAGTCTACTGATTATAATATTATGCAAATTCAGCTCTCTCTTGCAACAGCTTGTCTTGCACCAGCTTGAATCATTCCAATAGCTATACAGTGAATTTTACTGTGTATATGCTGTCTCTGGGTCATGCTTTCTGTTTTGGCTATCTTGAATTGCATGCAGTTATTGCTGCTTGTGAACTGACACATAGGTCTGTCATGCCCCTTTTTAAGGCGTTGTGGTTGACTGCAGGATGTCTTTGGGTCATGCTTTTCGCTTTGGCTATTTTGAATTGCATGCAATTATCACTGCTTGTGAACTGACACAAACCAGTTCCAGTTCCAATGTTAAGCCACGAGTAGCTTGCAGATTTGCTCACTTTGTTCCGGCTGTCATCACATAAGGTGCTACTAGGAGCGACGCAGTGGGTTGAATGCTCAGGGTGGGTCCAGAGGACAAACTAGGGGGTGGAAGGGGCATGACCAATAGTCATGTGTAATGCGGCAAGGCATCGGGTTGGCTGTCCAAAACTAAGTATCTAAAATAAACTGACACATAGGTCTGGCAGGGCCCTTTTTAAGGCATTGTGGTTGTGACTACAGGATTGCATTTTATGCTAATTTTGGTTGTCTATTTGCTTTTGGCAATGCAACTTCTTAGCATTTGCTGTATATTTTTGAGTACTAATGTATGTATATATATAAGAGGAATAACTGTCACTGGTCACTGATCATACCATCATATGTACGGCAAAAGAAAAACTAGACATTCAATTAAATCTAAGTACCTTATAACAAGTTTGGTTAAGCTTCTCTTGGCTGATATTTTAGATTGACAAATGACATATAAAGTGTCAACAGTTTGGCTACATTTACATCTATGAAATAATAACTTATCTCTTCTATTTCTATATTAATTTAACAAAATCCACATTAATTTAATTAGTAATTTCCATATTAATTCCACATTAATAAAATAATGAGGATTATACAGAAAATACTTCCAGTAATTTCATTTTGAATCTCATAAATATACTACCTTATTGGGTGTTGACTGTGAATATAATAATGGTGAACTGCGGGCTTCATGTGGGCTATTTGCAGAGCTCTGTGAAGATACTGACATGGCTTGAAGGGACTGCTCAAGTTTATCAAGCTTCACATTTCCTACAGAGCATCAAATAAAAATATAGTAACAACATAATAAAATTCTCGATGATAATAATAATAATAAAGCCTTTTTTTATATTTACTATTATTAAAAATTTTGAATATTCAAAAAATTTTCCCAATTCCCTGTTCTTAATTCTGGAAGAAGTAAAAGGAATTATTGAAATTCCATCAAATTCTTTTATATTTAGTTTAAATTAGCTATTAATTATTTATGAAAGAAAAATCTGATCACCAAATACTCTTCAAATCCTATTTGCTTAAAAAATAAATAATGGCATTATCACATTTTTTACACTTATTTTCTCAATCTCATGTTACATGTGCAAACATTTATATTTTAATCTTCCATTAAGTGGATTGAAAATAATTTCAAAACTTGGAAAGACAAAGAGTTTGTATAAAATATTTTAGTACAATAAATATATTTCATGTAATGCTGTAAATCTCCATGTCCAATATAGTATGGCACCCACAAACAACCTCATAAATCATGGGTTACAAAACCCGAATTGGCTAACACCTTAGACATTAGTAATGAATGACTTTTATGCCTGCTTTTAGATGATGCCCAACCCTAAATTTTTCATTGATTGTACACTACTAATAAAATTGAAGCACAGCATACCTCTCTTTCTCCATCATCAACATTTTCAAAAGATTGTTTATCTAAAGATTTTATCTTATTCAGCAAACAAATAAATGTCCATGTTTTATTTAAGGATTTTAAATTAAATCCAGCAGTAGGGTTGTTGGTTTTACTATGCTCTGCACCATCCCACAGGAACTTATTCATCCGCTAAAAATTGTTGATTTTTAAAACAGCATGATATAACAGATTTTACAGACTAATGAGAGTTAGAAAGATTATTTACTTCATTGGAGATGATCCCTATTGAATAAATTATGATCTTAATGCCTTCCATAGAACTAGAAGTATTACACCTAGATATGTAATTTGTCCAGCCCTTAATAGAATGCAATGGTGGGCCACTTGTTTGGTGCCTCTACATTTAAGAGACCATTGCTTCTGGCCTTAGTACTGGCCAATGCCCAGAAATGGCTACAGCCCACCATTGGGCTGGGGGGCAATAACTATACTACACAGTAATGAAAAAAATTATATTCACATTAATTTCAATTTATCTGAATGAAATATTAATTACATTAACATAACTCCACAGGTAGCTTTTTACATGCTTAATCTATACATTCAGCTAAATTTTACTGATTGAATACTAAATTTTACTGATTACTCTCAAATGAAATACAAGCTTATGAACAGAAATCATTATTACTAACTAAATATTTTATTAACAACTAAAAGTGATTTTTGACTCTTGTCTAAGATATTTTCAACTAATACTGAAACACAACAACTTAATAAATTACATTAGTCACTATTACATTACTCACTATTCAAAAATTAATTCATGCAAAATTACATTCTCACTATTCAAAAATTAATTCATGCAAAATTACATTCTCACTATTCAAAAATTAATTCATGCAAAATTACATTACTCACTATTCGTACTTTGCATGAATGTATTATCTAAGTGCTACTCACTTAAAATTTGTATGAATAAATATCACAGAATACTGAAAATTTCCAGTACCTTGATCAGGGGTTTCATTAATTTTACTGCCAGGAGTACCAAGCAAACTCAACAAGCCTGGGTCAGTCGATTCCGATTTTGGCGGAGAGATATTCCCATAAATTGTAGAGGATGCAATTACATTATGTGGTGAAGTTTGATTATTTGCAATCTGTTCTTTAGCCAATTGATGTGCTTTTTTTGTTGAAACAAATGGCCTTTCACGATCATATGAAGTATCAGATTTTTGCCTCGTAAGAGTTTTGCTTTGGGTTTGAAACTGAGGGTACCTGAAATCAAATTCAAAATAAAAACAGTACTTTACAGGAAAAGTTAAGCTAAAAATAAAATGAAGTCATCAAGTTGCAGGTTATATATATATATAAGTACATTTAAGTGGACTGGCAGTACTAGAACTAACATGATGAATATGTAGATAATGTGTTCAACATACAGCACATAATGCCATACTGTAAAGGATTTTGAGTTTTTATAAAGTTTCTAGCATAAGGTACATTATACAGCAGGTAATGCCATACTGTAAAGAATTTTGAGTTTTTATAAAGTTTTTAGCCTAAGGTACATTAGGCTTACAATAAATCTTATGAAAGATATATGGGAATTCATGCCCACCAATGAGTAGCTAAGGTTGCTGAATACTGGAAATTTGACCCAGATATGAATATGGTTGGACAAATGATTGCTTTGATATTTTTCTGCTTTTTTCCATATGCAATATAATAAACATATAATCCTTATGTGCTTTATCATATTTAATTAACAAATAATCCTTGTGTGCTTTGTCATATTTAATTAAACAAACATATGTTACCACAATTCACTTAAACAAAATAAACTAATAAAATGAAAATAACAGATAGTATTTTTAAGGCAATTTTATTGTCTATGACATATTTAAGATCTGTAATTTTGCCCCATTTAAATTTAATTATTGATATCTACACGTATGCATACGGTCTGTTTCAGTACATATGCACAATTTTGATAATTTTACTAACAACTTTATAAAATCAAGTAATAGTTTTACTTCTCAAATCTAAAGGAAACATCAAGTTTTAAGCACTTACCTGTAACGTGTCACATCTTTACTGCTGCTTCTTTGTGGAAGCAGTGGTGAAGAAGGAGCACTAGTATTTCTATACACTGAAGGTTTAACTGGGGCAGTAGAGGTTGCTGATCCATGCCCATTATATGTATTAACATGTAGAGGCAATGTATAACTGAGACCCTAAATTACATAAAATATGTTGATAAGATAAAAACACATAAGATGGAACATAAAAATATATAGCATATTACTAAGTAGGTTATTGCCATATTTTCATAAGTCACATGTGCCTATAATCCACATTCTTAATTTTTACCTCTAATTTTGAAAAAAAAAATTCTTGAGGATAAGCTGTGGATAGCCTGTCTATTATCTACAATATTATTTTTTAGATGAAACAGCAGCTAAAATGAAAACAGTACTTATCAAAAATTCTTATTATTTTCAAAAGATACAGGAAGATGTTTCTGTGTTTAGTACCTCTTATTCACTGTCACTGTCAGTAACTAGAGTAGATGCCTGCCACATCTCTATCACTATTGTGGGTACCGGTATTCCACAGCATGTCAACCTTAGAATCGTCTAGAGCACTGAATACTCCACACTTCAAACCTTTAACCTTTTCTTTTATTGTTCCAGCTCAACACTTTCCAAGATCGCCAGAATCATTCACCACACTGTATACTTATTTGATTCTTCCTTTTCGTGGAAAATCATGGTTTCCTGTACACATCCAATTATTACAAAGACTCTAGAATGAAGTTTTAAAGGAGCAATTCCAGGGGCTGGAGCATGGAAGTTAGGTTTCCAGAAACCACAGCTACAGCAGCTTTTAAACTCATTTATTTTCTCCTTCACTCGAGAAGTTTAGTGACTTCGAAAGCTGTCCCAAACTAGCAAGCTTTTATATTTCAGCAAACTATCAGATCTTCTACTCCAAACTGCATTTTTTTTTAGCCCACCCACAGTGCACTGCTCTTCTCACCATCTGCAGTCTTAATCCTTACTGCATATGAGCCTCTTGGTGCAGCTATACTAAACATAGGTATGCCTCAGTAAATGCGTGTTTGATTCACATTAACAATTTCAGACAAGATATAACCATTAGCTTGTCGCCTGTGAATAATGTACCTCCAAAATTTCATTGTCAAAGTCTGCTGGAAGATATTGTGCAACTCTTGTCCTATGATGCAGTGACAAACCATTTCTTTGCATAGATTGTTGTGCACAATATCTGCACTTGCCCGAATTCATGGCTTATCTCCATCTGATCAGCTTCTTCATAAGCTTGAATATCATATCAACAGTTACACTATAACTAGAACTTTTTTTCTTAGTTACATATGATAAAGCATTATCTTACTGTGGATAGGAACTTAGCTGCTTTTCCATGAAACATCTCTTGCTGCTTGCTCCTTGAAGTTCATTCTTCTGCTTTTTCCACTGTCGCCTGTTAAATTCATCTACATTAAAATTATATGCTGCAGTTTAGCTCCCGTTTTCTTCAGATTCAGTTAATACATCAGTGGCCTAGCTAGGGTGGGGCGAGGGGAGACATCTGTCCCCAGGCGCAGCATTCAAGGGTCGCCAAATTGATGTTATGAAATTTTAGAATGAAATGTTTTTCATTCTTGGCACAGAGAAAGGGGCGCAAAATCTTCAGCTGTCCTCGGGCGCTGAAAACCCTAGCTACGCCTCTGAAATACATTTTTAGTTTAAAATGTGTGTTGTAGCTAAATAATTTGCCTGGCATTTTCCTTTGAACAATCTGCAACCATAACTAGTACAATTATATGTATCATTCACACAACAACAATGAAGTTTATACTAAACAGTTAAGTACATGCTGCTGTACTGCGACATATTTGTATGAACCTATTTCTCCTTATTGACTAAATTTTCCGATTGTAATGCCCAATGAATGATTGAGGGTTCTTTTCATCCGTTTTTTGGTGTCAAACATCAAATAAACTTGTACCTCTTTTTCAAGGTTTTTATTCAGAGTATTACAACACGCTATAGCCTTCATATATATTTCGCAAATCTGTTGTAAAGTTTTTTTGGGGGGGCTTGTTTGTTTTTAATTTTAAAACCAATTAATTTATTCCAAGTGATCCGTTTTGCTGTTTTTCCCTGCATTTCGCTGGCATCCTCGCTCTCCACCTCAGGGTGCCAGTGCCTCACACTGATATACATTTCAAACTTATTCTTCCATAACACAGAGGGCATTAATATATTTCATCCATTGCATGAAAAGTACAAGCAGGCTTTGAGAATCTGAATTGTTTTCCTGAAAGATTGACTTTTATTGATACACTTAAAGGTTAATCTTTTAGGAAAACAATTTGATGAACAACTGGTGATTATTCGAAAAGTCATTTCATTATGAAAAATGTGCAAAATTCAATGGAAAATATCATGGAATTAAAAAAGATTTTGTAGCCTAAGACTTCTACCAAATATTTCACTACTGAGGTTCTTATATTTGAGGTTACCAGATAGGAAATGTAATATAGGTATAAATAAAATTACATAATATAATTATAAATCAGTCAGGTTCAGACAATATTGTTACCTAAGGATAAAATTTCTTATGGATTGTTTGTTACATTATATTCTACATACGGCAATTTTCATCTTTAATTAAGTTTGTCTTCTGTAACACTTACTTAAATTTAAAAAAGAATCTTTTGGTGACGGTTAGGGAGTACCAGTAATAAAAGATAGCAATATCATATTACTGTTACGTTTAACTTCCCCAGTAAAACATAGCCCTTTTTAAAGGTCATTCAAAGTTATTATTTTGAGTTTAGAGTAAAGCTTAGTTTAGTATGTAGCCATAACTAAATTATACTAAAGGTGAAAAACGGTATTTATGTAACGTAACCATCTGAGTACTCAAATTTGCTTATAAGTACATGCCAAATCCTGGCAACCATGTTGTAACAGCTCTTTCCTTTTAGCAAGCAACATTTCCATTCTCTTACATGTTCTTTTTCTTGTATTTGAACAGCTTTTATACAAAAACCGTGAATTTTTTGGTGTCAATCTCAGTTTTAAAATATATGCTTGTGGGATTAGCCTGCAGTGGAAGAAATTGCTCAGTAATTCCTGCAAGAATACAGTATTTTGCCATAAAACTAACTTAAAGAGAGCAATTGCTTTTAATTCTTTCATACAGTGATAGTCAAGAATTATCCACCAGAATGAAAGAGACAAAAATTTGCTTATAAGTAAGCTTATTGACTGTTTTCAGCATATATATGATTATAATTCCATATAAGGACATATATACATAATACCTATAATTAAAATGTAAAATATGTATGTATGTAATAAATTTTTTTTTGCAATTATATGACATAGTTTACTTTCTTATGTAAAAAGTCTTCCAATTGAGCCAAGGTGGTTGTGCTTATATGAAAGTACCTGAAAACAATCAGGGAAAAAAATATTAAAGTTGAAAATTTATTTGATTTAATGGGAATTTTTACTTCTCTTATATTTGATGTTTTCAAACAAAACTGATATTTGCAGATATTGAGAAAATAATAAAATTTGTAGAAATTCACACTGAGAAATATTACACTGATTACGATAAATTTACAGCAATGCGTGTATTTTTTTATGTAATTATAGAAACTCTTTGTCCACGAAATGTATGTTTCAGAAATGAGGAGGAGGGAAAAACATTACTCAGTATTACTTTTTAAAAGTTAAAGAATCATATACAACACTTTTAAGCACTATGATCTGTATCCTCCTCCTCCTCCCAAAAATGTTCATATTCAGCTAGACTTTTACAAATAGAAACCATACAGAGCAGGGGAAAAGTTAACAGTAATAAAAAATTCTGCTTAGCGTGAGAAATTAACATCACTTTTGAATTCTACATTTTGAAAGTTTCATTTATCAAAATTTTCATCTCATGAAAATATGAGTAATCACTTTTTCTACAGTTCAATTCAAATGAGTATTTTCCAAACGTGAAATTATAATCAAAAATTTTTATGATATTTATGATATATGTTTTTATGATATATAGTTTAATATAGTGTAGCATGTATTTAAGATTATGATACCAGATGCTTAACAGAAACAAAAAAAATTTCTAAGTGTTTTTAAATTGAACCATACAACAGAAATTCACACTCCTGTTGAGAATACAAATTATACTTATAAATATTTTTAAGCCTCACTACTATTTAGTTCATTAAAATTATTCCCATTATCAGTAGTTTAACTACAAATACTATACGTATATTTTTTCTTGTTATAGTCTTCCCTTCCCCAAGAAATATTTCATTTCCTAAATAATTACAAGGTATCTGATGCTAGCAAGAATAGTAATTTTATATTCCTAAAAACTTCAGACATTTATTAAATATATGTCATGCAAGCTGATAGGTTATCTGCTTTAATTTTGTGGTTTAAGTCCACATTTTATACGAAACACTTGCACGATGAACATTATATTTTCAAAATACATTTCTAGAATACCTTGGGAGGTGATGTCTCCCTTGAAGAAGAAGAAAAGTCTAGTCCAAGACTAACATCATCAACAGAATCTCCATTAGTTAATGTTTTCTTCTGAGTTTGTCGGAGCTCTTCCAATAATAACTGCTCTTTGTGATGTCTTTCTTCCCATCCTCTACCTTCTCTACGAGCTTTCAACTTATCTTGCTGTCTTTGAAGCCAGGAGCCAGAATTATAGTCTCCTTTATACCTGAAGAAATTAAATATCACAAAAATTCAATGAAATATTAAAAGAGCTGATCATTTATATCAGAAGAAAACTAATAACAAAAATTATTACATTAAATATTATTCAGCTGATTAAAAATTATAAAATAAACACTGTCAAATAATTTTATGATTCTGTCTCTCAAATTCCCCATAAACTCAATAAATACAAATGCTCACATTTACAGTTTAGAACACCAAATATTGTTAATTAAAGGAAAAAGTTTCTTTTTACCCCTTTTTTAACATGATTACATGACGAAAAAACAATACTGTATATGTTTTTACAGAAATTATATTATCATTGACATACATTTGCATTAATAATTTCCATCAGTTTAATGTATATGCAAAAAACTGAAGCATGTACATAAATATACGTACATAAAGTAAGAAACACACAAAAATAAAAAAATACATTTAAAAAAAAGTTGACATATCGCACAAGTAGTTTTTAAAAAATTAACTCTCAAAATTTTAGCTCCTCAGTGTTATTTGGTATATATTTTATTAATGTGTCTTTTTATTATTATTAAACTTACTTGAATCCTTTTTTCACAGTTCGAATTTTAGTTCAATCCAAATAAAATTCATGTTTGAATTATAACCTACAAAAGTTTTACCATTACCTTAAAGTAAACGTGTTTCCAAGCATACCTGCAAAAAGCTGAAGATTTTTGGTTAAAAACTTCTTAAGATATATGTGAATTTACATGCTGGTGAATTTGAAATGTGGCATCTTTGATTTCAGCAATAATGACACCAAATTTGGTTTACGGATCTAAAAAATAACAACTATGATTAAAGAATATAAACAAAATGATTTGAAAAGATTTTCAAAGCACCTTTTCTTCCATTCGTGCACAATGAGAGGAAAAGAAAAATAGGTTACCATAAATTCAGAATTTCGTCATTATTCTTGACATAAACTGAAAAAAGTCCGCCAAGATAAATTTCGGAATTTCTCGATAAGTTAATCATTAAATTTTACAAAACTTAATAACCTAGAATTACTTTACAAAACTTAGGCATAATTTGACTCAGTCGAAATATGGAAAAAAATCAGTATGTGATATCTGAAAAACCGTGATTTTGTTTAAAAATTCTATGTTTCACGTGATTTCATATTAGAACAATGTTATATATAAATATAATATATATACAGGGTGTTTCATAGATCATGGAACAAACGTGGAGGGGTGGTGGAGCATACTAAAACATGCATTTTTTGTATAGGAATGTAGGGCTAAAGTGACGGGTTAAGGAAGGAATGCAAAAAAAAATGACACGAGAGGAAAATGCGTTTATGTACAAAATCAATGCAATGTGCTTCTTTTGCAGCAATACAGTATTCACAATAAATGTTCAAAAAAGGGAACACTAACAGTAATAGGAACTACAGCTGTGACTGGGTGGCAATGCAGCAGTAGAGGGCGGTAGTGAGCCGGACAAATCACGATCCGATGCTTCAGAGGATCATTCACAACTCTGATGTCGAGCATGATGGGTGAGTTTATGCACAGGGAAAAAGCTGATATGCATCTCATGTATGGTGCTGCTAATGGGAACGGCAGAGCAGCGCTACGGTTGTACCAGGAACGGTTTCCAACCAGGCATATGCCGAAGCACACAATGTTCGAGCGGTTGCATCGGTCTCTGCGTGAAAAACGGGTCATTTGAAGCCACCTCTGACACCAGGAGTGAAAGAAATGCACGACACCTTGCATTGAAGAATCTATCTTGAACATTGTGCATGAATCACCTCAGACAAGTACAAGAGCTATTGCACGTCGTCTGCAGCTAAGTCATTCCACAGTTTGGAGGATATTGCGTGAAAATGGTTTGCACCCACACCATTTGCAGAGAGTCCAAGCATTGCAAGAAAGAGATTACCCTCTTCAAGTTCATTTCTGTCATTGGTTCTTGCAGCAGTGTGTGGCGCAGGCAGGTTTCCCATCGGATGTGCTATTCACGTACAAGGCAACTTTCTCATAGAACGGCATCTTCAATAGCCACAACATGCACATGTGGTTAACTCATAATCCACATGCACATCCACATGCATTCCAAACCCGCTTCTTGGTGAATGTGTGGGCGGGTATTGTTAACGACTACCTCACAGGCCCATACCTTTTACCTGCACGTACAAATGGCTTATGTTATCCTATTTTTCTGCAAGGGGTGTTACCGGAATTGCTGCAGGATGCTCCAGCTATCGTTCGTGATTGCATGTGGTTCCAGCATGATGGTGGACCAGCCGATAACCACGTGCTAGTCCGTAACTACTTGGATGGGACATTTCCAGGCCGTGTTGGACCCGTTCAATGGCCACCCTGTTTGCCAGATTTATCCAGCTTGGAATTTTTTATGGGGCCATCTGAAGAGCATCATTTACAAGACTCCTGTTGACTCACTGGAGACTGGAGAACATCATTGCACGGTTATCCATTGCGGCTGCAAGTGTGCGCGAAATGCCTGCCATTTATCAAAATGTTTGTCAAACCCTTCTGCGACATTACTAAGCATGTATTACTTCTGGTGGTCGCAATTTTGAACATTTATCGTGAATACTGTATCGCTACAAAGAAGCACTTTGCGTTGATTTTGTACATAAACACATTTTCCTCTTGTGTCCTTTTTTTTTTGCGTTCCTACCTTAACTTGTCATTTTAGACCCTACATTCCTATACAAAAAATGCATATTTTAGTACACTTCACCACCCCTACAAGTTTGTCCCATGACCTATGAAACACCCTGCATATCCTTAAGTCGTGCTTTCCAAACATGAAAAACGCATGTTAAGTTTTATCAGTGGACCCATTACAGAACAGGAGATACAGAACTATTTTACTTCCTCCCCCAGAGTGTACTTTTTTAAACAATTAATGTTTATTGTTGCTGCATTACTCTAATTTGCAATCAAGATTTATACACATCACTTACAACAACACTAAACCTGACAGCTATGAAAATTCATCCTGATTGCTGTTCTTATGAAAAGCAAATTTGATTAATGCAAAAACATGCACCCCAAACAGTTTTATTATCTCCTGATATAGAAATAAATATCATTTATTTAAAAAGAATGTAATATGTTTTTTTTTAACCAAGATTATTAAACACATAAAGTTTATATATTTTCTGAAGTTAGATTACAGCCTTCATGATTTATAAAAATAAATGCTGCTTCTGATCTGTATAATAATCCAGTCTTACGAAACATTGCATGATTATCACATTTTGCTAATTAAGCATAAATCAGGAATGGCCCAATTGATCAGACATTTCGCTGCATCATCACCGAGAATTTTACACAGGCAGGGACCAAATTACACCCTACACAAAGGGAAAACTGCACTCCAATTTTGAATGAGACCACCAAAGTCTTATCGAAAGAAAAAGTAATTCTACTTATGAATCCTAAAATACAACTCAGGATTTACATTTATTAATGAAGAACAGCTTTTAGTTCTAGTAAATTTAAATCAGACTAAAAAATTTCTTTGATTTTTTTTTTGAAATTTTATTTTGAATGGTTATACTAGGATATTGTGGTAGATAATTACTTTAAATATTACTGAGCAGATAGGAAACTATCAGTGAAAACAAGGTTTTTTTTTTTTTTTTTTTTTTTTTTTTTTGTAATTTTTACAGTCAATTTACTATTAAGAATAAGAATTCACTTTGTATTTTTTGTAGTTTTAACACTATTAATGAATCATTACCTAACTTTTTTTTTTTAGATCTCAGCATGCAGAATCAGCATAAATCACATACCTGTCTTGAAATCCAAGGGGTTGACTGCCATCCGATAAAAGTCTTCTTCGTTCAACAACAGGACTCTGCATTCCATATGTAAATGGTGATGGAGATTTCCTTGCATGGTAAGGTATGTTTTCATCATCATCAAAAATGACTTCTCGTTTATGTGAATAGTAAACAGTGTCAGGCTTAACAGAGCTTGGACTGATTATTTGCTTATTTCCATTAACACTTATTATGCTAGTTGGTAAAGTAGAATTTCTTGGGACTGAATAATCGCTGGTTTGCACTGTAGTTGTAATGCTAGAAAAATTTTTAGTTTTCGGTGATTGAGGTGCTAGAGAGGAAGTAAAAGGTCTTAAACTACTGTAGACAGGTGTATCCGGTATGGACTGAATTTCTTTCAACATTCCATGTACTAACTCATCTAATTCTGCTTGTTCATCTTTAAAATTTGAATATGGTGTACTTCGAGAAGCTGACTGTTCTGAAGGGTTGTGACTATCTATATCTAAAAATTTTAAAAAAAAGTTTAAAATAAATATTAATAATTATTTTGGTATATTATTCATTTTATTTTCGTTTTCTAATATACTTATCCAAAAATTTCAAATCCTTAATCCCCACTTATGAAATTAAACTGTATACAGAATAATACGGCTATTTGAAATCAAGCTAATATACATACCAAAAAGTTACAAATTTAAAAACATCATACTTGTGTTTTATTTCATGCTTAAATGACTTTACTCTTTTCCCAAAGAAAATTTTCTACATTTGAACAGCATTTTCCAATACATAGAAAGATCAATGAAAAGCTTCAAAAAATTTATAACTATAATGAACTAAATATTCTTACAGGCTAAACTGAGAGTTCTAAAGTTATGATGCAGTTAATAAATTTTCAGTACTTCCTTTTTGTAGCGACCTTGGCAAATGGCATTAGCATTTCAGGTTTAAGAAACTGTGATTTATTACCAAATTTCATAGAACAAAACTGTGATTTATCGCCAAATATCATGAAAACAAAACTGACTAAACAGTGACCAATGCAAACTGCAAATCAGATATTCATTCAATATCTACACAACATGACCTATTTAATATATACATACAAAACAATTTAATATAAATTTGCATTTATATTTCATTTAATATAATTTTGTAGTCAATTTATTATTTAAAAAAAAAAAAAAAAAAGATGCATACAGTGTGATTAAAAAATATCTGGCAAAAGTATATAAGAAGACTGAATAAGGAGATTTTGGAATGGTGTAGAAACCACTGTGGTATCTACATGATCCTTGTTGTTCATATCACATTAAATGATCTCACTGTATAAATCAAAGCTTTAACCAGACATAATATACAATAAAAATTAATCTTTATTTTATTATTAGATATGCATACTGCTCTCAAAAACTTCTTCTTAGGTTTGCCGTATTTATCAACAGACACATGGGCACAAGATGCTTTCCCTATCGCTATCACCACAGAGTTCCACACCCCCCCCCCAGTTCTTTGATGACAACTCAAATTATGAAATTCATCAGATTATGAAATAATTCAGAGAATCCGTGCTGTCGAGCCCTCCCCCCTTTAATAACAAAATTAGGATATAAAATTAGAAAAATCAAAATGGGATTCAACATATGACAAGGTAATAATGCACATAAATAAAAATGAAATACTAATAAATATTTAATTTCATTCGATTAAATATTTCATTTCGAAAAAGCAAATTTCAAAAAAAATTTCAATTCTAACGTAAGAAGCAAGTTTCTGTAGAAGTGAACCTCTCTTCCTGATATTGTGCCAGTTAGTGTATTATAAGTTCGTTTGCTCAGATTTATTCTGTTGTACTGTCTTTAAGTTTCTGTCTAGTTTCAGGTCAAGCAAATCAGAATTCGAAAGCAAATAAGATGGTTTTACATGATCTATAGAAACAGCAGACAAGGGCATTTATTTAAATTGTGAAAGTTTTGTCCATTCTGGTAAAGACTTTATGCGGACCTGAGTACGGCTGGCGGAGCAGTGGCTTTACTCGATCGGTATGTAAGTATACATGTGTACACAATATTAAGTTAGAACTTATGTAATATTTATCTTGACAATGCGCAGATGTCACTATTGGGTGCATTTCTATGCTGGAGATTGGTGATGAATTGAGTGTGACATGGAGATATCTTAGATGGAGTTATCCTATATCACTAGGCAGCCTGACAGTTGTGCCGTACACCAGTTTTGCAGAAGATGTCTGCAGATCCTCCTTAACGGTGGTCTGTATACCAAGCAGAACAACTAGGAAGTGTTTCAGTTCCGTTATTGGTCTCATAAGCCTTGAGAAAGGATTTTAAATGCCAGTGAAATCGTTCAACAGTGCCACTTGACACTGGATGATAGGCTGTCATTGTGATTCTGTTTGTACTCAAAATGAAGGTAAACTCCGCAAATATTGTGGATCGCATTTGAAAACTTTGGTCTGATGTTATGACTGATGGGCAGCCAAATCGAGATATCTGTGAGCTGAAAATAGCTCTGCAAATAGTTTCCGTTCTTATAGCAGGGACAGGTGTGGCTTCAGACCATCTGGAAAATCTACCTATTAGAGTCAAAAGGTACATGTTGCCTTTTGATAGAGGTAACAGGCCTACAATATCCATGTGGATTTCTGAAAATCATAGTGTATCTTTCCGATCCTCATTGTCCATATCACATTAAATATTCTTGCTGCATTAATCAAAATCTTAACCAGACATAATACGCAATAAAAATTCATCTTTATTTCAGGGACAGATATGCATACCATTCCTGGACAGCCAGTCTCTATTCTCCCTCTGTGCTTCTTTAAAAACTTATCCTTAGGACAGCCGTATTTATTGGCAAACAAAAAAAGATAGATAAAAAAGGTAGATAAAAGTGTTCTGCTGCCATAAATCAGTATTCCCCATGCAGCTTTCAGGCTGTATGCATCACTACATGAACATAGTTCACTGATGTCCAATTTATCAAAGAGACTGTGGACAGAAATGGAAGAACTGCAGAAATGGAAGAAAGCATTGATAAAATGCGTTTCAGTGAGTTCTATGTTCATGTAGTGATGCATACCACTTGAGATTCACAATAGAAATGACAATTTACACCACCAAAATGTTTACATAACATAATTTCTGTGCACATGTTCCACTACAAAATCTACTTGGTTCAGTCACCTCTATCTGCCTTTACATTTTTACTGGCTATTTTTGAATCAATCTTCTATAAGCACATCCAAAATTTATCTTTAAAAGACACTTTCTGGTAGTAACAATTCATTGAATACGCTTCATAATGTATACAGTTTTATGGTTGATGTGATTGATGTCTGAAAAGTAATTCTGCTAGGTACGACTGTATGTGACAGAGTATGCCTTTTTCTTCTGCCATTTCATTAATCCCCACTTGCGTTCTGCTTTCTGGATATAACATATTTTTCAATCAAAGGCAGATTAAAAACAGTAAGCATATTAAATATTTAGCAATGAAAACTAATATATTTTAAAGAAGATAATTTTCAATAGCTGAAGAAATGTAAACCATATGTACATGTGTAAATCAGTAACTGTTTTGTTCTTCCCAAGGTAGAAAGTCACTAATTTCTTTTTCTTGAAAAGACCATGAAAATATGAAAGTACCAAATTATCTAAGTGCAAAAATCTCACATATTTGTTTAATAAACCAATATAAAGAATACTTCTGTAAGTAAATTATAAAGTGTGATAAATTAAATGTTAATATATTAAAACAGGTTTTAATATTGTGTGCGTACAGGTTTGTAGTGAATTAAATGCACACAGAACCAAAGATAAACTTGATAAAATTTATTGCTCCAAAAGAAACATTTTACAGTTCTGGAACTTTAAAATGTTTCTTTTGGAGCAATAAATTTTATCAAGCTATCTTCGGCTCTGTGTGCATTTAATTCAATGGCACAATGGCTTTGGTTGCATTCACAATGACACAATGTCTTTGGTTCTGTGTGCACAAAAGTACTCATACAGCTCTTCTCATTATGACAGAGCAAAATCAACAGTTAGAACTTCAAACCGCGGCAAACTAAACCTTCGCTGGCATTCTGCCAAAATACTTGGAATCGTCTAGATTGGGTGTTCATTACATATTACAGTGTGAGAAGTCATATGAGGATTCTCTCTTCCCCAGGAGGTGAATTTACTACCTAAACATGGAATATCGAAGGAGCCTGTCATCAACTGACTTTTGTGCATTTGGTTCACATGTGCAGAAATAAATGCTAGGATTCATGCTGATGAGCAATCTGGAAACCTAGAACATCATGGACAATGAATACTTCAAAACTTTTTTTAACTTCCTTGTTTTGAAAATAAGATGACTAAAAAATCATAGAAATATAGTTTTAGTGGAAGTTTTCTTTTTGTAACATTAAAATAAAAAAATGGTCAACAGGTTTCCATCCAATTTGAGATGGATCTTCCCAGGGTCTTTTATACAAGAATTTTTTTCTCTTTTTTCTAAAATAAATTTCATGTCTCCAACGCCAACATGTATAATAATGCAGAGATTTTAGTGCAAAAATAAAAACGAAATGTAATAATTATTTATTATGTTTAATTAAATAATTAATAATAATTTATTACTGTATAATTATTATAACTAATTACTACAATTTTTTTAAGTATGTAATAATGCACATACATTTTAGCTCAGAGATAAAAAATATTAATTATAATATAATAATAATTATTTGCTGTCATAAATTATTACCATCAGTTATTATAACTTTATTAATAAAAATGAAATTTAATAATTAATTTTAAATTGTACAAAAAATATAACAATTGTATAATTATAATGAAAATTATTATAAAATAATTGTTATAAATTAGCTTTATATCAAACATAATAATAAAATTATGTATAGGCAGCAAAATTAAGTTTAAAAAATTCTCATATTTTTTGCTAATATATAAATAAATAGAAAATTAATAAATGCACAAAATTATAAACAGTGTAATTAAACAATATCATGATTATTTAAAAATAATTTTCTGCCTCCTTAAGTCCTTTTTGAATGCTGTGAGAAATGGAAAAATTCCTTATATGATGCACGTCCATCTTCTCTATTTCATGAATAAGTAAATCCGAATGGCGCATGTGTGTTTGCAGTCATGGTTGCGGCTAAGGCGGTCAAACTATACTAAGGATGTTAAACACAACACAATGTAAAACGCATCTATATAGACAGAAGCTCGCACGGACATTTTTCAATACACCAAAGTTAAATCTAAACTGAGAACTGATGCACTCTCCAGTTTTATATAATTTTTCCCCAGCTGACGAAAAGTTTCCAGTACCTTCCATTTCTCGGAATTACTAGAAGGCATATATGGTTGCAGTTACATACAGGGTTTGTCCGGAAAGTAGTAGAACTGATTTTTTTTTTTTTTTTAATTTATTCACAATTTTGACACATTGATTTAGTTTTTAAAATATGCCCATTCTGCATCAACACAGCATTTTCAGTAACTCTGGCAATCACTGAAAGCTCCCTGGAATGCTTTTCAGCTCCCTCATAACGGCCTCTTGAATGGTCTGGACTGAGCCGTGTTGCTGTCCTTTCATGACCTTTTTCAGTCAGGAAAAGAGGAAGAAATCTGAAGGTATAGTCTGAAGGGCTGTACATGTACTTCAGAAAACGAGTTGCCTGTGTCCATCCAGCTATCGCTGGATCAAGGAGGCTCCCCAGTTACTCTATAGCCCAGATGTTGCTGCTTCAGACTTTTTCCTCTTCTCTGAAAAAGTTCATGAAAGGATGGCACCATGGCTCGGTCCAGGGAATTCAAGAAGCCGTTACGAGAGAGCTGAAGAGCATTTCAGGGATGTATCAGTGATTGGCAGAGTCGCTGGAAATGCTGTGTTGATGCAGAAGAGGGAAATTTTGAAAACTATTAAGTCGATATCTCAAAACTGTGAATAAACTTTTTTTTAAAAAAATTCAGTCCTACTACATTCCGGACAAACACTGGATACAATTAAAGTTATATAGGCATTTAGGCCAATTACAGTTATACAAGAGCTGGACCAATGTGCGACCAAGTTTAGCGGCATTTGGCGTTTTATAGCAAAATTTGGCGATAACAATTAGTCGCCAAAAACTGTCATCAGCTAGGCAAAGTCTCGCCAGTTTAGCGACATAGAAATTTACTTTAATATCGAACAGACTTGCCCCGGCAATCTTATTTTTCCAGGAAAGTTTTGTATTTCTTGAGGCTATTCATGTTATATTATACAAATTTGTAACACTACACAAACGTTTCATGGTACGTAAAACCGCTGTTCTCAGAGGCAATATAATGTGCTTCAAAACACACCTCTTTTCAATCCTTAATTAGTCAAATGAATTAGCTGTATATATCACAGCAATAAGGTGCTGGGAATCTTTTTATTACATCACTGACAAACAGAGGTAAAAGAAATCACAAATTTAAATTGACTACATTTCAGACTATTAATTCAGACTATGGAAAACTATCACACATATTCTGCATAAATGTTTCTCCCTCTCTCTCTCTCCATGTGAAATCCAACTCGTAAGTGATTTAAAAGCATTTTCTTTCCATTCCATACACCTGTTACTTAAGTTTCTCATACACATTTTAACTGTATTTTTAAAACTAAATTATCAAATATGCTTAGTAGAAATTCACCATCATTAAATCACTTTTCAAAGGATTTTCTTTCAGTACAGTAAATTTAAAGGGGAGAAGAGAAAGCTCAGGTTTTTAACCAAATGGTCCAAATAATAATAAAACATGGCTATTCATTAAATAATAATAAAATAATCATTTAACATTCCTTCATTTACAAATATAAAGTATGTGGGTGGCTTCATGGGTATTAGATGATTGAAATCAAGCATTGATATTAATTCATTTCTCTTTTATTTCTACTAATGTCTGCAAATATAGATGTGTAAAAATTAAACATTTATATCGGTCTAGTCTAAGAATTTTTTCACATGCTTTAATCTTCCAGACAAAGTACTACACAATATCACAAGAAACATTAGTATATGAAAACCATGCAGGAGAAAAAAATTGACATGCAATTACAATAAGCAAATTCAAATATTAGTACAGCAACTCACCAACATTACGAATACCAGAACTAGATGAAATTCCTGAATCAATACTATGAGGTCCTTCCACATCAGTAAAAGTTTCTCTATTCATGTGTGGGTGAATCAGTACATCAGTGTATTTCTTCTTAGAGACAGTAGCATATAGACTACCGTCCAAAGGCCCTTCTGTGTAAAGAACTACTATAAATAAATCTTTGTTCCCACATTTCACTGTTTGAGATACTTCAATATTTTGGGGAAAAAAATGAAGATTCCATACTTCAAGTATTAAATCAAGTATGACAGAATATTCTAAATCTTAATTTAAGCTAAGAATGACCCTTATAGATTAACTATTATGGTAATGGTTTTTAAATATATTAAAAACGATGAAATCATACACTGATGAGTATTTTAATGAAATTACCTTTTTATCTACAAATTTACATATTTATGCACAAAAATATGCTTACATCAGTGGCATAGCTAGGGGTGAGAAAGCGGGAACAGCAGTCCCTGAGTTCAGCATCCACAGGGCACTAAACTGATGTTTTCAATTGCACTTTGGCAAATTGGAAAAGGTACAAAATCATCAGTTGTCCTAAGTGAAAACCTTAGTTATGCCTCTGGCTGACATCAACAGCATAAATATGAATTTTCTATTCTTAAAATATGTAAACTATAGACAACTGCCTACATAATTATCAAAAATATTCTGTAATATATAATTATCAGTTTAATTAAATAAGAACTGCCTTTTTCTTATTTGACATGCCTTTTTTAAAAATTAGACAGCATTTAGCTTTCTAACGACAGTTAGGAACATGTATTTCATATCTGATCACCAATTATATTCTATAAATTATATTCCTCACCAATTATATTCCTGTATAATTCTATAAATGAGAAAATTCCAAACAAATTAAAACAGCAAATTTTAAGTAATGCTAATTACATGTTATCATGTAAAATTATTTAGCTAGCTGAAATGTTAATACATAATACAAATAATAATTTCTATGTATTTGAGGATAAAACTTTATACAGTAAACTCTTGACGAGCATAGATTTACAAAATGCATTTTTTCACACATACAATATCTTAATTATTTCATTCATATGGAAGAATGACATCAGATATGGAAGAAGTCAAAGAATTAATCAAGAAATGACAAACGAAGAATGGGATGATCTTATAATACCAGCAACTTGCATAAAGCAACAGTAGTGAAGAAGGTAAAACACCTTTATCTTACAAGAAATTAAATGAATTGTTAATTAATATCATAAGAACTGTCTGATTTTGCAATGCTAGATTGACCCAAATGAATAAAGAAGAGAGCACTTTAGAAGAAGCATTGGAAAATCATGTACTGTTTTCTGGAAAACTTTAAAAAAAAAAAAAAAAAAGTTGTGCAGTTAAGAGTGCTGAGTTAACCTGGAAGAAAAATTATCCGCTTTTTAAAAAAATAATTTCATCAGGGACCTATTTAATAATACTACAAATAACAAATAATTACTTAATACTACTAGGAATAAAAATGTTTCTTTTTCCCTTTTAAATTACAATATTCCAGTTTGTTTAAATTATACATATTATAGCATACAAATTAAACAGGAGAAGAAGACAATTTATATACATACCTTCATTTACAGTTATAAAATTAACCAAAAATATGACCTCCTTTAGCACAGATGACCTCTAGAATGCAGTTAGGCATTGACTGTACTAGCATTCTGCCTATAATTTTACTTCTTTATTATGAAAACCATACTTTTATAGTATTCTTAATCATGTACTTTTGTCATACAATTTATTTTACTAAGATATCTTCCAGGTTTTCTAGGGAATTTAATTTTAGTGAATTTTTAGGCCAATGTAGCATAACAATTTTATTTTCCAGCATGAACCTTCCGACAGATTTTGAACTAAAACGTGGTCATGTTGAAATGTCCCTGCACAGGTTTTTGACAATGGCACCATTCTATGTTTTAAATTTTCTAGATACTTCAATGAATTTATCATTCCGTCAACAGGAATTAGATTTCCAGTGCCATCTGCAGTGAAAAAAACTCGAAAAAATTTTTGTTTTTGAGAGCATTTTATGGTTTGGTAATGTAAGGGTCTTATTAATTAACTCCTGCTTCATTTAACAATGTTACATGTGTGTAACCCCGAATAAATAAATGAGCCTCATCGCTGAAAAAGACGTTTTTCCAGTCATTTTGTGGACCAAAATTTGTATTTTTTGGCCCATAGTCCTTGTTTTGCTTTATTTCATGTGAAGGGGAAAAAAAAAATTTTTTTTAAACACTTTCTCGCCTTTCCACCACCAGTGAGAAGTCTATGCTGCACATTTGAAAGATGAAACGATGTAATAATTCTAATTTATTGCCCAAACCAGTTTTAAATAGTCAAAAGCAAACATCCAGATGACATTAAGGCAGATAAACTGCTTTGAGGGACTTGGTGCCAGATGGCAACCAACCATAACTTTTGTGGAAAAAATCTTTGTTGCAATTAATTTTCACATTATAGTATTTTCTTAATTTGAATCATATTTGATGCATTTTTTCCATAAAAAGCTTTGTAGAATGTGAGTTCCCTGTGCATGCAATGCATTAATGGCATAACCTTCACATTCAGCAAGGGTTTAGTGTACATTAAACTGAATACCAAATTGATACACAAAGCAAAAATGAACTGCGTTAACCATATTTTTTTAAAAGCATGCAATGACTTAATAATATTGTATATTACAAAACATAATTGCTAGTATAAAAAGAACACTCATGATCATATATAACCACCAAATTTCAGCACAGTTTTAAAGGAAAAGAAAATACCAAAAGGGAAAATTTCATAGCAATACATGCAATTTGTATGCAAAACTTCACACATGCATGAATCCAAATATATTCTGCATTATAGAAGTAATTAAAAATTATATCAGTAATATAGGAAAACTGTAATTTTAAAAGAAAATGCGGTTTATTACTCACCATTGAAACCACCATCAAGAAAACCAACATCTAAAAAAAAAATATATATATATATATATATATATATGTTAGCTTTTGAATTTCTCAATAGTATTTCTATGTTCATCAAAACAGTAATAAACATCAATTTGTTACATACTCTCATCAGTATTTTATATATTCATTTCGCTTTTCAAAGCTAATAAAAGTCTATAAAGATATCAAAATGATAATATGAAGATGATTTTCAATGTTAGAGGAAATGAAGATTTTGAAAAATATGATAGAATATTTTTATTAGCATAATAACAAGAAATTAATTTATAAAACCCAAACCAGGACATAAAACTAAGTAAGTGACAAAGTAAGATAACAGCAATAAAGCAATATAGTACATGACAAAGCAGCAGAAGAAAATGGAAATACTGGATTCAAAGAGGAGGAACAGATTTTACATCCTTGTCAATTTGTTACTTCTCGCATAAAACATGTCACACATTCCCCGATGGGCAAAATATTGAAGTTTGTGATATCAAATAATTTTTTGCAAGCAACTTTTATTAACCAACACAAACAAAAGCAACAACCAATGTCCTACTACGTCCGTTTTTACTAATCTACAACTTTGGAATAACTCATAAGAGATCAAGTCTGGGAGGCCATCAAAACACAACACACAGTCATCTTAATGCATGTTGATCAATCAAGTGAACAGAAATAGTCATGTCCAAATAGCATATTGTGCATGACTAAATGAATACATTTTTTCTTTTTCCTCCTATTAGATGATATACGTCAAAATTTTTGCTCTGTAGTACAAAATAATTTCCAAGCATAGAAAAATCTACTCCTTTATGGATCATGAATGAAAATTTTGATAAGCACTTCCATTTTAAAATTTATTTCAATATTTACTAAATATAAATCTGTATTTATTTTTATTTATTTATTTATTATGGGAGGCTACTGTTTACTTTCTATAACAATTTACTGTTTATACAGTTATGTAGAATCTACAGTGAAGGATTATTTTGGTAATTATGTACCACATTTAGTCACTTATTTATTTTTAAATGGGAATACTAAACTTGGTTGTAATATTTTTCACCTAATTACAATTTAAAAATAGCATTTTAGTGGCCACATCTAAGAAATAAATAAAACATCTATGAAATAAATATGGAACACATGCTACAGCGTTACCCTCACGTTAAACCTATTTTGATGCATAAATACTGTTTTCTCACAAAAATGTTTTAGAATCTGTTTCGATGCATAATACAGTTTTCTCATAAAAATGCATTTTACAGTCATCAAATTATTTTATGCTTTTACAATACATTCAATCTTTGCACATTTTGATGGTAATTTTGTTATTGAAATAGTGCCTCCTTTTCATTTTTTAATTATTTTTTATTTTTTTAAACTTCTGATAAGCAACGAAATAAATTCGGAAGTACAAAGAATTCTGAAATGTGACTGTGACAAGGACTAATTTTTAAAAATATTTTTTAGTTAATGGAAATAAGGATTTTAGCTCTGTTCAGAGAATGAAACTAACAAAGATATAAAGTTGAGAAAGATTTATAAAAGTTTACCCAGTTTCAATTTTGCAAGTATTGACAGCATTAAAGTACAGATTACAAGCCAGTTTGTTCTTTTGATATACTTTTTTTAGCTTATTTATGATGATCTTGAACATCCTATCTTTTAAACAAAATGAATATTCTGCTGTTAAAAACATATATTAATTTAAGAGAAAATGGCATTCATGAACTCACCATAATCTAATTTCATTGAAAGTGAGATTCTGCTCTATTAATGTTCCAAAAAACATTATGGTATGCAACTTCAGAAAACACTTCACAGAAGGATTTCCTTTCCTTTTCTTTTTTTTTTTAATATATTCCATTAATGTGTCATATAATTTAATATGTATGTGATATTAATTGTTATATACTTATATTTTTAATTACTTCACATTGTGTGCAGCAATGGTTAAAAATTTCAACTAAAGCAATTTAAGTTCTACTAAAAATATATGAAACTCAAATATCAAAAGAATTACCATCAAATGTTCTGTAGTGTTATTGAATATGAGTGCCATTTAAAAAGCAATGGGGAAAAAACAGTATTTCTGAATAGTACTGATTTTAACCTTCCAGTTATTAAATTAATAACACATTTTAAATACGAAACAAAAATAGTTCTTTTAAAATACAGAGAAATCAAAAACACCAGTGTAAACAGAGAGAAATCATGGAAGCTGAACACTATTTCTTTAATAACAAAATCACCTGTGCAGGCTAAAACTACTTACCATCTATATTGTCTTCTGGATTTATATCAAAATTTTCATAAGAATCACATCTAACAAGAGGGTCATTTGCACTTTCTACAGGCATAGTAGAATCCTGAACAGATCCATTCCCTTGATGAGAAAGGTTCAATTTGAAATTAAAAAGTATTAATTTTATTATTGCAAGAATTTATTAATGATGCTATTTTGTTAGCTTCAATTCTTTTTCCACTTTCTTTAACCAAATAAGTACAGAATTAAAAAGGCTACTTGAAAAATTAAACATGAAAAAAGCAGATTTCATAAAAGTGTTGCATGCTTACCATTATTAAAATACATAACAATTTAAAATTCTATTTAAAAAATATCTAAAAATTAATTTTTGTAAAGAGCCATACAGAGAGGAAAAAAGGAAGGAGTAGGCACAGGAAAGTCAAATAGGGCCAAAGGCATGAAGCACTGTCTTGGTCACGTCCTTGACTCTGTGAAAAGAATGTCTATGATCTAGTCATTGTCAGGTTGGAAGAGAGCCACTGCAATGGCAGGACAAGGCAGGAGATTTCCAAGATCCAGCTGTTTGTTCGGGCAGTGCCTACACTCTATGTATACCCTGGTGCCATCAGGCCGGATCTTCATGCCTCTCAGGTCTGAGTCTTGCGATTGAGACATCTTGGGTGCACTTTAACTCAAGCATTGAAAATTTAGGAATAGGCAGAAAGCATCCACCTTGCGACAGCATTAGCATCAGTAAGTGTGGTGGACAAGATGGCAGGTTCGAAAATTCTGGCTTTCTTTACGAGAGAGTCAGCTTGCTTGTTCCCCTCTATGTGTGTGAACATAGAACATAGATAGGCTAGGATCCACTGAAAGATGCATGATTTCTTCTCTTCTGCAATTAAATACAAAAGTGTATTCATGTCTTGGGAGAGTTTTTGTCTTGCCATTTTGAATGGCCTCAAGTACAAATTTGTAGTCTAAGAAAACAATGATGCCATCAAAGAAAGCAGGTGTCACAAATGTGAGATAGATGTTCAAGGCCTCTCTAACAAGTTCGCTCGTGAAATTGGAAGCAATCTTCCCTACTAAAACTTTCGGTTTGAAGGTGCTGTTATCCGGATAGATAAAAAAGCTGCTGGCTCTTCCTCTATGGCAATCCGAGTTGGAAGAGCCATCAGTGTAAATCATGACCAGTTGTGGTTTCATGAGCTTCGATATAGTCTCTATATAGTCTTCAATATAGTTGATATAGCTTCGATATAGTCTACTTTCTTTTGATAGTTTCTTGCGATTAATTTTTTGAGCATGGTTTCAACCGATCCTAATTAATTTTGACAGAAGAGGGTGGCCTGACAGGGAACATGGACCCCTGCGGAATCTCAAAATATGTATGTTCCAGATTTATTTCTTGCCTGAAGTCTCTGTCATACTAAAGCATGGATTATCTTTTCAGCCTGTTCTTTGCTGTCCAAGTCTGGCAGGTGACATCTGAGATGTTTTCATCAGCACTGCTCATGATTTTGTTTGTAAATTTCAGAGGGGTAAGTTTTCTTCTGTTTTCCAGCATGGTTAATCCACATTCGGTCTCAGCCTTTAAGTTGTTTGTGGAAGAGACAACTCCAATAAGAATCTTGGAGGCTCTGAATTGGACACAATCGATCTTTTCCTTTGCTGAAGAAGATGCCAGAGCCCAAATAGGTGCAGCGTATTCCAAGATCATAATTATAATGTAGTCAAGTACAATTAACTAAAAGTGTAATGGTGCCCACCAGCGGCCGAGCGGTAACGTCGCTGAACACTAGTAGTTCGGTCCGAGGTTTGAATCCCGCGAACGGGCTGGTTCCATGGGTGTTTTCGTGGTTTTCCCCATGTGTAACGTATATACGAGCCAGTTCCCTTAGAAAGTCCTTGATGAAAGCATTCCTCCCTTAAGGCAGATAGCCCTCGAGTGCTTTGCCGTAATCTAATAGTCTTCTAATCATCTTCTTCTAAAAGAATAATGGCGAAAACATTCTGAAAAATTATGAAGTTGCTTGTATAGTACTTAACACCAACTTATTTCATGCTTTATTCACTTATCCCTACTTGTTCCAATCATCATTTTTTACTTAATTGTTTTAGTGTATTTTAATGAGGGGGAAAAGAAACTTATGACTCAATACTTTAAATTTTGTTAATACTTAATTTAGGGTAATAAAAATGACTAATGATTTGATTTCTAATTAGTACGGAATTAAATTATATGACTCCTTTATTGAATCTGGAACTGGTAATTAAATGCTTTTTGTTGAGAAAAGGGCAAGATTCTAATGCATTAAAATTTTATTATTTTATGTTTACTATATTTGTATTAGTATAAAATTTTAAAGAGTAAAACCTTCAAAATATTATAAATTCTTCTAATTTTTATCAGATGCATATTTTAATGCAAACAGTAATGATGTCAAATAATCTAAACTGGAAAACATGTGTCCAATTTTTGAAATAATTACTAATTACACATGTATTACAAAAAGATCATCATCTTATTCTGCATGTATTATATCACTATTCATTTATGCTCAACATTAATACAATAATATTCAACAATAGAGGAACCAACTGAATGAATATCTTAATTAATTAATATGGAAAAATAACTTCTATAAAGTACTGTTAAACAGTCTTTTATTTCCATATCAAACTTAATAAAATACCTCGAAAGTCTTCTCGCTGATATGAAAAAAGAAGTTCAACTTTTCCAGTGGTAGGAAATCGAGAATCTAAACAAAAAATAAATATAAATTTTAGGTTCTCGCAATAATAATAACATACTAACGCTAAAGCATTTATATTTTTAAAACTATGCTTAAAATTGTAACATAATAAGAAAACGATATACTAAAAATTCAAAATAAGACAGAGAAACTGTACAAAGGAAGAATCAGAAGAATGTAATAAATGATTTTTTAAAATATATCTTTAATTATTTACCTGAACATGCACTATCTAGTTCACTTTTATCAAATGTCATATGATCTGATTCAACCGTACAAGTGTGAAACTGGAGTTGAAAAATTGTATATCTGGCAAGTGGCCTATTACTTTTATGATAACATTTTATAAATACATCTCCTCTAATCTGCAATCCTGAATCGAAGGAGACAATAATTTTTTTTGATTTCTCAGATGCTGAGCTGAAAAGAAACAACCAATCTATATTTAAAATTGCACTGTGATAATGAAAGTTCTGAGTATTTTTTTAAATTATGCAAATGCAAAAAAAATTATATTGTAAACAAAAAGCATACAATAGTTATTTTTCTTGATTTCTGTGAGGAAACTCATTCATTCGAAATCATTTTTGCAAAACTACATACATTTAAATACATACATTTAAATTAAAATTTCTCTTGTATTGCATTTATATCTGTATTGATTGGAATTATTACGAAAATTACTTTTGCTCAACATGAACGTATAGTCTTCTTCACAGAAGCACAAGCCAAGTATTACAGTACATACTCAGAGCTGGATCTTTATTTAATAATTGCAACAAATTTACAGGAACAAAAATCATATGGGGAAAAAAAAAGTTTCATGTTAATTTGCTGTAATTTTTATTAGACAGCACCCTACTGTAATTAGTTTACTACCATAAACACTTATCAAAACAAATCACATTGCCTCTACCTGAACTTCCATGTGCATAAAATCACCTAGTAGGACTTTTAATGTGTACATATCAGTTATTCACTGGAAAGACAATATTTAAGAAGGTAAAACCATAAAATAAGTTTAATTAAATTTATATACATATTTAAAAATATTAAGACTTTATACTGTTGCTCATTTCTTTCAATCATATTCCCCATCCAAGTTCACTAGTAGTACAGCAGTAAAGTCACTGAACACTGGTAATTCAGGCTGGGTTCGATTCTAGACAAATAGGCTGGCTGCACGGGCCATATTGTACACAGATTTTCCCATACGTAATGTGGATATGAACCAGTTTTCCTTAGAAAGTCTTTCTTAAAAGCATCCCTCCCCCTAAGCAGATAGCTTCTGCATGCCATAATTAAATAAGTCAAACCAACCCTCACCCCTCTAAAAAAATAGCTATTAACATATTCTATAATTTGCACAATACAATATCTTGGCAAATTGTAATAAGTGTGAAAGAAAACAGCATCAACTAGGAACTTTTGATTGAATTTTAAAACAACTATATGAGACAGCGATTCATTATATGTCCTAAGAATTAATTCACTTAGAATTGAAGATATTCCTGACCACAAAATTCCTCTCCAGTCAATTGCAGTTGCTCAGTCCAATGGAAGCGGACAATGATTTGTCATATGTAAATGTCAAACAAAGTAGCAAAATATGAAATGTCTTATGAAAAAGAAATGAAATGTTATTCAAAATGTCAATTTAAACCTACCATGTTGCAACAATTCACTACTTTAATTCTACTTTCTTACCTTTTATATAAAAATTTTGCATTCTTTGATAAGAAAGGCATGAATTTTGTTTTGTGCAACTTTTTTTTTACATATTTTGAATGGCACTCTTTCATTATTTTTTCAAAAGAACACTTAAACTTTTGAATAATCCACATCATTTATAGCTTTATCTTGACCTTTTTCATACTTTGCCTAAATAAGCATTTATCATTTTATAAAATGCCAGGGTATTATATACAACACCTAGGGAAAATGTATAATAATTCTCATACTTCATACTTTGCCTAGAAATGCCTTGGTTCTTTAGAATACCAGCATATATATATATAGTACAAAGTCTGTAATTCGGACGTCCATAATCCGGACCTCAAAGCTTCAAACTTTATGCGCATGCGTAAACGCATAATGCGCATATGTGTTTACGCATGCGCATAATGCACCCCCCATGTATAATGGACGGTATAATCTATGCTAAAATTATCAAAGGCATTTCAGTTAATAATGCAGATTGCGCTGTTCCTTAATCTTCTAATTGGATTCGGCTTATTATTTTTTGCAGACTGTTAGAACAATTTTATAAAAATTAAGCTTGAACTTTCGATTATGTCAAAAAGAGTTTCCAATTCTGGAACTGCCAAAGGATCTACAAAGCGAAAACATGTTTCAATGTCCATTAAACAAAAAGTGGAATTACTGCAAAAAATGGATAAAGGCCTACCCGTCTCAAAATTATGGGAGAAATATGGCACTGGACAGTCCACTATATATGACACATGAAAAAGGAACTTTTTGAATTTTTTGTGGAAGTATCTTAAGCAATTTACATTGAAAGAGATGTTTAATAAAGTAAACAGATAAATACTAAGCCTTTTTTGTAAATTTTGATACCCTTTAGATCATAATTGTTCTTTATTTCATAAATTATGATTTCATATTTTTAACTGTATAATTTCTGCATGCCATCTTACCAGATTTAAATTGATTATCTATAATCTGGAATCACCAAAGTCCTGATGAGTCCGGATTACGGACTTTTTACTGTATATATATGTATGTTACTGGCAATGTATGAAATATATATAGAGAGAGAAAGAGTATGTGTGTGTGTGTGCACATGAGATCTATGTCTCAGTCTAATATCTGACAATAATAATTTTACCTGAAGATAAGACCAAAATTATTCAAACTTCTAATACTCATGTTAATACTGTGGGTATGCTTTCAGAAATGATGACCTTAAGAAAGAACTGCCCTATGTACAATTATAATCAAATCAAAGTACCTGGATGCAAAGAATGTTACACAATTCTACAAAAATATGCCACTATTATTGTTTAAAAAATACTGTTCTCTGAATTTAAAAAAAAAAAAAAAAAAAACCACTTTTAGCAACTTGTGGTAAGAATGTTTACTGTATATGGGTTTTTGATACCAGCATAAACTTAACTGTTTGACTTAAACTATTAGATTATTTGGGTTATGGTAAAGCACACGAGTTGTCTAATGGAAGGGACTCATGCAGGGCTTTCTAAGGGAAAATGGCTCATATCCATGTTACACATAGAAAAAGCAGAAAAATTCCCATTCACGCAGCCATTTTGCCAGGACTTGAGTGGGGTTGAATTACCAGTATTGAGAAACTGTACCACTTCGTTGCTGGTAGACTTGCAGTTAAGCTAGTTAAGCATCATGTGTAACATTATTACAAGTCAATTTCCCATAGAAATTTCTCCATGTAGATCTTTTTTTACCTGAAGACAAAATGCTCAAGTGCTTTGTCACAATCATATTTGAGAATCCAAACCTGATAACAAATCATCTTTAAAAGGTAGAATTCTAATTACTTTCATATTTACATTTTCAATTAATATAAGAAAACTTACTAAACACCAGATGTGTATATCTGTTGCATTCCTTGATATATCTTTAAAAAAGGCCTACATCCTAAGGAAGTAAGATAATGAATCACAATTTGCAAAATTATACAAAGTACTTAATTTTATATGTAACACAGAACACAACAGAGACTTACATACCTCCTCTAGAATCAAAATTTGGCACACCATGTACAATAAGTCGATGAAGGTAAAGAGGATTGCTATTCATTCTTATTGCACCAGACAACAAACCTGTGAAATAATTAACATACCTAAAAAGAATTTAAAAAAAATATTAGTATATTTTCTTCATCAAATAAAATGTATTATTATATTTTATAACTTAAAAAAACTAATTTCTTTTGAAAAGACTCTTAGGTAAAGATAAGATGCTAAGCAAAAGCTAATTCCAAACATTAAAAAAAAGGGGGGAGTAGAAGAAGTTCCATTAAATAGCAATTTATCATTCAACGGATAAAACAAGAATAATCCAAATAAATTTAAGTTATAAAACAAATTAATGTAATGCATATAAAAAGCATTAAACATTTCACAGCATACACAAAAATGAAAACTCAACTTTATCACTGATTACTACATATGTATTACACATATTTCCAGTTGCTAGTAAAATTAGATTTATATTTTATACTGTACACTGCACTATTGGCATAAAGTAAAATAAATATAAACCAAGTTTACACTCTAAAAATTTATTATAATACAAAATAAATGCTGTTTCTTAAAAAGTTCTAATTAAATAACTTATACATAGTTTGTTTTTATGGATGAAAATTTTTTAAAAATTTATTAATCATGCTATGGAAAATTAATTTTAATTCAAACTGGTAAAATGTGTTGCAACAGAAAAGGCCCTTACACTTTTCTTCAAATCATTCTTGAAAAGATCAAAAGTCTACTATATCACAAATTTAGAACTTACAATTTACATTCCCTCAAGATATATAATAAAAATCACTAAATTTTTTGGGGAAAAAAGGACGAGGGGGGAAGAAGCAGAAGAAAATATTTGATGAACTCATGCATAAAATATCAACCCTAAAATACTTGAATTTAATCCAAATATTTGTTTAAAAAAATTTGAAACAAAAATAATAATAACTAGTCTAATACTAACTTGTTAATAAAATAAAAATGAAATGTGATTACTTATGTGTAAATCTTTGTAGCCAAGGCACAGGATTCTAAAAATTGTCCTACTTTACTTCTTTGATTATGTTTTATACACAATACATTTTATATATATACATGTATTTCATTATATACGTGTGTGTAATGAAATTGGAAGAAACTTGTAGTAGTAACTTTGTGTGATATGAGGCTGCATAAATCAGGAACTTGGAGATGTGGCCGAATTCAGTTATTTCCTTTTTATTAATGGCTGGCATGCATTTTATTTAATCCAACACAAATGAAATTGGCACTACTGGATTAAGATTCAATCTCATTCCTGGATGCACAATACAGATCAGATGATGTATCACTCTTCCGAATTACAGGAAGTAAAGATTATAAAAGTTATTGCTTTGCTACTTTTAGAATGATGAGCGGAGCATGTTCAAATTTTAAAAAGAATTTAAAGGGGTAGGTACTGTTAATTTATTATTCAACACAATGATTGAACTTAATTGGAACCAATTGGCAACAGATCTTTAAATTCATAAATTTTAAATTAAACACATCCTTGCTTCAAAGGATACACTTTGCACCATTTTGCTGCACTCTACAGCAAGTTACGTGTGATTGTGAAAAAATATTTCTGTAGTATTTTTCCTGTTCAAAATAAAAATTAATGTTTTAATGATCAAGCCAGTTGTGAGTTTCTGTCCAGTCATCTATGCAGTTTTTCTTGAGTATGACTAAAGAGTGAAATGCTTTTATCTTCGGCAGAAACTACATCATATACATACTTCTAAAAGTATATACTATATTAAGCATAAGGGGAGGAAAAGATATAGTATGCTTCTAAAGGAAAAACCACAAACAACAATAAAATACATAGAATTGTACATTACCTTTGCTGAGAAGGCTGCATTGAATTTGCTAATTTATCTTCAAAGAACTGTTTCATTGCAAACCTGTCAAGAGCCTGGTCCGCACTGAAATTAAAGAAGGCACATGCTACACCTCAAAACTCTAGTGATATCATTACAAATATTTAATAGTAGTCTAAAAACCTTTAGGAAAATAAATATTTCATGAAAGAAAACAATATAATGATAAAAAAAATTATGAAATAGATTAATTCCAGTGAGTCAAAATCCTGCTGCAATGCAAATTTCCTTACCTGGCGCAAATGTTACTATAATGCATATAAGCTGCAATCACAATACCAGCTCGGCCTTTATCACCCTAAAAAAATTTTTTTAATTTGTAATTATGAAAGATAATTTTTAATTAAATAATTATAAGTATTTTTAAAAATGGAAAATAAAATAGAACTTTCTTAATTATTAATTCAGATCACATAAATACTAGTGGATAACCAAAATGAATACAAAGCACCATAAACACTGCTCCATTATCTGAATTAATCCTCTACTGTGGCTCTAGTGACCACTTCTCCAAAAAACCAGTAGTTCTAAGATTGAATGTCATCTCTCTAAATTGATCATCTCCACAAAAGATCAAAATCATCTGGAATTTTGGGAGATCATCTCACAAGAAGTTCTGGGCAAGCCTGATATCATAGCAAAATGAACATGAACTAAATTATGATCACGGTGACATTCATAAGGCAGAATTCCTTGTTAAGTGATAAGCATTTCAGTTTTATTTTTGCTTTTGCTACAGAAACCAAAATTGGAATGTCGAAGGGTGGCCCTTTTAAACTTTCGCAGTTTATTAAAAAAATACAATCTCCAAAATACGGTTTCAAGTATTGTAAATGCTGTTGAAAACTTTTCTTACAATTCCTGCTAGACGTGAAAAGAGTTTTCTAAATAAAAATCATTTTAGAAGTATTTATCAACTATAAATATTTATTTTGCATTTAAGAAATCTTTTCATACTGTCTATACTAGAGCGTTTGGAGCAATCAAGTAGACTCAATAATGACACCGATGATTTTGCAAGCAAAATAATAATTTAGAATGTTGGAATAAAAAAATTTTCTTAAAAATTTCATGTAGTTTAAATTTATTTCTCTATATGTCATCTTGATATTTTTTAGTTATTTGTTTGTACATAAAGATGGGTGGCAAATTCATCGGCACTTTCCTTGCAGCAACCATTGCTGTCAACATCTTTGCACAGCAGTGTCTGTACGTTGCATATGGGGGCCTATTGCTCCGAATGACCACCCAGCTTCACGCAACCCTACAATGCGACCACGTTCGAAGTCGTTTAGTTGTCTGTAAGGTCTTCGATATCGTCGTAATGGCATCTTTAGTTGCTTCTTTACGGAATTACAATGGCAGCAACAAAAAAAATACAATTTTCCGCCTCTGTGACTGGTTTTATACTTTGCTAATTGCGCTATGATCGCATTTCCTGTTCATTTGCCTTGAAACTTTGATCATTTGCATGTTCGATCAAGATGTTTTTGCATACCAAATTTCGTCACGATCGCAAAAGTCCTTGGAGCATCGATTTTTTTGCAAAAGACTGTATAAGTTGTGAGTACAAACATTTGACGTAGTTTTTCAGTAAGTATGCAAGAACTTACTCTTGAAGATAAAGTATATTTCAAAACGTGCTTTTAAGTCCTTGAAGCATCGATTTTTTTTTTGCAAAAGAGCGTAAAGTTGTGAGTACAAACATTTGACGTAGTTTTTCAGTAACTATGCAAGAACTTACTCTTGAAGATAAAGTATATTTCAAAACGTGCTTTTGGCATCGCCATATAGTACACATATTCCTTATATATTCATAGTTCCAATTCCTAAAACCCTCTTTTTTTATTTACGAGATCGTCCTCTTTAAAATTCTCCCCATGGTTTAATTTCTAAAATTAGAAGTGCCGAAGTCCTATGGAACGGCACCAGAAAGATGAACAAAAATAAATAACTAAAGTAATTAATAAATTAGTAAAATAATTTATAATTAAATCATTAAAATTCAATAAAATGTAAAGTGATAAAAAATGTTGGAAGAGAAGCACAACTAGACAAACTTATTTTGGCATAGTTTTTGAACAAATCTCTATTGATTTCAAAGGTGATCAGACTGACATCCCTTTTCTTCAGAAGCAAAAAGAATCCTCCTTACTTACACCAAAAACAGATTGCTGTATTGTAAAATTTTGAGATAAATAAAAATTTTATACATTATGAAATTTATAATAAATAGCATTAAATAACAAAATACTGGATATCATTTTATTTGGGGCTGCGGTTGAATTACAATTTCACTCAAAAACTAAAATATACCGGAGGCAGATTCTGGCCGAATTTTAGCCACGAATATGCTATAATGTACTATTTCAAGAATAACAGACATGAAGAGGATTCTTTTTCCAGTACACCAATGAAAAAGTTAAAAATGGTTAAAGCTTCCCTAATGAGAACAGAGAGGTTGCTATAAATAAAGTTGAAGGAAATTTTAACAACAGAGGCTATATAAATATGAAAACGAAAATAGTTGAACACTTCTCTGAGCAGGATTATCTGCCGATGTAATTCTAGATCTTAAGTATCCATCTGAGGTTTAGCTAAGAACAAGTACAGCTTAACTACAAGTGACAATTTTCGTTCCCCCATATGTGGTTACATCTTTTCAAAAGTTTGTCTTTCAGTTGAAAGTATCTAGGTCTGTAAGAGCAGGGTGATCACTTCTAGCACTTTCGTACAAAATCCTTTATCTTGGACAAATTAAATAGTTACATTTATTCCCTCCCCCCCTCCAGGGGCTTAGATAGAGTTTCCAGTACCCGGGGACAACTAAAGAATTTGCGCCCCTTTCTGTGTGCCAAAAATGGAAAATATTTCATTAAAAAATTTCGTAGCATCAATTTGGCGCCCCTTTGCTGCGCCCGGGGACAGATGTCCCCCCTTGTCCAACCCTAGCTACGCCACTGGCCCCCTCCCATATTATCTTATTTAGATTTAGTTTTTTGGAGCTGCACAGTGTTGGTCTCCTTATTTTTTGTGAGTACCTTTCACATTTGCTTAGCATTCAGACATTAGCAATTTCATTGTAAATGCTCCATTTTGTCTTGTATTTTACAATTTTTTGGCCACTTGTCAAACATTCTAATTTTTTTTATCTCTAACTTTATAATCTTATGTTAATGCATTTTTACTTTTTTCATGTTCGTACATTTTTGTAATTGTGAAATTAGTTCTGCTCAAGGGAAGTTCACATTCGCTGAAATAATCACATTGAAATCATCACGTTAAGGAAGGAATTTCCCAGGTTCAGCCCTAGCCACTGAAATTGTTATTTCTTTTATGATTTATCTCGGCAGATGGCACCACCAGCAATGTATACTCCACCAATGAAATAGAAACTTGTCGAAAACCATAACATTTCCAAGAACAGGAGCGACTTATCCTGTTGAATGCCATGAAAATCGTCAAAATTTCCCCGCTCTTAGTATCAAACCTAATGCTGATCTGTCGTCTTCACCCTACTCCCAGATATAGCTCACGATGCCGCCATTACAGATCACAGCGCCAAGATCGACTGTCAGCCACTTTACACCGGCAAATTTCGTTCTACAGCCATAGCTTTTACGTTGCTTGTAATTCAAAATTCCTCATGCTATCATAATAAATCCTTTACGAAATGCTATCATTGATCGAAAAATAATTTCACGCAAAATACGAACAGTGCAAAATAGACCAGAAGTTGATACTTCACGGGACTGGACAGACATTCAAGTATTACAACATGACTTACATTGACCAGATGAAATAAAATTTTTCCGAAAATGCTCATGAATTACAGATCACATCAGCAGGTGAACGGTAAAGTCGCTGAAAACCTTACCCGGGTTCGATTCTGGGCAAAAGGTTGGCTGCATGGGCATTTTCATGGTTTTTCCCATATCTCATAGAAAGGTCCTCCAAAAAGGCATTCCTTCTCTAAGGTGGATAGCCCTCGAGTACTTTGCCATATAACAAAACCAAGCTGATCATCACAGAGAATTAAATAAGCGACCTCTACAATTTAAATTTTTTTCACTCCTTAAAACGATGTCAAGAATTTGAAAGCTATCATAAAAGGCCTGCGCAGTAACATCGACAAGATTACAATGCAAGATCTTCAGAACAGGAATTTTCCTTTAATTAAAGTTCGCCAATTCACCAGGAACCAAGACGACGAAATCCTGAAGTCGTCAAATTTCATCACAGAGCTAGTTACGTTTAAAATCAGTAACACGTTTTCCCTGAAAGTTTTTAGAGTCATTAAGTTAATTGGAAGCCAGAGAGATGAAAAATATGCAACCGCCTTCGCCGGGAAGCGAACCACGGACCTCTGGAATACTGGCCCAGCGTGCTACCGTTACACCACGAACGCACGCTAGAGAAGTGGGAGAAATACCTTATAAGTTAAAGTTTAAAAATTCAAACCAAAGCCTCGAATTATGGCTAGAGACGAAATTTCCTCCAATTATCGATAAGGACATTCGCGAGATACGTGCTACAATGAAGATAGATGTGTAAAATGTGCAAAAAGCACAGAGCCTTTAGAACTGTGATCTCGAAAAGGAAGAAAAACCCAAGCTATGCATATATCCAATGCAAAATCAGTTATATATATCTCGAAATTAAATAATAATGTAACTGTCAAATACCTCCCAACAGTTCAAGGAATACACACACACCAAAGCAGTTCAAAATAAAAACAGCAGTTATCTTTTCTGCGGCGAAGCCGAACATATCAAAGAATTTTTAAACATGGCAAAAGATAGAAAATTAAAGACAATAGCTCTGCAACTGAAAGAAATTTTTAGAAAATTGAAAGAAACAATGGACGTTTCCGAAAAACTAGATCGTCAGGTCTAAGCCATCATAACTGAATTAAACTGACAGTTAAGTTTAGTCCTCACGTAAACCAGCTCAAATAGTTTCTCAATTATTTTTCTTTACATTCAAATACGCGATTTTGCGTTAATTCACTCCAGATAAGACGTATCTTGTGATTTATAGAAAGAAAACTGCATGATGCCCAGCGAACAGTAAGGAGCTTCAAGAAGAGAACAGGTTATCGAAACGGGACTACCGTTTTCATAACCTGATCTGTTTTTCTTGAAATGACTGATGTGTCTGCTTATAAGCATCTCACATTCTGGGATGGACTTTAATATTAAAGATTGAATATGATAGCTTTCTTGGATGCTTATCATGGAATAGATAAACGTCATTTATAGCCGCGCAACCCTACTTAAGGCTAAAAAAGTTTTTCAAGAATAGGTGTTGTAATGAATACTACATTACGTACAAATATTCTTAAATTCCTTGACACATGTTTATCAGTATGAACTTAACAATACAACTTTCCTAACAGTTACACTGTTGATAACATTACAAATATCGTATCTGGATCCCAGACCACAACAGTGGGTCAAAGTCTTCATGCTGACGATTTTCAGAAAATTTTCAGAAGTCCGATCTTTAAAATTTTACAGTCTCACCAGTCTCAAAGTGATGGTAACTTTATCTGAAAGCTCTCAAACAGGTTACTAGCAAGAATAGGTGATTATCACAGTATTTGATTTAGATTGTGGCTGTAAATGGATTCAAATGAATTTTTTTTGTTTCTAAAACATAAGTGTGGTTTCTTCGAAAATAATACAGTTTCCTGATATATTAACTGTTCGTCGAACTTCCCCATGCACTGCTTGATTTGGCACAATAAATCACTTTTATTGCTCATCTATACGATAATTCAGAGAACTTGACGTAGGTATTTAAAATCTTATACACGAGTTGCTTTACATGCATTTGATTACATTAGTATATCACTTGAAGCTGAAATACGACAAGGCAGTACACAATAAATATAATTGTAATAAAGGAATTAGGAGTCAAATTACCTTAGAATGTATAACAGCAATATTTTGCGGATCGCTATTAATCCACGAGTCGATAGATTTACAAATACTACAAAGCCTTTCCAGTGGTGGTGCAAGATTTTGCGGCCATCCAAATTCCAAAACCTATTTTTTAAATATAAAGAGTTAAAATAATTGCCAATGTAGTATAACTGTTCAAAATTATTCACCATCTCTGTCGCACTGCTACAGATTCTTATTAAACGATTACGTTATATAATAATATTAAAATATTGCATTCTAGAAACAAACAAAATACAGTGAAGCTTCGGTTCACGAATTTAATTTGTTCCTAAAGGCCGTTCGCCATCCGAAAAGTTCGTAAAACGAAACTATTTTTCCCAAGGGAATTAATATCAACTTGTCCTTGGAGTACACATGGTTACTCCAAGGTCCTTGGAGTACACATGGTTACACACATGGTTACTCCATTAATATCAACTTGTCCTTGGAGTACACATGGTCCTTGGAGTACACATGGTTATTTAAATTTTAAAACAATACTTTGTACGTAAGTTCATAACATAAAAGCAAATCATTAAATCTATGTCAAGAAAAATGAACGCAACATTAAACAGATAAACAGACAGAAACTTAGTTTAATTTTACTATACGAAAGGAAGTGAGCGGCATAAGTGGAAAGTGATGAAGAAGAGGAAGGAAAGAGATATTACTGTTTATATTAGCGGGTACTTTTCCATAAAAACACCAGTTAACTTCCTTCAGCATCTTCCTAACATTAGTTGTCTTCCTAGAGCATCAGCTTTCATTTTTCTCTTTTTCTTAGCCCCACTTGACTGTGCTTGAGATACACTGGGCCTCCATTTGACTCAAAATTTGCCTAGTGAGATTTGTTTTAAAATGTTTCTAGAGTGTGACTGAAAATACATATACTGTCGCTAGTTGCTGTTTTATAATGATGTTCGTCAAATGAAAACTTTGCATCTGGGTCCAAATGCACAAATTTCGCGATTCGAAGAACTAAAACAACCATCCAGTTTTAAATCTTGATCTGAACACATTTCTTTCATAATCGTCTTTTGTTGCTGTTTCTAAAAATGCTGCAGATCTAATTTTTTCTGTTCATTTTTATGGTCCTCTAGTAACTCCTCCACATGTTCATCCTTAATTTACAAGCCCAGTTCTACAGATTTCCCAGACTATCGTAAATAACAAAAACTGCCAAAGAGTCAAAGCTCTCAAAGTCTCTGCCTGTAATATTTACTATCTCTTCATAATTTCCTTCAGGCCGAATTCATGGTCCTGTAAAGAGGTTATCACACATGGTCCCTGCTAGACACAAACATCCCTGCTAGACACAAACATCCCTGCTAGACGGGACGTTTCTGAGAAACGAGATTCTGGTAGACTGGTTTAAACAGGAAAACTCCTAGAAAAAAAAAAGCCTCGCCTAGCTACGGAAACCGTTTTGCGGCTACGCGGGATTTTTTCAAACCTCACCGGAAATGTCTCGGCTGGACCTCAGTCCCGGATAGAGACAACCAATCAGACGAAAGTTCTGCTTCTGAAGACTCACGTGATCCCAATCTGAGCAATAACCGCGATTAGTGTTTGGCGTTCAAGTAACCTTTGTAGTAAGTGAAAATGGTAACCTAGCTACGTAGTGAAAATGGTAACCTAGCTTTCCTGGAATTGTGTGGGTTCTGAGAATTATCCCTTTCGACGTCAAGTCCTGCGTAGCCGAAACATAATGTGATTGGGACTTAAGTCACTTGCTGCCACGCTTTCTTAATGAGAATTAAACATCGGAAAATATTAAAACGATCTTTCAAGAAGTCATTAATTATGTAGCATACAGAAACACCAATGAAAATAACATGCTGACGACTCAGATGTTCGTAACTGCAGACAATGAAGCATTTTCTCCGTTCACCCAGGCTTTCCAGGGCCGATGCTATTCGCACCAACATTAACCACGCATGCGCATTGAGTTGTCAAAGACGGGTTTCTACCTTGGCGTAGTTTATCATTTTTTAAGCGTTGGCAACTTTCAAAAGTTTAGAAAGGAAAATGGGTTCCTTTTCTTATAAAAAGAAGGAACACATTTTCTTTTATTAAAGTATATATATAAAAGGACCAATTTTTATGTTCGGAATGTTTATCCTTTTCCTGAACGGTTTGAATAGTTTAAATGACTTATTTGAAGGGAGGGGGGCAAAATCATGTTGACATTTTTTGTACTTCTTAAAATACATTTAGCTTTAAAGATGTGTTTTGCTCAATCAAGCTTTTAATTCATTCCTCTTTGAAAAATTTCGTTCCATAAAAGATACTAAAAATTAGACAGCGGATTTCTGTGTAGAATATTTAGACATGATATAAATTAAAAGCGATTATATGAACTATTAAATGAATTATTCTGTAGGCCTGCTTATTTTTTTTTTATGGAAATATTTGGCATTTTCAGGACACAAAAAGTGCTCCAAAGAACTTTGAAACATTTGTACAAACAACACAAACATTAATCAATTAAATTTAAATACATAATGGGATGTAATTTAAAAGACAGAAATAATTTAATGTAAGAGATTCAGATTTAAAAATTTGCACACTCAAATGATTTATCAGATTTTGTAAGGTTTATTTCATAAATAATTTTGATTTTGAAATATGGCATTTGAACCCATAAACCTGTGCGCAGTGGCTAATCGCACCGACGGTGCGAATAGCTAACAGGCTATTCACACCACCTACGTTCGCGCATGCGCACAAGCACCCCAGGTACAAGGCAGGCGGTAGTGAGAGCGAAGGTTGTTAACCCTAACTCAGCAATAGAAAGGGTTGTTAATAGTTCACCAGCAACAGAATAATTTGCTAGTAATAATTATCAGTTACAAAGACGAAGTCAATCTATATACATGATAATGTTCAGGAAATTATTAGATAAAATAGGGATTTAATGATGGTTCTAATTGCAAGCGAAGACGAGTAATTAGTTAAAAAATCTTTAGTGTATTGACAAAAAGGCTACAGAAATTACTTAAATTCTTTTATTTAACAGAGGAATTTTTATGCAACTTAGACCCTTATGACCCTATTCTTATAGCACAGGACTGCCAGAATTTATTATTCAATAAGAAACTTACTGAAAATGATAATATTCTTATATATTCATCACTTTTTCAGTATCCACACAGGTTTATAGGTTCAAATGCCATATTTCAAAATCAAAGTTATTTATGAAATAAAATCTTACAAAATCTGATAAATCATTTGAGTGTGCAAATTTTTAAATCTAAAAAATCTCTTACATTAAATTATTTCTGTTTTTTAAATTACATCCCATTATGTATTTAAATTTAATTGATTAATGTGTTTGTACAAATGTTTCAAAGTTCTTTGGAGCACTTTTTGTGTCCTTAAAAATGCCAAATATTTCCATAAAAAAAAAATAAGCAGGCATACAGAATAATTCATTTAATAGTTCATATAATCGCTTTTAATTTATTTCATGTCTAAAATATTTCTACACAGAAATCCGCTGTCTAATTTTTAGTATCTTTTATGGAACGAAAATTTTTCAAAGAGGAATGAATTAAAAGCTTGATTGATTGAGCAAAACACATCTTTAAAAGCTAAATGTATTTTAAGAAGTACAAAAAATGTCAACACGATTTTGCCCCCCTCCCTTCAAATCAGTCATTTAAACTATTCAAACCGTTCAGGAAAAGGATAAACATTCCGAACATAAAAATTGGTCCTTTTATATATATACTTTAATAAAAGAAAATGTGTTCCTTCTTTTTATAAGAAAAGGAACCCATTTTCCTTTCTAAACTTTTGAAAGTCGCCAACGCTTAAAAAATGATAAACCACGCCAAGGTAGAAACCCGTCTTTGACAACTCAATACGCATGCGTGGTTAATGCTGGTGCGAATAGTTTAAGCAGCTAATCGCACCGGTGGTGCGAATAGCATCGGCCTAAACCTGTGTGGGTACCGAAAAACTGATGAATATATAAGAATATTATCATTTTCAGTAAGTTTTCTTATTGAATAATAAATTCTGACAGTCCTATGCTATAAGAATAGGGTCTAAGTTTGTTCCTCTGTTAAATAAAAGAATTTAAGTAATTTCTGTAGCCTTTTTGTCAATACATCTAAAGATTTTTTAACTAATTACACATCCTCGCCTTGCAATTAGAACCATCATTAAATCCCTATTTTATCTGATCATTTCCTGAACATTATCATGTATATAGATTGACTTCGTCTTTGTAAACTGATAATTATTACTTGCAAATTATTCTCTTGCTGGTGTGAACTAGTTAACAACCCTTTCTATTGCCGAGTTAGGGTTAACAATCTTCGCTCTCACTACCGTCTACTTTACGGAAATCGGCGTAAAATGCTGGTACCTGGGCTGCTTGTGCGCATGCGCGAACGTAGGTGGTGTGAATAGCCTGTTAGCTATTCGCACCGTCGGTGCGATTAGCCACTACGGGCTTTCCAGATACTAAAGCGTTCATCATTCGAGGCGTTTTCTGTGCAGATAATTTATTCGTGAGCCGAATTAGTCGCGATGAAGCGTTGGTGATCCGATATTCCACTGCATTTACGCATATAAAATTGTTTGCACTTCATGTTACATTGTTCACAGCAATACGTTATTAAAAGATTTAATATCATTTAAAAACAACTAAAAAACTCTTTTACGATTTAGTAATTATTACATTAGTTTAGCAAATAACAACATGCTACTCAATCGGAACAATATGATGTATAATAGCTTATAAAAATTTTCTTACTCTGTTATTGAATTTAGCCAAGTCATACCGCTTCTCTGACAAGTTAAACACCTAAAACAGGAAGAATTATACACTGCATTTTTCTGTAAAGCAAAGTTTGTGGAAAATTTTTTTTAATATGAACAATTAATCTAAATCAACAGAAAAATCATTTAATGTTAACTGAAAGAACTAAGTTACTTACCATATAATTTGTTCCATGTTTTGTACGTAACATACGTGTCACATCTTTCAGATTACTTTTGTATGTTGTATCTGGCTCTGTTCTTGGAAATACAATCACTGAAACAATAGATAAAACAATTATTTTCGAATATAGATGGTGGTACGATATAAACAGTTGATAAATACTCACAAACTGATCATCGCATTACCAAACTTAAAACACTTACCAATAATTCTTTCCGTAACGTACGTTATATCCATGGCGAATGTTGGGTGCCTATCTAAACTCCTACGAGCAAGACGGGAGAAAGCAGATATTATTATCTTAAATACAGTAAAATCAAAAATAATAAGCAGAACATACGGAAGGGAATCATTCGAATGCAAAACATAAAATTAGAATTTTCCAAAGCAAAACGATTCCACTTCTCTTATTCTAGCCTTTGAAAAATTAACATTACTTAACATTATGTATAAATATTTCTAAGACTTTTCGTACCAGTAGAATTATAGCATTCGAAATTAACACCAACACTTTTAAAAACGACACCATCAAAAAGAATATTTCGAGCACTGAAACTACACTTTGCAAATAAATACATCAACAGACTGATCATCTACGGTATCTGTGATATTGTTTTACTAGGCTTATTGAAAATATTGTTAAATACGTCAATAAAATTTTCCTTCTTGCAATTCTCTGAAACAAGCAACCCCAGGAGACTAATTAACGGCAATAAGACAGTCAGCAATTCTGATTATATCCCATTGCGTAAAATATGTCATAAACCTCTTCAACATTTTCAAAAACTACCAATACTTCATTGAGATATTCTTGGAGAAAAAGGCTTTTCGCATGGCAAATAAAAAAACTACATACATTGCACGAGCTATTTAAATGAAATGGAGAAAAGAAATACACTGGTGTGCAAAAATTAAGGACGAGACGGTTTTTCCAATATAACTTTGTACAAAAGATTTCCAAATCAACCCATTTAATACCGTAAGATCCCCAATACGTAAGAACATGAGTAATGTAAGCAACACTTACTAAAAGAGAAATCAGAGGGATAAAAAGAAGCTTTATTGAAAAAGTAGCATGGAGCGCAATGCGACTGAAGGCCGAAACATCCCTGTGATGGGTGTCCAGCAAGAAACATCCGATCTTTAATAGGGGATACGATCTCCCCTGACTGCTAGGCAGGTTTCACAGCGTCTGCCCATGCTGAGAATGAGGGTGTCAATGAGTTGTTGAGGCATTGCTGCCCATTCGTCTTGCAGCGCCAATCGAAACTCCGGAATCGTTACTGGTGGTAAGGTACGAGCTGCCAAGCGTCTGCCTAGAAAATTCCATACATGCTCGATGGGATTGAGATCCGGAGATCGTGCCGGCCAATCCATACGTTCAATATCCTCACTCTCTAAGAGCTGTTCGGCAGCTATGTGCGATGACATGGTGCATTGTCGTCCATGAAAAGGAACTGCGGACCCATAGCGCCTCTAAAAAGACGCACATATGGAAGAAGATTCTCGTTACAATAACGGGTCCCGTTGACTGAACCTACGTCGAAGATGTGAAGGTCTGTACGACTACCAAGCATGATGCCTCCCAAAACGAGAACACCGCCACCTCCATACCTGTCCCTTTCAATGATGTTCGAGGGATGATTGCGGCTTCCCCGCTCTCTCCAGATGAGTATGCGATGAGAATCGCTACTCAGATTGAATCTGCTCTCATCTGTAAAGAGTACTCGTCCCCATTCATTGTCTCTCCAATTCCGGTGTTCCCGGCACCACAGAGAACGCCTTCTCCGATGGGCAGGCGTTAGAGGTACACACCTTACAGGGCGTCGTACAAACAGACCACCACCGTGCAGTCTTCTGGCCACGGTAAAACGCGATATCGGTCGCCGAGTCGCCTGTTTCGTGTGTCTAGCGATTTCTCCCGCTGTCTGCCGCCTGTTTCTTCTGGACTGTAAGGCAATATACCGGTCATCTGCGGGTGTGGTTCCTTGTGGACGACCACTACTAAACCCCCGGATAGCTAGCTGTTCCTGTAGTTTGAAATTGTCTCCAAAGTCGTGAAACGATGCTGTGAGCAATTCCGAACTCTGCAGCCTCACTTGTCACACTGCGGCCTTCCTCCAACTTCCCAATGATTCGACCTCGGGTAAAAGCATCCAGATGTCGTCTAACAGATTGATTATTCACCATTTCTCGCTGAGGCAGCAACTCGGTGTGATTTTAACTGCTATACGGCGTGCAATCTCTTTGCCAGAAATACTGATCTTACACCGACAACATGCTTTATACTACTCAGACACTCCCCCATTACGTCTACCTGCATATCTGCGCATGTGCTACCGTACATCACCTTACTTAATCTCCTGATTGGTCTTTCTGTCCGCTCTGCCTCTTCGTTCAGCTGATATGCTAAATTTTCGACTTCGTCCTTAATTTTTGCACACCAGTGTTTACTGTCCATAAACGAAAGAAGGGATGTGGAAGATATTTCTGGCAATTTTATTTTCAACCTTATAACCATTAGATGTTTCTGATAATAATTTTTTAAAGATGGTTTAACACTGAATGATACAGCGGATAGTGGAAGGTAATCAATTTGACCTCTTGATAGAAAAACGACTCCCAGTTTGAAAAAGAAGTGTGAATGGATCAGGAAGTTATAGACATAAAGTTTACCTAAAATAACTAAGAAATTTTAAGAAAAACGGAACGTCTAGTGATGGGCGGTTTTTAATCCAGCAAGATGCTGCGCGAAATGCTGTGGGTTCCCCATGTTTAAGTAAATACGCACACAGCATTTTTACGCATACATCATCTGAAAAAACGTTTTGAATCGAAGGTACGTATAAATTATTTGCGTTACCATTTCTTTGGATTATACACCTGGCAATACAGTAACTCTTCAAACATCCGAGTAACCGAATTATTAGCGTCCTTCCCGGAAATCGGTTCTTTACAAGTTGCAATAAGTTTCTTTTTATTATTTTTATTATATTACAGTCATTTTCAATTTCTAATTAGCATGAACTATGGAGAAAGAAGATAAAAATGTGCAAGAGGTGGTGCTGAGTTTCACTAACACTTACTATATAAGAGGGCTGTCTGAAAAGTTCCCGTCCTAGATTGTGTAGACGGCAACCGAAGTGTGTGTGTGTGTGGGGGGGGGAATTTGTTTGGGCATTACTTGATAACTACCAATCAAAATTTCAGCTATTTCGAACGCGAATATTTTGTTTGACAATTACCTTTGTCAGTTGATGTGACCGTTTTTGCAAAAATGAAAAAAAAACGAGTATCATGTTGTCATTACATACTTGTTTTTAAAAGGAAATCAGATATCTTTACAAAATTCTACGCGCAATATAAAATGATGTAAACTATAAAAAGGTTTTTAAGTCTTGGAAAGTTTCATTTCCAAGCCAAGCAAAATTCAACCCCCCTCCAAAAAAAAAGTTTTTTTTTTTTTGTTTTGTTTTGTTTTTAAGCAATTTTTTAATGTGGTGTGCTCAAACAGAAAGTAACAAATGTAACGTATTTATAGTATTATATTTGTGATTTGTAACAGTTTCGCGAATATATATTTTTTTCCTTCAATTACAGGTCGAAAAAAATTACAGGTCGAAAATCCAATGTTTGTCAAAATTCTTTTTTAAACGGTCACGAATTTACGATCAACTAAACATATTTACATTCCATGAAATGCTAAATAATAATTATATAATATATATAATATAAATAATATATTATAAAATAACAAGTAAATATATACGAGGTTAAATTTAAAAAAAAAAAAAAAAAAAAAAAAAAAAAAAAAAAAAAAAAAAAAAAAAAAAAAAAAAAAAAAAAAAAAAAAAAAAAAAAAAAAAAAAAAAAAAAACATCTTACCTTGATCGTCTGATCTTATCCGGAGATCGAACTAAAGCCGGACTTTTCTAAAATGAATAAAAATTACTATTGAGATCCAACACTAAACTAACATGTGCGTATAATAAGAAGTAATACAACAATGCAATATAATGAATATAACGTTATAAAATCTAATATTTTAAGTTGCTTGCATCATCATTTTAGTCGGCACTCTTTTGTTTCAATCATAAATTGTGTATTGTATTATTTCTACATGAAAGTTCCAGCTCAATCTGCATTATAATGAAAATATTTTCTATAATAAAAATTTGAAAGGCTGTTATTGAACATTTACTTTGTGGAACTATTTCCGTCAATTTCTTTACAAAAATTTTTTATTGGACACTCAAAAGACACTGGACATATTAACAACTTGAGGACTTTAAAAATTATATTTATTATTTAGTTTTAATTAGAAATTATACTGTTGTTGTAATACTTGTAAATTATATGTTAAGTATTTTAAAATCTGTGTATGAGGAAGGTCATGAACATGACGGGGCATAAGAAAGCCTGCAGACTATGTCCTTACGATACCTCGTATGATAAACTTTCTCTTGCTTCGTTAATATATTAATGCTTCTCTGCCATCCTGCTCTCCCAATCTTTCTTTTGAAGGGGGGATATATAATATATAACAAAACACGATAGCTGCCTTAAAAATAATTGGCGACCTCAAAGTTAATTAGTTTAGTTTTTCCCCCTAAATTCATCTGTTCTCCTAAATTCGAGATCTTAACATGTTGCATAACGTCGCTTGAAAGAGGTAACTAAAACTAAAATTAGCCGATCATAGCTTAGAATACTTTCTGCAAATATCCAGAATAAATAACTAATAACTGCGTAGTCTCCCTCTCTTTAGTCTCTTCGCCTGCCTGCTAGCTATTCGCCATTAATTAAACTGTAATTGCATATCTAAAATTATGGGGTGCTTAGTTAAGAAATTCTCATCATTCAAGAATAAATTATGTTTAACTATCAAGCTGGCCATGCTTCTAAAATTCCAATCTGATCATCCATTACGCCATAATGTCAAGTCACGCAGCAGTCATAACGCAGCAGTGTTTTCGGCCATAACTAAACATGAATTATTTTCATCTTCCTCCAAAAGTACAACAACACCATATATATATTATACAACATATTGTTGCGTGCGTACGGTTTCGTTATGAAATGAATGCACAAGTCCGATGAAAAAAATGAACAAAAATTTATTATTATCACAACAAAAATGCTTAAATTTTCTCAAATTATCACGCAGTATTACAATATCTCACAGTAGTTTTCTTTTAACTACTCAAATGTCCAATAGAATGTAATTCAAAACAGCTAAAGAACGCGAATCCGCGAATTCGTTACAATCAACAACAGTAGTTTTCTAAACAACAACAAACTAAGCAACTCTACTAACTGAGATGTTTTCCTCCTTTTATAAGATTTTAAAATCACGCGCTAGAATTTTCCAGCACTTTCTCGAAATCAAAAAGAGATATTTTTTTATTTAACGCACGCGCTCTTGTATTTTTAATTTTTCCGGGTTAGCTTTCTTTTTAATATCGTCACGCGCTGCACTGCGCGAGAAATAAAACCATTTAATTTATAAGTGAACTAACATTAGCTTTTTAAATACCAAATTCGTAACACTGCCCCCTTCCCAAGGACTGTACGTCCCGGGCAGTACAATCCCTGGACAGGAAGCTAAACTTACAACTGTGACATAAATGCATTAATAAGCATTACATTACAATAATAAACAACATGAACAATAAATGCAATAAATAAAACAAATCAAATGCTATCAAATACAAATCAAATACAAAATGCAAATCAAATACTAAATACAAATCAAATACAAAATACACATTTAAAAACATAAAGGACCATGGTCTGATACTATTTACAATTATTTACATTACGTACTATGGCCATAGTAATGAGCTAACCTGTCGTAATGAACGACTTTAGGTTTACAGTTCGAAGACTTACGGATCCGAACCACGACGTCATTCAGCCTGTTTAGGACTCTGTACGGGCCATCCCAAGGTGACTGTAATTTCGGACAGAGTCCCTTCCGTCGAGTCGGATTCCACAACCACACCTTGTCTCCTTCGTGGAATTGATGTTCAGTAGCTCTTGTGTTGTATCGGGTTTTCATCTTCTCCGTCGCCAAGTTGACTCGCTCTCGTGCAAAGTTGTGCATCACTTCAAACCGGGCCTGGAGATCTTGACTATATTCCTCAGACAAAGAAGGAGCATCCGGAGGGCGGCCAAACAGTAGATCACAAGGCAGACGAAGATCACGACCGAAGAGCATCTGTGATGGAGAATAGCCGGTAGTCTCGTGGACAGCACTGCGGTAAGCCAGTAAAAAGAGTGGTAATTTCTTGTCCCAATCCTGTTGGTTTCTGGAAACCACTAATGAGAGGTTATTAAGGATGGTTCGATTGAACCTCTCTACCATGCCGTCCGACTGGGGATGCAATGGCATCGTTTGAGTTTGTCAATGCCGAATAGTTTGCATAGTTCTTTGATTACTGCCGAGGCAAAATTCCTTCCCTGATCGGAATGTAACTGAAGAGGCACTCCAAACCTGGAAATCCAGTGCTGTATCATTACGTCAGCTACTGTGACAGCCTCTTGATCAGGAAATAGGATAAGCTTCAGGCCACTTGGTGAAGTAATGAATGACAACGAGTATGTATTTGTTGCCATCAGCAGTTCGTGGCAGAGGTCCCAGGATATCAAAGGCGATACGTTTAAACGGCGCACCTACGTTGTAACGTTGCAGCTTGCCTCGGCTGCGTTTCCTCGGTCCTTTCCGACCTGCACAGGCATCGCAAGATCGGCACCACTTTTGCACGTCATCCTTTGCATTATTCCAGTAAAAGCGCTCACGAACTCTCTGTAAGGTCTTCATAATTCCAAAGTGACCTCCTGTAGGGCTGTTGTGTTGTTCTTTAAAGACATCAGGAATCCGGGATCTTAGAAGTATCAGTTGCCATCGGAACGTCTTCCCATCATCCGATTCGAATTTCCGGTATAAGACGCCGTTTTGAATGTTCCGTTTGAATGTGAAGTGAATGAATCCAGAGAGTGCCCAGTATTGTTTTGTTGTAGGACTACAGATAGAAATGTCCTCCTGCCAAGTAGGTTTTCTGTTTGATGACTCCATTAAATCAATTATGGGTTTAATGTCGCGGTCTTCCAGCTGGTCTTTCCTGACTTCATCATCACTCCACGGATCTCGATCAGCCGATGTTTGATGTTGTAATTTGTCTTGCGACCGGAGTCAGCAGCTCGTATTTCGCAACCACCCTGGAGCACAATATCGGCAGCTTTCTGTGGCAAGGTCTTCTAGACAGGGCGTCGGCGTTCCCGTGTGATGAATCCCTTACGAATGACGGATAGTGATGTCATATTCTTGGAAGTCTTCTGTATCCACCTGGCTATTTGACCCTCAGGATTCTTGAAATTTAAAAGCCAGGCCAATGAGGCATGGTCCGTGCGGAGGAGGAATTTTCTGCCGTATAGATAATGATGGAAATGCTCTACGGCTTTACAGCTTTGACTATAGCGAGCAATTCTTTCCTGGTGACACAGCAATTCCTCTCCGGTTTATTAGACAGGCATTTGCTCTCAGTACGCTATTACACGTTCTTGGCCGTCTATTTCTTGGGACAAAACCGCACCGACACTTTCATTGCTCGCGTCCGTGTCGAGAATAAATGGTCTGTCGAGCTGAGGATACGTCAGGATTGGAGCAGATGTTAAAGCTTCCTTTAAGTTGTTGTTAAATAAATGCTTCTTCGCATTCTTTTGTCCACAAGAACGTTTTGCTTGCTCTCTGTCAGCTTGTTAAGGGGTCTTGCGATGGAAGAAAAATCCTTCACGAATCTCCTATAGTAGGTGCAAAGCCCTAGGAAGCTTCTCAGCTGATGGACATTTTTCGGGACGTTTCCAAGGATTTAACCTCTGATACCTTTTCAGGAATCCGTGCGCACACAACTTCTGCAGAGATGATATGTCCCAGGTAAGTCACTTCCTTTCGGAACAATTTGCATTTAGCGAGAACTCAGCTTCAGATTGGCTTCTTTCAGTTTCTGAAGCACCTTCCTAAGATTTTCTAGAATGTTCTTCAAAACTCTTTCCGAACGATGATGATCGTCCAGTATATCAGACAGGCTTCGTAGGAAGACTTCGTAAGAAAGGCCTTTCAAAACAGTCTCCATAAGACGTTCGAATGTTGCCGCGCGCATTACACAGTCCAAACGGCATCACTTTGAACTGCCAAAGTCCTTGTCCCGTAGTAAATGCCGTTCTTTTCTCGGTCATCAGGATGGATTTCTACCTGCCAATACCCACTCTTTAAATCAAGTGTTGAGAACCACTTGCTTCCAGAAAGAGTGTCTAGAATATCATCAATTCTAGGAAGAGGGTAACTGTCTTTCTTCGTAACCTCATTCAAACCGGCGATAGTCAACGCAAAAATCTTGTTGAGCCGTCTTTCTTTCTTCTGACGAGAACGATGGGTGGGAGATGCCCATGGACTCGCTGAAGGCTCGATGACATCGCCTTCTTCCATATCTTTTAACAGTGTTCGCACCTCTTCCTGTTTAGCAAACGGTAGACGTCTTGGATGTTGCTTGATCGGGGGGGATGATCGCCGGTATATCTATTCTATGTTGCGCCAAACTAGTTCGACCCACGTCAGAAGACGAGCGGGAGAGAAAACAACTTGAAGATCTTTAATAATGACGCGATCGGGCAGCATTTTTCTCTTTATCGTTTAATTGTGCATTCTGCAATAACTCCGATTAATGCTGCTCTCTGAGGACACGGATTCTGGGATGTTACTCTTTCTTTCAACGCTGGTTACTGGGGTACATGTTGCAACCACTTCACCTTTCTTAATAACTCTCGACTTTTCAGTTACATTGGCGACTCTCACCGGGATAACCGTTCTGGATAGGTCGACGAGTGTTGAGGCTACTAGTACTCCTTTTGGGCTATTACAGTTATTGGGATA